AAAATCTTTTAAGAATCAAGAGCAAGTGTGGCAGATAATCCAGGTTTGTCTTTCGCAAGGGCGCAGTCATTATTTTATCATTATATTCCAGTGAACATCACTAAACCGCACTTTTATAATATTAATATTTTTTATAAAAACAATTAAATTATTGCAATTCAGTGACAATTCGTTTTTACAAATGTCACATGAAATATTTTCTGTAGATTTAGAAATGACCATTTCAGCATAATTAAGTTGTGAGGTTTTTTTTCAAGATTGTTGATGATAATACACTAAGTTTATGTTCATGAAATATTTTATTACAAATTGAAAACCCATGGTGACACATTAATCGTCTTCGCTTACAGGCCCCGTGGCAGTTACACTACAAATGACAAGTTACGATATTGAATTTGGACTTCATGCTCAAGGCAATAATGAAATATATCCACGAGCATTAATCATGCAATAACCACTTTATTAAGATGAGTACGAAGACACAAGTTGGTGCATATGCTTTGAAAACCAAAATTACACGGATACAAATGGTAACTGTAACACAAAACTGAAATTGAAACACGGTAACACATTACTGCAATCTGAGAAGAATACACATAAACGTCAACATCAACAATGCTGGAAAGTATGGTCACCACGACTACCCCAGAAATCGTACAGTTTAGACAGCGGTTGTTCTGATTGTATAATCAGAACTTCCTGTCGAAAACATTTACCCTTGTGTTTCCCAGGAACTATAATGAAATCCAACTGCCAGCCATACGAAACTCAACCCCATACCATCACTGATGGGGTCAGCTGTATAGATCATCTCCTGATGATACGACGTCTGTATAGTGACAACGGCCGTTGGCAACGTGTAGAAGAAAGCGACGTTCATGAGACCAATGAACCCTACGCCATTTCTTCAAGTTGCTTGGAGTTTACAGCACTGTTCCAGTCTGTGGGGTAGGGACGTCTGATCAGACGTCGTACCCTCAGACGTCGCAGCCTCCTTCTGATGGTACTGACGGATTGTCTGAGAGACTCCCACTGTCCATTGCAGCATGGTTTATAATAATGATATCTTGGCAAACGAATTTACACCCGTTCATCATGGTCATTCTAGGACTTGGACGAAACTTTACTTCACCGTCGGCCATGTGGTTCCTCGTAGGTCATAAGATTCTTCGTAAGTGGACTAACAGCCATGTGGTTAAAGCACCAATGTTACGACAGGACATCCCTGCATCATGCAAGCCAATAGCTTGTCATCATGTATTTTCTGAACGTCTACTTCTTGCCTTGTCAAGTACTGCCGTCTTTAAATCATTTCAGGAAATTGTAGCGCACATACTGCAATTGTGAAATGTATACACCACTTTGCTCGGGACCATCGCATCGTGGGAAAATGGGACCCATAGGAAAAGAGCAGTTTGAGACCTTTACAAAGGAAGGTTTGTGGACAGAACAAAGCCGAGTAACAGTACGTGTCTTGAACCTATTATTTTAACTTTGAATGATTTAAATAGCTTTAAAAGGGATAAAGAAGAGCTGGAAACAATGAAGAGTGACGTAGAACTCTTATCAGAGTGTATATTGGGCGACAGTCAGTGAGGACATTTGGATTTGCCACCATATCCCAACTGCGTAGATCGATACTCGTGCTGTCGATCACTTGATTGTCTTATCCAGATTCGATTATTTACAGACCTCTTCCATATAACAGGAGGAAGCAGGGATATTGCTGTTTGTTGACAGGCGCATGCGGAAAATGAAATAATTTTGAGTGCCACCATATCTGAAAATGTTCACTATGCATGAGTCAATTAATGCTTTTATCATTAAATGCACAATTTGTCTGTTTAGCCTCTCCACTAAATTACATTACATTAAATTTCTGTTGACGTCGTGTTACATCGACTCCTTCCTCTTCTTATCCGGGACAGCGGGGTGGCCTAGTGGTTAAGGCGTTCGCTCGTCACGCCGAAGACCCTGATTCGACTCCCCAGATGGGTACAATGTGTGAAGCCCATTCCTGGTGTCGTAAAACCATACTCTCTCACCCACCCTTTACCATAACTTGTTACTTCTTTGTACTTCTGTGATCATAATTTTTCAATAGTTTTGAAAAGGAATTCTTTGTTGGGCAAAATGGAATTTTCACGCTTTTGAACATCTTAGTGTGTTTTCAAAACTGCTTATATTTGTCTTTATCTTATCTTGTCTCCAAACAGGCTAATATCATCGAATTTCCTTTCACCTACCAAGTCTGCAGGAAATGAGCTACGCGTGTTTTTTTTAGAGGAAAGAACACAAATTTTCTAAATAGTATCGATTACATTGATTTCATAATTGTATTCTTACAGCCAGTCTCTTGAACTGGAGTTTAGTTTTACGCCGCACTCAATCAATATTCCAGCTATATGACAGCGGTCTATAAATAATCGAGTCTGGCCCAGACAATCCAGTGATCAACAGCATGCCCAGTCAGCGAGCGAGACCACTTGATCCCGTTGGTCGCCTCAGGCATGGGTTACTGAAGATAAATTCTAAACCGGATCTTCACGGGTTAGTTCCTGCAACAAGTTCCTGTTCCGATGAAATACCATTTTTATATAAGAGTATAAATAGTGTATTTATACTTTATTATGTACCCAAAATTGTCTTATATTTAACTATTATTCGGATGCCGATATAGACAGAGGCAGATACATAAGATACGCTAAATAAAGTGATTTATCATCTTGAAATAGTAAATGTCAAATTAAGAGACAACAACAACAGATTTTCTAATAAATGTTTACAGAACACAGTAAGGTCGGATGTGATTGACACAAAAACAAGCACGTTGACATATCACGTGTATCCATGTGCATGACTGGGATAATTTTTCATGAAATATACACATGCAGCACCTTTTAAAACAGGTAACAGCACATCCGAACAAATTTATATTTACTAGTATATCGATATCTACAAGGGACACATAGTTTCGTGAGTACTTAGTTTGCTAATTGACTAAATTTGCTCGTTATAGTTTATGATGAATCTGCACAGTAAAACAGGTATATAATAACTGCAGGGATAACGGACATGTTTGCTTATGTGCTCACTAGATAATCAATGACATTTCATTTTGGAAGGTTCTTTCGCTGTTGTAAGCCAACACTAAACGCCTACACACCTGTTAGTGAGCTGATTAGCAAACAAAGGGCGTTGACTTGTATTATGAGGAGAAACCGGACGTTTTGGAGGATGTTCTTGCACTTCGTCAGGTGAATGAAAGCTATGAAGAAGAGAGCGTGTATGTATACATGCGAGAACAACAACAGTGACAACAATAATCCAGAAATGTTCCTCCTTCATGTGGTATGGCAGGTATACTGCTGCACTGGGCCAAGTAACGGACACATACTGTTTGTGATCAGATCAGGACATCCTTATCCTTATTGGGAACACCTGGTGTCATCATGGATTTTAGTGATCAATTCGTATTATTCTCGTCAGATAATCGACAGTGGATAGTTTCTGACCTTGAGGTTCATATAAAAAGGAAATATCTTGAATCTACAATTTTTTTATTTGGAAATGATATTCTCCCTATTTCTTTTTTTAAAAAAACACACATACAGTTGATACAATGCACCGTAAAGCTGAAGAAAATGTTAGTATGTAAACATGTATTTGTACTTGTTATCTACCATTATACATGTTACCATTGTCATTGTAAGCAGCTATTGTGACGTCAGCACAACGTCGTGTCACAATGTTTGTGATCGGTACATAGTCATGTCATCATAAAGTTACTGCACAGTATAATCTGTAACCTGTATCAGTAACCTCTCCTTGGGTATGGAAACGCTTTTTGAGGGAAATTCGTGTTGTGTCATTATTTTGTGGATTTATATATGTACAGTACACTGCTGAACTTCACCTTCATTTGATTAACGACATGAATCTCAGCAGATTAGAGTTTAGGAGTCCATCTAACCTATTATTTAGTCCCACTGAGCTGTATATAGCAATGCAACCAATGTATGCATACCCAGCCAAGTTCAACATCGTTTCAACCTTGGTATATGATGTTGATTCAATTTATTTAAGCATTGAAATCCTGCCAGAAAGCAATGCCATTTCAGTTCATTGTATGTATTGCTGGGATATAAGAATAGCTGTGGACAACTCATGAAAAATATGTTGCATATCTGAACAACAGCCTTGAACATGACAAAATTCATTTTTAAACACTCACAGTGTCAGAGCCACCGAAACGTCTGTTACAAACATGAGCAGCCCCTCTTCCCTTGCCATGGTACAATGCCACGGTACAAATATTTTGGAATATTTGTCTGAGACGTTAACACTTCTGTGTAACATTCTAACGCAAGTATTGCGCTGGCAAACACAGAAACATAATTGGGGTTCTAATCCGCATTTACAGGTTTCTGGTGTGTCCAAGGGACGCAACTCTGCTCAGACAACTGGGCCACCCGCCCCCCTATATCAAAGAAACTGGTACAGCTGGTGCTGCATGTCCTGCTGGTATTTTGGCAGATTACAAATTCAATATTCTGGGCCCCGTTCCACAAAGCGATCGTAGCGCTAAGATGATCGTAACTCCCATACTTTAACATAGACTTACGACTGTAGTAGCGTTAAGATGATCGTAACCCTCATACTTTAACATAGACTTACGACTGTAGTAGCGCTACGATGATCGTAACTCCCATACTTTAACATAGACTTACGACTGTAGTAGCACTAAGATGATCGTAACTCCCATACTTTAACATAGACTTACGACTGTCGAACGCTAAGATGATCGTAACTCCCATACTTTAACATAGACTTACGACTGTCGAACGCTAAGATGATCGTAACTCCCATACTTTAGCATAGACTTACGACTGTCTGAGACGGAGCCCAGAACATTGTTATAATTAGCATTTATCAATTATATCCAACTTCAATGAATATTTTAGAGTGGTCATCTAAAAGCCTTCTTTAATATTTTTCAGGTATATTAAAAGGCATCTGTGAACTGGGAATACATGATGGAAACAAATGTACAGCTTCCAGTTATAGATCTGAAGAAGGCTCAGGACAACACACAGAGACTACAAGTTGCTGGAGAGCTGGTTACAGCTCTAGAGACAGTTGGTTTCCTTTATGTCGATAACGCTCCAGGAGTAGATCTGGAGACACTTCTGGAAAATACAAAAAGATTGTTTTCTCTCTCATCAGAAGAGAAACGCATGATCTCCAAACATAAATGGAATCCTATCAACAAAAACAGATACCGTGGCTACTTCCCTTTACAACCAGATGATATATCGTACAAGGAAGGGTTTGAGATAGGAGTTGAGAACTGCCCATTCAACGATCCTGATATACATCCTATGTTCACGGAGCCTAATCTCTGGCCCCGCTACATGGATGGATTTGACGAGTTCCTGAGAGATATGCAACAGTACTACAAAGCTGTCTTGAACACCGGGACAGAAATACTGCGATTGCTGGCTTTGGGATCAGGATTAGACGAGTATTGGTTTGAGTCGATGTTTCTTCCTGATACACTGTCAACTCTTCGTCTTCTTCACTACCCACTGAGGTCCTCCAACCCACCAGACACAGCAAAAGATGGTGACACTGTGCTCTGTTGTTCTGAACATTCTGATTCTGGCTTCGTGACCCTCTTGTCGACTTTTCACTATCGAGGTCTTCAGATATTCAACCAAAATGACAAATGGGTTGACGTGGAACCAAGGCCTAACTCTCTTGTCATGAACATAGGGGACATCTTATCCAAGACTAGTAATGGTCGTTTCAAGGCTACCAGACACAGAGTGGTTGAAACGGGTATGGACAGATACTCTGTACCTTTCTTCTTTGAGCCGAGGTATGGTGCTGAGATAGGGCGAATGATGCCGTTTAAGCAAGTTATGAATAACAACTACACAGAAACAAATGATCATGAATTTGCACCAGAAAATAGTACAAAGTACGGACCCTGGCTTATTGGGAAGATGCAGCAGTTTGCTGAATATAAAGACATCCTGAAGTCGTGAAGGTTTTATCTACTTGGCGATGGACTGACTAGCCGTCAGTCGGTTGACGGAATCTTGGTCATTGGGTCAATGAACAAAAGGACATTTAAGCCATCTCTGGTTGCGATGCTCAAGGGACTCAATATGGTGCAATATATACCTTTAACTTTTTTATTACTAACTAGTATATGCAGTTTTTTATTAAAATATTCTGCTTTTCCATATGCTGCTATCCGATAATCTGATGATGCTTTGCTCGAGGGACTGAATATGGAGCAATATATACATTTAGCATTACTATTTTACAGAATAACTAATATGCAGCAGAGAGAGATGGGCCAGACAATGTGAACTGAAAAGCTATCATGGCGCTCTCGTGAATGCATGACACGTTTGTGGCTAACAAATTATATTTTTATCTTCATCACCATTGTTATGTTTCACAGATTAAAATTAGTATGCAGTAGAGAGGGTTCGGGTAATTTCGGAATAGCCAGGCTCGTTACGCTCATCATTAGCTCAGGGCCCTTGCCCCCATCTCTACAAGCAGCTCAGACAGGACTTCTCCCAGGAAGCGCTGCCTTGTTGAAAATACCAAGACCTTTTCGGAGAATATGGAGACTCAACTTCTGCATCATCCTTACTGTCGGAAGGGCTCGGCGCCAGGAGGTGTCAAACTAAGGGAACAGAGAACAATGGGACGTCCGGCGACAGTGTACTTAGGATTCAATGTATATTGCTTTTCACATTGCTACGAAAGGACAGAAAATTTAATAACATAAATAATTTCATTGGCAAAAGGACTATATCAGGTTTGTTCTGGTTGTATCTGTATTTTGGCCTATTCCAAACAAGTCTTAAAGCATGAGTTGACGCCCTGGACATATTCCGGGTGTACTACCATAGGTGGACCTCAGGGTCAAAGCCACTACGACGGTTAAGATTCACGTTGGACGATTGCAAGAGGGAAGTCACTGGTTCTGGACAGCAAGTAGAAAGAACTCTGTTTGACTTCCACGACCTGTCGAATTCATCCAGGCAATAGTGTCGGTTGGATTGCCACTCCGTTCCACATACTGCATATATATATATATATATATGTATATATATATGTGTGTGTGTGTGTGTGTGCGCGTGCGTGCGTGCGTGCGAGTGCGAGTGAGAGAGAGAGAGGGGCAAGGGGTTGTCGTGGTTACATGACATCTGTCTCCTCTTTATTTAATACTATATTAAAAACTTCTTTGTAATAGTATCATTGCTGGAATTATCCCCACTCTAATAATTCAGACAGTTTCATCTCAGATAACATGATTGGTTTAGGATAGCGGTCAGAAGCAAGGTGTCATGTTTGTGTAATAATGTTTTGCAGCTAAATAGTGATCCATTCAAATGGTTGTAGTGAAGCGTGAGATCAACGGCGGTCTGCAACCTTAAATGGACCCCTTGTGCGGCCAGAAGACAGGCGGTGAGTTCTGATTGGCTAGACAGAAACACCTACTACATGGGCGGCAGTCCAAGACGTTTTCGAATATGTCTTGGCTCGATAATGATGGGAAAGGTTAATGGGATGAGATGGAGTAAGCTCGGGTGACATTATCACTTTACTGAGCATTCATTCGTATATAATGTTAGTTGTATTTAATAAACAGTCACAACTAGCGCGTTTTTCCTCACTCGTGTGGGGTCTGTGTTGTAGCCTTGTGGTTAAAGCGTTCACTCGACACGCCGGAGACCCGGTGTTGATTCCCCGCATGGTTACAATGTGTGAAGACCGTTTCTGGTGTCCCCTGCTGTTATATTGTTGGAATACTGCTAAAAGCGGCGTGAAACTAAACCCATTCACTCACTCGTGCAACATGTCTATATTTGTTTCATCTTTGGATTCTGAGAGGTCACTTTTTTACTGCAGAATCATCGTCACGCCGAAGACCCGGGTTCGATTCCCTACATGGGTACAATGTGTGAAGCCAATTCCTAGTGTCCCCTGCCATGATATTGCTGGAATACTTCTGAAAGTGGCGTAAAACTAAACTCAGTCTCTACTACACAATCGACGTCACACCTGCAGCGCTGGGCATTGCTGTTTAGTGTTTATCCTCTGGATACCATATGTGCATGAGAGTGAACTAACAAGTACCGAGCTGTCGACTCAATTATACCATATATTTTCATGCGATTCTTTTTCATCAACTTAGCGATGATTGGTTGTCCTGTAGATATTATCCTACAGATATTGTTTTGCTTATTAACACTTGTCACGACAGATATATCACCGTCCGTTAAAGACGGCAGGTGTTAGCGTCATAACATGGCAGATACATGCTGTGTAGATAATTGTGAATGCCAGAAAAAGACAGAGAACATAACTGTCAGATACGCCATAACGCTTAGACGAAAATAGATAAATACTAGAAACAGCGTGAATAGTATAGAGAGAATGTGAATGCTAGATATACCGTAGAGAGAATGTGAATAACAAACAAAGAGTAGATCAATACCAGATACGACAAAAGAACAGATAAATGCTAGATTCGACACAAAGAGTAGATCAATGCTAGATTCGAGTGAAAGTATGGAGTTACGCTGCTTTTAGCAATATCACGGCGGGGGACACCAGAAATGAGCTTCACACATTGTGCCCATGTGGGGAATCGAACCCGGGTCTTCGGCGTGACGAGCGAACGCTTTAATCACTAGGCTACCCCACAGCCCCACACAAAGAGTAGATACAGCGTAAAAAGTAGATCAGTGCTAGATACGACAAACAACAGATAAATGCTAGATTCGACATAAAGAGTAGATAAATGCCAGGTACGGTGTAAAGAGTAGATAAATGCCAGATACGGTGTAAAGAGTAGATAAATGCCAGGTTCGATGTAAAGAGTAGATAAATGCCAGATACGGTGTAAAGGTGTAAAGAGTAGATAAATGCCAGATACGGTGTAAAGAGTAGATAAATGCCAGGTACGGTGTAAAGAGTAGATAAATGCCAGGTACGGTGTAAAGAGTAGATAAATGCCAGATACGGTGTAAAGAGTAGATAAATGCCAGATACGACAAAGAACAGATACATGCTAGATAGTAACGGTGTAAAGCTTCAACAGTAAATAAATGATACGTGTGCCGTATGCATCGTTTACATTAAAGAGTAGCACGAAGGTGCTGAAACTACGGGTCAGGGTCTCACTACGTTAGACTGTGTTTGTGGAATCGGCAGCTAAGTATTGCTTCCGAAGTCAACAGACTTCGTCTATCACACTGGCATTGAAGACCTCTTCCTGATGGTGTGAAATGTCATCCACAACGGAGATGACGTCATCGTCATTTGTTTTATGCTTGTCAGACAGTTCTTCCTTCAAGTTTTGAAGCGCCATATATGGAGAATACGGAGGATTGTCAATGAGTTTAGAGCCAAAGCCATGCATTGCCGAGACTTGCAACAGACTGGTGCAACAACACACCTTTAGAGCGCTTTAGCGACATGTAACTTTGATATTCCACCACAGATGCCTATAGGGGCAGGCAAGCATATTATATAAATCAATAATAGTAAGTAGTCCACCAGTAGGTTTCTTTTGCAAGTTTACAAATGAATACAAATGTATGCAAAGGAATTACATTAACAGTGCAAAACAGAGTGACAGTACATATACAACGGCAAAACAATATAACACTTGTGGTTATAGCAATGATAAACTAGCGCACCACGGTCCTCTTCCGAGTCTTAACAGAAACAATGTAACATAATTGCAACATTGTTCTAAATGAATTATACTGTCAAATAACCAAATCCCTCAAAAACAACATCTGTGTCTGCATCTAAACGACATAACATATTAAAAGAGGGGATGAACCGTACTGACCAGATGTCGAAAGGGGAGTAATTTTGTCACGCTCAGTTCATTTCTCATGCTGCCCCTATCTGTCTCATGAGGGATGCCCACTGTAAGTAAAGAGTATAAATGTCATGTTATATATCAAGTAAAGAGTATATGTGGCAAGTTACATACCAAGCAAAGAGTATATGTGCAAGTTACATACAAAGTAAAGAGTATATGTGGCAAGTTACACACAAAGTAAAGAGTATAGTGGCAAGTTCCATACAAAGTAAAGAGTATATGTGGCAAGTTTCATACAAAGTAAAGAGTATATGTGGCAAGTTACATGCAAAGTAAAGAGTATATGTGGCAAGTTACACACAAAGTGAAGAGTATATGTGGCAAGTTACACACAAAGTAAAGATTATATGTGGCAAGTTACATACAAAGTAAAGAGTATACGTGGCAAGTTACATACAAAGTAAAGAGTATATGTGGCAGGTTACACACAAAGTAAAGGGTATATGTGGCAAGTTACATACAAAGTAAAGAGTATATGTGGCAAGTTACACACAAAGTGAAGTGTATATGTGGCAGGTCTCATACAAAGTAAAGAGTATAGTGGCAAGTTACACACAAAGTAAAGATTATATGTGGCAAGTTACATACAAAGTAAAGAGTATATGTGACAAGTTATATACAAAGTAAAGAGTAAATTGGCAAGTTATATTAAGTAAAGAGTATATGTGGCAAGTTACACACAAAGTAAAGAGTATATGCTGCAAGTTCAATAGGACCAGTGGAATCCCGAGCCAGGTTCGTTATTGACAGTAGTGTCATCAGGGCATGTAGGTGCAGCGAACCCGTCCTCATGATCATTATCAGACTGCAGTTGGTCAGCTGGCATACTTTGCACAATTTTCGTTGGTGAGGTTGACGGACGATCTTCTAATACTTCTAATAGTTCACTGTAGTATTTACACAGCAATCTCGACTGACCACTCCTTTCATCTTGTCCCTGAGGGTTCTATAGGTCCTTCGAAGTGTTTTCATTCGTTCTTTGCTCTGGTTAGCTGATTTAGCAAAATCGTTTTCCTTCATGGCATCTGAGACGTTCCGGTAAACCGCCATATCCGAGGATGATGCACAGTCAAGTTGAGCCTGTATGTGTAATTCATTCCAGATATCGAGAAGACACTTTGTTTCTTCGTCACCGCAGGCATTTCCACGGGATCGTTTAGATTTAGGGCCATTTTCGGTGACCTAAGCGCTTGCAAACAAATTGAATGTCTGAAAGTGGTTGCGTGAATTCTATAAATAAATTTCCTGGAACTGATGAGGTAAAGTATACTTTGATGCATAGGTCAGTTCTGACCAAAAACCCAACGCTGTATAGTGTTAAAAGCGCGTTTATATGCATCAAATACCCCTGGGGCAAATATACCCCTAATTGCCCTACCTCTGGATCTAGAGCTGCGTTTGCATGACACCTATTTGCCCCCGGGGCAAAGGGCAAAAGAATTTGCGTTTACATGGGTTTTAAGACAGGGGGGTATTCATCATTCTCATTTCAATCTGACCATCGACAGGTACAGGCGGCTGTCAAAGAAAAGGAGAAGAAACAGATTTTTGCAAGTTATGGTGTTATTACACATTACACAGTGAGCGAAGTGTATGGGAACGAGAAAGAAGACGACACTGGTAGGAAGTGACTGTACAGACATTTGATGATGATCGGTGGAGAGTGAACTTCCGGATGTCAAAAGCAATGTTCAATCTTCTCTGTCAAAAACTGCGACAACATCTTGAAAAACAATCCAGAATTGGCCAAGCTCTTTGTCTTGAACACAGAGTCGCAGTTGCAGTATTAGTCTGTCTCACAGTCCCTGAACCACATTAATGTCCCTACTGCCAAGCCCTCTCCGCAGTGCTAAAGCCCTAAATAAAGCAAGTCTAGATTTCCTCAGGTTCAGGAATCTCTGGTCTCCCTAGGGCCTCTTTTCAATATAAATGGGCTTGTTTGTTACTATCAAATTTAGATATATTCAGAGACTAAGCCTTAGTCTATTGCAGTATATTTTCTCGCTACAACAGGAGAATATCGCACCATCGCCAATCTTTTTGGAATACACAAGTCCACTGTGTGCTGCATTGTGCATGAGGTGTGTAATGCCATTTACACACACATATTCCCAGCTGTGGTCAAGTTCCCTCAAGATGAAGAACTTAAAAGAATTATTTCAGGGTTCCAACAGAAATGGAACTTTCCAAATTGTGGAGGTGCTATAGATGCAACACACATTCCAATTGTGGCCCCGCAGCAGTTCCACTCTGATTATGTGAATAGAAAAGGGTTCTATTCAATTATCATTGCGATGATAAGTACAGGTTCACTGATGTCTGCATAGGCTGGCCAGGTAGAGTTCACGATGCGCAGGTGTTCTCAAACTCTAATCTGAGGGCTTTGGCAGATAGTGGTGAGATATTACCGCAGACAGTAGAGATGATGGACAGTGTAGGCCCTGCTGATCACAAAGTGGATATGCCCATTGTCATCATCGCAGACCCTGCGTACCCTATATGTCCTTGGCTACTGAAACCATATAGCAACAGAGGGGCTCTGACAGAAGAACAATCTTACTTCAACTACAGACTGAGCAGTGCACGCATGACTATTGGAAACACATTTGGCCGCTTCAAGGGAAACGTTTCTCTAAGCGCATTGATGTGCATGTTGAGTTTGTGCCAGTACTTACTGCAGCTTCAGTTGCCTTGCACAACATGTGCGAAAATGAGCACGAGTTGTTTGACCCAGGCTGGCTGCAGGACGTAGATGTTGGAGCAGGAGTGTGTGGACAACAAGTTCATCCAGATCCAGTCACTGGATCAGCTCTTCGAACAGCACTCACTGCACAGTTTGCCAATGATAGACAGTGAAGCTTTTCTGACGAACATTTGAGACAGTGATTACTCTATTCTTGTTTATTCAATTAACAAATAGATGTCATCAAAACATTTCTTTATTTGAAGCTTTTAAATGAACAATACATGACTTGGGAACAAGAGTTTTGTTTTGGAAACATCATTAAATTTAAGAAATAAACTGCAACCTGCAAACAGAACACTGTTACTATTTGTTCTTAAACATTAAAGTAGGTGAAAAAGTCAGTCACAAATTATTATTAAAAAGCTGCTGCCATTAGTTATATATATAGTATTTTCCCAATTCAGTCAAACAATGGATAGGTAAAGACGACTTTCGCAGCTTGAAACATAAGAATTCCTTGTTTACCAGAATTCAATCTATAGCTAAATTAAGTTGTGATCCAAACATTACTTCAGCCTTCATTTGAAAACAAGAGTTAAGTTGCATTAGGAACAAACAGAAATAAAATCTAACGTGCATAAACACACTGCATTCTTAGCAGTTTTCTAAAAAATCACACTCAGTGAGCAAGTCAGTCCCAGGTTATAAAAACTGCTGCCATCAGTGTTGTGGGTAACATTACCTAGGACCTTGGATGGGGGTTATTTCTACCTCTCAGTAATCTGATATGCGGTCGCCTGGTAGAGTTGCAGTGATTGTGCTGGGCACTGTCTGCTTGTAGTCATCCGAACCCTGGCTGTAAGATGGCACTGGGTGGACTGAAGCTTGACCTGGAAGCATAGCTGTCTGCAGAAGAAACTGTGGTCTGCTACTCATGATCAGTTGGAGCATTCGCAGTTGGTGGTCTCTGTCTGCTGTTCGCTGTTTCTCCTCTCTGTCAAGTTTCTTCAGTTCAAACTCTCTCCTGTGAGCCTCGTCATGTATTTTCTTCATTTCAAGTTCAATCCTTTTCTTTTGTAATTCAACTTGACTTGCTTCAATACTTTCATTTGACTTAGTGCATCTGTCCATTACAGTCTCTAAAGATGCTTTAAAGCGGCTTTTTCTTTGTTTTCCCCTCTGCTTTGTTGTTTTAGTTTCGATTATTGCCTCTTCTTTTGTTTGTGGTTAAGCATATGATTTATCATCCTTGTTTTCGATTCCTGAGACATCTATGTCCAAATCCTCACCCTCGAGCAGAGGTATGACATCCTCAATCTCCTCAGAAGCAGGATCAACACCATCCGCAGCAGCATCAAAGTCTTCTGCATCTGATACTGGTGGTTTAAGACTCTGGATCACCTTTCCAGGAGAGGTGGCTGGCCTTATCTCCAGTATTTCATTCATTTCCTTGTAGAATTTAAACGTTCTGCGTGATTGTCCACTTTTGTTCAGTGCATCACGGTATTGTCTGTACGACTTCTTGAGCGTTTTCATCCTCTCCTTACACTGAAACCTCGTTCTCTCATAACCCATGTCATGTAAAGCATTGCTGATTTTGCTGTATACAGCATTGTCGGCTTTCGAGGGACTATTCAGTTGGGATTGTGCTTTCAAATCACTCCAAATACTTAGAAGGCACTTTGTGCTATCATCGCACCACGAATTACCCCGCGAGCACTTCTTCTTTGGTGGCATTTTCACTTCCTCAAAGTGCACAAGAGTGTTGGTAATGAAGCAACCTATTGCATAAGTGCTAAAAATAGATTTCCAAGAAAAAAAGAGTCCATTTTCTGTACAGGGGTGTTAGATATTTGTCATTTGCCCCCCGTGAAAAAATATAAAAAGCGTTTACATGACACGTTTACCTCCGGGGGTATATTTACCCCCAGGGGTAAACAGATTTGCCCTACCTTTTGACCTGGGGCAAATTTTGCCTCAATAACCCCCATAGTCTTTGGGGCATTGAAAGACGCACATTTCTCAGGAACAGCTGTTGGATGGTCTGCAGCCTCTGATGGTCTGTGGTCTGATCATGACACCACCCTATTTCAAAACGATCATGTTCAAGGACACGGTTTGGCGCAAGTCTTTCTCCTTTACGTCGATAAATCTGTGGACGTCCATCTGCAAAGGATAAGTTAAACCTGGATTCATCTGACAAAATGACATCTGACCATGTCCTGTTGCCAAGATTGGCCCCATTTGCTGCCCATCGCTGTCTGGCAAGTCTGTGGCGATGCAATAAGGTTGGACCACGGTACGGGTAACGACACCGGATGTTGAAGGCAGCAAGGCGTCCTTGCACCTTGAGGGCGCTGAAATGACGTTGACTTGTCCCAGTTGTCCTCCTTGCCTCATCATCAGTTGTTTGGAACCGATTTCGCAAGTGTGAAACTCGGATATTGCGGTCTTGTCGAGCTGTTATCACAGGTGGTAGCCCGAAAACGTTGTCTGAGTCGACTTACAGAGGATGGATGCACATTAAAGTGCCTGGCAATCATCACATCTGAAGCACCTTGGCTGACCATACGGATAACCTGATTCCTTTCGTCTTGTGTCAAGTGTGGCACTTTCTCAAAGTGATTGAGTTCCACAATTCCTTGTGCTTTTCCAGGGCCTGGGTGCAGGTAATGCATGTGCACAACGTGTTTCATGAATGTGGCTGTGTTTACGAGATATGTCAAAGGTTCAGTTTTAAGTATCAAAGTTCATGTGAGAGGAATGCTCCGGGACTCGAACTCGAAATGGGCCAGAATAACAGCCTTTAATCCCTACATCCTCTGTATCGCAGGCAAACATCTTCAATAGAACTTTTGTGAGTTTCAGGACAACAAATACCAGTTGCGTTTTTAATGGCTTAGAGTCATATGTATTCAATTGTATTGAAATACCTGTAGCACTTATAACTAAACGTTGACCGCCATATAGCCGGAATAGTGCTGAATGCGGCGTAAAAATAAACTCACTCACTCAGTAAACGTTTCATCGGTAACACTCCATCGTCATTTTGCGGCTTCATTTATATAATCTAGGTACGTGAAAGTACTTTTGGTGTTTTATTGGTTATTTTATGTACGCCTCATCAGGTGTGTCATTGTGGTGTCCTCAAGACGACACAATCTACGTTTAGTCAATGGTGCTATACCTACATTACAATCAGACAGCGAGAACAGACTTTTCATGAAACGGCTAAAGGTTTTAAAGTTGCTTTTCCCATACATACGGTAGATCTACATTGTGGCGCAGGTGACTCGATTAAATGTTTTAGTGAACAGAAACGACAGTGTTCAGTACACCATTGTTACGAAGAATGGTACCCTTAAAAGTACTTACGCCAGATGCCAATGCGACATTTGGCAACAGAACCTACGTACCGAGACATGAGCAAGAACACACGTATCTCACCTGTGAAGTTGTGCGCAGCCATCTATTTATAGTGGACATGAGAAAAGGATTTGTGGAAGCAGTGGCCATATCATATATGCCGTAGAATTGGGTGTATGTGCTACAGTGGCTATCAGGGCAAATAATCAGTCCGTGACACGATGCTGTCTAAATGTGAGAGTGTATTCATTATGCATTCATTTTCAAGGAGGAATAATACATCGCTGTATACCATCTTAATTAATGAGATAGTAAAAATGTAAATGAGATTTCTTGTTTTGTTCTTGTTTCTTCCTTATGGAATCTGTGTAGTCATTCCATTGCCTGTCTGGTGATAAATTTCAAGCATTTCATGAAATGACTAGAAAATCTCTTCCTGGAATTACAGACTTTACCAGTGTTTCATAAAATTAGTGGAATAATTTTGAATTGGACTGTGAGACATGCACTTGAGAGACTAGCAATGGTACGTGTAATTTACAAACATATCACATCGTCACATAAAGTGTTGAAACTGTGTGTAAAATATACGTATTCGGTATTTGAACAACTTTGCCATACAGAGAGCATTCAATGCTGAATACAGGGTCGATCGTGAGTCGTCAAAACTCACTCTCGAAGTAGACCTCACAACATAACCTTGAAAGAGTTATTTCCCTTGGAATAGTTATTTTTAATTTTTTAATATTTAGAAATAATTTCCTTTAAAATAGGGTTATATGTCGCCAATTAATCTCCATATCGATATGTGTATCATTCAACAAATATCTCAACTTGTCACACTTCATTATCTCGAGATTTCACGATACTTCGCTCTCGTGCACTCTATTCAACATGGCGTCGGCACTGTGTAGAACCGGGGCGGCGGTATTTCGCCGATCTGTGCTTTTTTCAGGTGCCAGGGCCTCATCTGGTGGCGGTCCAGCTCTTGACCAACAGAAAGGAAAGACTGGTTAGTGAGATTTTGTTTTTTAATGGCTGCTTGGCTGAACTGACAATGTTTCATGTGCGGCGTGCAAGGTGCCTGTCAAGAAATGGCGACAGCTTACATTCATTTAGTCAACATTACATTAACCAGTCAAACAAATCACTTGACAAGATTTGCATTAATGTTGATTATGTGGTAAGTGAACGTGTGTTGCTGTGACGTGCTGATATTGCTTTATGTTGTAAAATTCTATATATTTGCTGGTATTGACAAAGGACACGTGAAGGTTACAGCATTGATAAGACTACTGGTTGGGACGGGCTAAGTGCAGATTAGACAATAAGGCCTATTTGAAGATGCAAAATATAACCTAGCAAGTCGTTATATTGTCGCATTTCTTTACCTCAATCGTGCATGCCCTGCCATCATGCCCACTGGGGTTGTCATTGTGTAATCACTGGGGTTGAGTGTGATACTTTGCAAAGTATAATTCATAAACATTTCGACTGAGTTTGACGTCCTTTGGCACCGTAGACGTGGTCAGGGCAAACTTACGCAAGTGTCAACATTGTAACTTATGTAAGGTTTGATTTTGCACCACATTCATGTGAGTAACTTTTAACTTGGGAGTTACACCATGAACCCCTTTGACTTTGATACATCATTTCAAACACTGGAAGTTATGGGTACTACTTAGTACAAACCAGGTACTCGTCAGTACTGTATACCCAGCTAATATAAGGAGGCACCCATGTTTCCTGTTCAGTATATACCAAGCTGTATACCCAGCAAAAGAAATGTCTATTTGAAGCTCCAGCCAGGAACGATGACATATGAGCACTTACCTTCATGAATGTGCATGATCAATGAGACAAAGTGTCTTTGGCTTCTGATATCACATATTGCTGAGATCAACTTCATGGATTTGATCAATGGAATTGTATGATAAGTTGCCTCTTGATGTTAGGTACAACTGTTGTCATTATGTTTGGCTGAGATGGCCTTTAGTTTGATGATCAAAGACATATGTGATAGATTGAAATTGATAGTATTTTGTGTGAGGGGCATGGATGGTATATGCATCTCAAAGCGATAATATAATTTGCTGGGCATAGTTTGCTTGAAAATATTCAATGGTTATGATTTGAATCCCAGGTTAGCGGAGATCATTTACTTGGTATGTCAGACAATTGTATTGTAGGTTGCACTGAAATTGAAAATGTCTAAAACATGCATCACTGTGGCATCTCCTTCTACATCAAAATGACAAGCTTTGATATGACTGAAATACTGTTCAGAACAGCATTAAGCCAACCTATAGTGAAAATTTACATTCGTGTTATGTGAAAGTGGCACCATATTATTAATCTTAGTGCATCATAATCATTATTCAGTATTCTGTTGTCAAAGTTATTAGTAATCAAGGACCCTTGAGGTCTTACTCAGTGGTATTTCATTCTGGGCATCCTCATGTTCTGCTCTCTTGAGTTTCTTTTAATATTTACAAGAACCTTAGCCTGGTATGTTTGAACACTGGTACTTTTTATTTCTATAGGGATACGGCACAGTGACACTATCTACCTTTCTTCACATACCAATGTATGTGCTAGTCATGGGTTCCGAGTTTATCTGAATAATAATACCAGTACTAGGGCTGCACAATATAACCGGTTCAGATATGAACACGATACATATTGTGATACGCTGATAAAAAACGGTATTTTGACATGCATTCGGAAAACTTCGTAACACTCGGGATATTGCCTTGTTTCATTTGTGACCTTGAGGAATTCTCCAGTGCAGAAGTTATGCTGTGCTGAAACAGTTTTTCTTCAATATAGTACAGCATAAAGCACCTATGTGGAGCCAATATCATTGTTATGGATTTGGGAGTTGATTATATTCCCACATCCTTAACCTGTCTAACATTTGTGTTTCCTTGTTTCACAGGCTTGTGTTTAATGTTTCAGCATCTGATAAAGTCACCATGCCAGATGGACTTGGTCATGCTGTAGGCCCAGAGAGATTTGAGATGCTTGCCAAGTTGGCCGGAGTTGAGGTATGTTGTCAGGGAAATATCCGGCCATTCTGTGCTCGAGCCTTTCAGTCTACTGGCCCCCAATGGCTCTAAGCATCATTTTGATATGATTTAGTTTATCTTGTCAACTATTATAGCTGAAATTACAAGGTTGTAGGGTTGTTTGTTGGCAATGTATTGCAATTTGCAATGTGCTTTATGATCTATTGCACTATATATTGTGATATTTTGGGAGCTGAAATGTTCGGATTTGATGCTAATTTAGTGCACATCCTACATGTTCAGTTACTGCCATTTTGAATATATAGAAACATGGGAATACATTGCCGACATTTCGGCAATCAAATTTCGAAAGTTGAATTTCATTAGTGAATGAACTGCTGTGTACATTTAGGTTAAACATCACAGTAATAACAAAACTTGGTACATGTTTACCTAATACGCTGGAACACATATAAATAACTCAATATGTAATACAGTGCAGTCCTCCAAGACGCGATTCATTAGTAATGAGTAGACTGTGATATGTTGTATTGCAGTAGTTATTACCTCATGACAGGTGATGTTTTTAAGTCAGTTATTGTCACATGAAGTGGTGTTCAGCTTACTTAGGCTTATGTATAGTATGCTGTGATATTGTAGGAATATTGCCTCCTAAAGGTGAATGTAAAACAATATTCATTCACTTATTACCTGTGAAATATTTCAGGAAAAGACTGTCTTTGTTTCAGGATCCTTTCGAGATGAAGGTCAAGTCCAGGGCCAAGGGAACATTTGAAGAACCAACTTTAATTCCATCTTTGTATGAGAAACGACTAGTTGGATGCATATGTACGTACATCGGAATGTTGTCAAATAGAGAAGACAAACCATTAGCCATGAATGTTAACCGAGTTCAGCTATCATTTGGAAAATCATAATCAACAACAGGAGTCTATCTTCACCCGTTTAGAAGCTGAAGTTTGGTCGCATGTGTGAGGCAAATGTCAGTAAAAATTCTCAAATGGACAGACATTGATGTTTATATTAATGCATTTGCTTCAAATGAAATATTTACCTGTTAATGTAAACAATGTAAGGACTTTTAAGAAAATCCCAATAAAGTTTTAGCAAAAGCTCATTTGATGTCTAGTAAAACTCACCCATTCACAGAAGCGTAGCATGGTATCTCGGCACAAAATGTATTGCTAAGAGTGGCCTAAAGCCATACTCACTCACTGCTTATGGAGGCCAATTCCTTAAGGTACCACAATGCACAATCGCCTAAAGCCATACTCACTCACCTGGATTGTTACCCTGTTATTCGGGAGTAAGAGTATAAACAAGTACAAATTGGCTTTGAGGCTGTTTGCAGTGTCTAATATGGGTTTATCTCAGTGGGCTACACTGGACTAGAATAAAAGAAATCCAGACACAGATGCACAGAATGCATTCCACCCTTTCCACCTCACATCACCTTAACAGAACTCTCATTATGTTGGTTAGGTCCTTGAACCACAGACTAGTCAATTTTGTCTGATGATGCTGGGGGCGATGAGATAGCCTAGTGGTTAAAGCGTTCACTTGCCAAGCTGAAGACCCAGGTTCCATTCCCCACACGGGTACAATGTGTGAAGCCCTTTTCTGGAGTCCCAACACGATATTGCTGGAATACTGAATATAAGCGATGTAAAACTAAACTTCCTCTGATGCTACTGTTTCATGGATTGTCACCCGTGAAGGTCCGGGTTAGAAATATTGGACTTCAGTAACCCATGCTTGTTGTAAGAGGCGACTAACGGGATCAGGTGGTCAGGCTTCCTGATTTGGTTGACACATGTCATCGGTTCCCAATTACGCAGATCGATGCTCATTGTGTTGATCACTGGATTGTCTGGTCCGGACTGGATTATTTACAGACCATCGCCATATAGCTGGAATATTGCTGAGTGCGGCTTTAAACTAAACTCACTCTCTCACCCACTCACTCAGGATTGTCTTTTTGCTTCAGGTGAAGAAGATGACATCAGCATAAACTGGATGTTTTTACACAAGGGAGAAGCCAAGCGTTGCGAGTGTGGCTACTGGTTCAAACTGGACCCAATGAAAAGTCAGGACTACAGTTAATGATACAAATGGTTATGGGTGTTGTTGCATATAGTTCTAATGTTATGTCAGAAACAGTAGGAATCAGTCACTAAGAATCTTCTTTGAGTTGCATTACAAGTTCTGCCAATACAAGTGACCATGATCCGCATCAGCTCTAAACACCTACTTTATGAACAGTCAGCTCTTCAGGTTAACACTATTCACTGTTCACTGATGTCATGAGTGTGTGAGGAATATGATTAATAAACAATTATCAAGGTTACTGTCTTGCCTTATGTCATTTTTGCCTGGCCTGAAATCAAGTTGGAGAGAGTATTGAATGAACAAACTTGTCCAGCTATCCTGATTTGTTTCTTATTTCAGAATTTAAAGTCATTTGTACACACACAAGTAATTCAACATCTTATTTCTGAACATTCCTCATACTTATTACATACAAAACATGATGTGTGTGCACAAACTATCCAGAAAAAAATATCCCTGGTTACACATGATTGATTTGTCTGAGTAGTTTTACCTGTCATTGAAGAGATGTTTTAGTATAATTCAGCAGTCATGTGTATTGGTGGTAACTAAATTTTCTTGCCTTAGCCCAATCACAGACAATTTTGGTGGTGGTAAATCAAGAGTCGCATTATAGGAACCCGAGTAACCCATGCTTCTTGTAAGAGGCGATTAACGGGATCGGGTGGTCAGGCTTGCTGACTTGGTTGACACATGTCATTGGTTCCCAATTGCGTAGATCGATGCTTATGCTGCTGATCACTTGATTGTCTAGTCCAGACTCGATGTTTTAAGGACCGCCGCCATAAAGCTGGAATATTGCTGAGTGCAGCATAAAACTCAACTCACTCATACTATAGGGTTAAAGTCTGAACAAACAAGTTGGTGTTTAACTTGTTTGTCTTAGAAGCTGTTTACCAGAGATGTAGGGAACATGACTAGGTCCTGCTGATGGAGATGCTGCAATAGGTGGACAAAGGGAAAGAGGAGCTATTTAAATACAAGCAGAATGTGTCTTCATAGCTCTTTAGATCAAGCAAGGATTAATGTATTGTTTTAACACATTTTTCAAAGAAGGTTTTGGATCCTTTTCCAGAGGAGGAACCAACAAAACCTCTGTGAATTTGAATACTTTCTCCTGCTGAATGATTGTAATGCTGTTCAGGATGTGTAATACTGGGGGTTTCATGAGATGCATCCACTGCTAATGGTTTAGTTGTTCATGTTCTGAGGGGCGGTGGGGTAGTCTAGTGGTTAAAGCGTTGGCTCGTCACGCCGAAGACCCGGGTTCGAATCCCCTCATGGGTACAATGAGTGAAGCCCATTTCTGGTGTCCCCCGCCGTGATATTGCTGGAATATTGCTAAAAGCGGCGTAAAACCAAACTCAGTCAGTCAGTCATGTTCTGATGCCAATTCAAGCACCGATTAAAATGGATTATTGTTTAGACTCTGAAAATGTATAATTTGGGCTTCTCCATTTAAACTGGAAAGGAGAGTCGTGGGCTTGGAGATTCAGAATGGAAGCTGAGAATTGCTTCAATGTGGGGTTTTGCATTGATGAAAGGACTGCGGAAGAGAAAAGAGCATTATTCAGTTAATGTGAGACAACTATGGTCAGGATAATGTAAAGACTTTAGCACACATTAATTGATGGCTTGTGACACAAAGAAATTTAGATATCACTGTTTATGCATTTCAAATAAAACAATACCAACAGAATATCTTTAGAAGTTACACTATTTGGTTCAGTGGTGGGTAAATCTATTAGAAGTGTCTTAACTTGCATGATAATTTTCATATTTGAAGAAGACCTCAATTCACTCAGCATTTCATACACTGACTTAATAAAGTGAGGTGACTACTGCTATTGGGGAAGGAACACATGCCATTTGTTTGTGGAGTACAGATGCTTAGAGACCGTCCTCACCTCTCACCACCAGTGCACCTTCTAGACTCACACTTAGTCCCTGAATATATATACATGTATATAGTTGACTAACAAATAAACCCTTTTAACTTGAAAAGGAGCCCCAGTGAGATATGAGATTCAGCCTGAACCTGAGGACATCTAGACTTGCTTCATTTAGAGATTTAGCTTTGCAATGAGAGCTATGCAGTAAGGGAAATACATGTAACGAGGCTCAGCTTGTGAGACAGACAATGGGCCTTCCAAAGGTTGCCTTGAAGCCTAAGTTCCCGCGGGTGGTTTTGTTGGAGTTATCTCCCTTTTGACCACTGGACGCATTTTGACACACCGAATAATACACACTCCGGCACAGCGATGACTTAAAGGGGAAGTGTACACGAATAAATCACATTTATTCTTATGTGAATCAAAGTGAACTGTTTTAATTAGTTAATACCAATGTTTGAAAATATACACTCATTTTTCTTACAATGTAAGTATAACCCTCAAAATAAGTGCTGAAATGTTATGCCAATATGAGGTATTTGTTTGCCGAGCTAAACAGGCCAGAGTTACCGCCCTTTGATTATGACGTAATTGGTGCCACTTGATTTTAAACTGGTCTCCTGTCTATTCCCAAATCAAGTGATAATAATACTGATATTAATCACGTGAAAAAGAGTTTCTGAAAATACGAAAGAAGCATAAGAACAGAAAATGTAAGCAGCAGGACGGATTGAGCGTGTGTGTTTTCATTCATAACCTCGACTCAATGAAAATACCAAATATGTATAACAATGTTGACGTCCGTATGACATCACTATCGGGAAGCGACTTTTTCAAAATGGCGTGTACACTGACACGAGTAGGCCTGAGTTTTCGAAGGAAATTTTCGTTGTTTCAAGCAACGTATATGCATAAATGTGACATGTAAGTAGTCCGAAAATTCTGTCAGTCTGCTGGTTGTTATGTTCTTTTTGTTTTCATTGTGACCAAGGGAAATAGTCAGAAATTAAGAGAAGTACCGTCATCGTTGTGCGTGAGTTTGCGTCAGTTGTGGCGTCATGCTTTCAAAAACTATAATATGTTGTTATGAATCTAGAAAATCATTGGAATACACCTTTTTTATTTAACTATCGCTTTCTACGATACCTTTCCCATGCATGTTCTAAAACTAATGAGCAATTGTACACAACACGTAGGCGAACGGATACACTGAGTAAAATCTGAGATTGGCTTTGTATACATTTCAAACAAGTTTTCTTTCACAGCGCGGCATCTCATATCCTCGATATATTTCGTTAGATTTCTCTGAAACACTTCGTATTGGTGACAGAGTCCATTTGTCAGGTTTTTTTTTAACTGTATGAGGAATTCAGGGATTCGTGTAAGGAAGATGGTGTTGAATTATACAATTGATTTTATGGACGAAACATAACCGACATACATGTGACGTGATTTTATAAACACTATGTAATATGGCTGAAAATTCAGGGCAAGTGTACACGAAAATTAACCTTTTTGTCTTGCACTTTTTCATCATAAAAAGTGTTTATCAAGTAGTTTTATATCCAAACCTGTACATATATCAGAAGTAACTAACTAATTTATTATTTGCGTTATATCAATTCATATTTTCAACATTTACCAAGAGTTCTATGTCCACAAGAAACACACCATGGCTTATGTCCCTTGGAAATGACGTCATTGGTGCCCAAACGATAAACGAATGACGTCGTCAGACCTTATTAGACCCATTTCACGTGGTGCAGGTATAGGTGTGTTATGACAGTAAATTAACTGTTTATATCATTTCATTTGTCTATTTCACCACACGTTCTTCTTACCGAGACACTTTCTCAGTTCGATACTTAAAAGCAATGTCATTATTTAGCGTTGACAGAATTTCTAACTGTGATATAGCTATGTCGTTGTCACAGACAAAACTCAATGTCTTGTTTTATTGACACCTGTGTGTCTGCCTGCCTGTCTGCTAATGACAATATTCAATACACAACTGCAATCACTGACCACATGCAATTCGAACTTAACACCAATCAGGCTATACACCATAAACAAAACGCATTGATTTATGGCCCGAGTTCGGTCTCTGTCACATTATGTAATTACACAGACAGGCAGGTGTGATACTTGAACACATGACATGTTATGATGTCTGTTGATTGCAAAATGTTATACACAAAAAATGACCATGTATTTACAAAACCCAACATCTCTATATATACACACACAATGAGCCGTGAAGGTGGCATCTGCTAATGAACCAGCCGTTACACTTGAGTGCACACCCACCCTCTCTGACTGGGTTCGGTATCCCGGCTGCTTCGTTTCTTGGGAGGTAAACCCAAGTACAAAATATTGCACTTTTGATTTGCGATTATACGCTTATAATTTTGTTTATTTGTTTTTTCATAATCAGCAATGCATATTATATGTTATGAAGAAGTGATAATTGTGTTTTAATTATGTTTGCTTTTTTGGTTGCATGTGACCTTTAATTACTTCAAAAGAACAATTAGTTGTATCTGTTTGCGAGTATTAGCAAATCATGCTATCCACACACCTGATACTGAAAAGCTTTGATTCCAAGACCTAGAAAGATTTGGTTTCAGCAACTATTGATTTTCTATGCTTATTGTGAAAATTACTACTACCTGGCACTCCTGGGTCGAGTCTCTCGTATGAACGGTAGAGCACATGTATCAACGTTTACCCCCGTTCAAAATGTGTACCCCCGTTCAACTCTGACCCCTTCACGGCCCAGCCAACCTATATTCACACATTTGTCAACCCCATAAAATGAAAAGACTTGATGATTCTTTACAACTAGTCTTATTCAGCCTTATACAACATTTTATTCAGGGAATATGTTTTGGTCAAGACTCGCACCTTGCTCTGCCGGGGTCATCATTGTTGGTCCCTTGCCAGCATAGGCAGTCGCACTGGTCACCCCTACCTTCCCCTGTCGACAACTGCTTTGTGTAGGCGGGCCCTGAGACAATAAACTACGAAGCATGTGTGATCCACCATTCAGAGTTGATCACAGTTTCTATGTTCGAACCGGGCAGCAAATATTTCTGGCATCAAAATGACAGGGTGTTCTCTGCTGGAGGAAATGGACAAAGAAAATCCGGTAGCCACCATGCCGACATGTGGTATCAGACATATGCACATGCTCTTTCAGTTGGTAGTGTTCAGAGCCTCGAACATTGATTCAAGGGCAAGAGGACCTTCAGCTGCTACCGACAAGGAAGACCCGTGAAGATCCGGGTTAGAATGTGGTCTTCAGCAACACATGCTTGTCGTAAGAGGCGACTAACTGGATCAGGTAGTCAGGCTCGCTGACTTGATTGACACATATCATCGTATCCCATTTGCGTACATCGATGCTCATGCTGTTGATCACTGGATTGTCTGGTCCTGACTTGATTATTTACAGACCGCAGACATATTGCTGGACTATTGCTGAGTGCGGCGTTAAACAACCAACAAACCAAGGGGGAAAGAGTTGACTAGGTAGATCTACATATATATATATATGCTTATGGATTGTGTATTACAGATAACAGACGACTCTCGACAAGTCATATTTATATAACTACATAGTTTTTGTCTTCCATCTGACCCCAGACGAGAAGCTTGGGTTTATCATCTCTCGTGAGAATCTTTTGAAGCAGACCCAGCTGATTGTAACCGTGATGGCTAGTTGTAACCATGACGGAATCGTCTGTGACCATACCCTATCCACCCGACTGGTAAGACCAGTATTGGTGATATATATTAGTGCAACAAAACGTCTTTAGCTCTCTCTCCCCCCTCCCCAAAAAAATAATTAAAAAAATCTCTCTCTATGTGATAATCTGCCTCGGCAGATTGAGATGAAGAGCTTGAGATCAAGGCTAATTGTACTAATTGCAGTTTAAACTTCGCTGAAGGCGTTCTGCTCCACCAGATCATAATAATTAATGCACTCGTGTATAAGTCTACTGTCTTTATACTTATCGAACATTCTCCGTAAACAACCGGCTTAATTGGTAGGGCCTACAGTGGGATTTCAACTGTTTCTCAAACCTATATCAAGATATATGGGTCGAAACCTCGTTAGGAAACTTCCGTATGGAGAGGGGCGGTGGGGTAGCCTAGTGGTTAAAGCGTTGGCTCGTCACGCCGAAGACCCGGGTTCGATTCCCCACATGGGCACAATGTGTTAAGCCCATTTCTGGTGTCCCCCGCCGTGATATTGCTGGAATATTGCTAAAAGCGGCGTAAAACTAAACTCAGTCAGTCAGTCAGTCCGTATGGAGAGTGTACGCGTCTTCTGTGTACACGTGCTTGTCAGTTCCAGGAAAGAAGGGGCTTTTCGTGCTATCGGGGTTTCACAGTAAAACCGAAAACAGTCATCATTACTAAGTTTATCAAAACGTTTGACGAGCGAGCTGTATCCACGTGTACGTCATCTATTATAGGCTTGATCTTCAATGTATGTATTTACTGATACAATACCCTAAAAACACTCTATATGTCACTCGAGTGAAATAACACTATATTCCGGAACTACTGTCAAACTGCCTTAACGGGACGCTGCAGTTATTAGAAAATGGCCGTGAGTGAGTATGGTTTTAGGCCGATTTTATCAATATTCCAGAAATATCACGACATCAGAAAGGGGCTTCACACATTGTACCAGAGACCATATAATACTATTATATGGTCTCTGATTGTACCCATGTGGGAAATCGATCTTGGGTCATCGGCGTGACGAGCCAACGCTTTAACAACGAGGTTACCCCACCGCCCCATAAAATGACCGTGAAGGCCAGTATCTCTCTCTCTCACTCTCACTCTCTCTCTCACACGCATCAACACACACACGCATCAACGCACGCGCGCACACTCACACACATACATACATACAATACGTACATACTCGACAAACGTGCGCTAAGAATGATATATATCTCACAGGTTGAGAGTAACAATTTATGTGACAAGGCTGGTATGTATCCAGTGTATACGTGACAACATGTGATACCACCGTGGCGAAGTTGACGTGTAAATACTTCTACCATGGTCTGGCTGGAAGTGTAAGCGTGTCTGTTTCTGGGTGAATCTATACACTTGACCTGATTCCGGTATCTCGGCCGATCAGCAGTTACGACTCTGAAACGTAGTATACGGGATAGCCGGAACGGTGAGCGTTTTTAAAAGGGAAACTCCCATACATCACACGTTAAAGGACGCAAGCATCGTTATCAACTTCCTGATAGGTCTTTCGTCAGCTTTTTCATGGTGACATGTTCAGCTCGCGTTGTAGGTCACTCACTGTAGATTCCCCACATGGGTACAGTGTATGAAGTCCATTTCTGGTGTCCCCCGCCGTGATATTGCTAAAAGTAGCGTAAAGTAAGTCCAGTTGTAACGGTAATCACGAATGTTAAAGTTTCAGATTTTCCTCTGATAACAGCCACGATCTATTGATATAACATCAACAATAATTACACCTAATTAATGTATTTCGTAGGTAATTGTTTTGGTTAATCAACTCCAAATACAGGAAACTCACACACATACACAGACACACACAATATTTTATTTTTTAAGGCATGCTTGTGATTCATTGATGGGCATCTAGAAGTTGGATAACAAAAACAACTTGTTAATACTGCTAAGTTTCTGTATAGATCCTTAACTATACTCTTGTCAAGCATGACATGCGTCACTTTTATCCATGAGTATTCTGTTTTCTTGCTGAGTCAGTGTAAGGATCTTCACAGCTAAAATAGTATGTTAAAAAACTTGTGTTTGGTATCCACCATTGACATCATGATATCACATTGACGTAAAATATAACTAACATCAAATTTACATTTAACTGTCTAAAAACTTTAAACCTACTTCCCTAATTATGCACTTTTATGCATCTTTTAAGCACACACCCTTTACAAACAGCTGCACCCACGCATGCTCCTTCCAGATGGATCTATTTACATACAGCTGAATATAATTCATATATTTTTCTTTTAAAAAATAACAGGAAAGTATGATTTAACTGATAACCAGTTAATGCTTAGAGAATGGCACAATCTAATATAATATTGTAGTTTCCATTTTTTTTCGTTGAATGACTCTTTCACACACTAACGTTTTCTATGCATGACGAATCATTTCGGTCAGTCGCAAAATTTATTACATGGAGTTATCTCCCCTTCCACACTCTTCAGCACGAAGGCTGAAGAATATGTAAACACTTCCCTTATTATTGTTAGAAAACGCATTTTAACCAACTTTGGAGGCTTATTGTGAAGTATGGCATGGACAAAATGTAATGCAACAACAACGGAAAGATAGTTTAATCTATCTTATGCTGGTAAATATTGATTTGTGATGCTATTTTATTATAACTATTCAGTTTTCAACGTTGTCTAAATCACCATTCGATTTGTTATTGTTGAGCCAGCTGAGGTCAGTCTATTTCCGAGTCTATTTATATTTAGTAACAGAGTAACACTTCGAATTTTTGTTCAATAAACCACTATGGCAACGTTACGATAGTGCCAGATTCTAAAACTATCAATTGCAGTTATCAAAAAAGCATAGACGTACATAATCAACGATATATTTTTTCCTTCGTTTGATTATTCGTTCCCATGACCTCGTCAGCTGTTTCGTCAGTTACTCTGACACTTTGAAATACACATCGTCATGACAATGGATTCTGCCATTAACCCACTAACATACTTCAACTAACTACGACTATGGAGTGAAGGTTAGATACGTGTTATTTAAAGAAGATCTGTCTCTGGTTGACTTATTTTGGTATCAAGTACGGTTTTATTTTGATCGTATATGGACATTGTTCTATTTGAATACCCATTGAGTTTTAGGTTAAAAGGTCTGCCCAAAGTACATTGTTGGTAATTCACCAATTGATTTTTACACTGTTCCTGCTGTGTTTTGCTTGAATCCAGTGGATATTTATTCTGGGAGTCTTATTCTGTGTTAGTGTTTTCATGCAGATCCTTTGTTATAATTATTTTAATTATGACTCACATACATCATAGATTACATGATTTATAACCTCTTTGAGATAGATGATTACATGTAGCATCTGAAATAGGAATGATGTTTGACTTTGTTGAAGAGGTACATGTGAAACAAAAATAGGAAATATTCATTGATGTATGTAAAAATCATGAACATAATGTTATATGTGTTTGCATGTCATGAAGTTACTAAGTAGGATCATTATAAAAGCTTCTTATATCTCACTACTTGTGAAAGCTTTGTTGGTAATAAGACATATTACCCTATGCTTATCTGTCATATGTATTTGATGCTTTTAATATTGTGAAATGTTACAAAAAGTGAAGAGTGAAAATGAACAGAAAACTGAAACTGCATGCATTTGTATGTTTAAATATGATTCAAACTTTAGGTTAGTATTTAGAGAATCTCATAAACTTGGAACCATCCATATTTACATGAAATAAAAACGATTTGAAATTAGGGAATCCATATTGGCATATAGCTTTAGTTGTACATATTAGAGCCAAATGTCAAAAAAAACTTTTTCTCCTCTACTGTGGTAGTTGCACACCCATATCAAGTGTCTTGTATTACCCTACCAACTTCTAAATGCCTATCAAACAGGTGGTAACTTACTAAAGAATGTCTTACAAGTCAGTGTGTCTGGCTCTAGCCACTCAAATTCAAGCAATATTATCACTGCAGCCCAAAATCATTGATGGAAAACAGAGAAACTGTTACAACATTCATTTTGGAACTTGTGTGCATTCCTTGCCGAAATGTTGATATAAAGATGTTTTAAGTGCTGACATGATATTGTTTGATCAGGAATATGCAGACTCTTATGTTAGTTGAGGTTCTTGAGAGGCATATAGAAGTTGGTATTCAGCTTCAAGTATAAGACAAAATATTATGGATGTCAACTTCTTTTTATTGTATACACAACATGTTAGTCAACATTCACCTGATGAAGGGGCAAGGAAAAGCCCAGAAACGTTGTGTATACAATAAAAAGAAGTTGACATCCATAATATCTTTCTTATTCTTAAGTTTGTTGTTAGCCATATCACTGGACTTTTCTCAGCTGTAATATGAGGCACACACCAGTGGTCAAGAGCACCACATGTCGAGCAGTCAGGCACACACTAGTGGTCAAGAGCACCACATGTCGAGCAGTCAGGCACACACGTCGAAAGCAGTGGTCAAGAGCACCACATGTCGTGGTCAAGAGCACCACATGTCGAGCAGTAAGGCACACACTAGTGGTCAAGAGCACCACATGTCGAGCAGTCAGGCACACACCAGTGGTCAAGAGCACCACATGTCGAGCAGTAAGGCACACACTAGTGGTCAAGGGCACCACATGTCGAGCAGTAAGGCACACACTAGTGGTCTTGGGCACTTCACATTGAGCAGTCATTACAGTTTATTATAGATAAAATGCATGGAATTATCATGAAATGGCCCTCCTATTATCAGAAATTTGCGGGCCGCTGCAAATGATATTGGACCGCTCAACCTTAACGACGGGCCACTATCAGTTCTGTTGTCAAGTGACGTCATAGTGGGTGCGTCGGTTCATTCGACATTGGCTTTGGACTGGCAGATATTCTGGGTCAAACAAGTCAAAGCAACCCGAATTCCCGCTTTAAATAGCTGTAATATTGGCTTTCTTGCGGGTGCTAACCTTAACAATTGCACTATTAACGTTGTTGTTGGACCAAAACCGAACACTGACATAGTTTGACATGTTGCAGACTATGGTCTTATTAAAGGCCAAGGTCGAATATCGTCACTTTCTGTTGTGACGTCACTTGAATTGTTCGATGATGTAATTGCACTCGGGCATTCAACCCCGTCAGAAGTTGGTTTTTAGTAAACTTACAGTCAAATTCCTTCATTGTTTCCTTTTCCTTTTCACCACAAATTCCATGTATTTTAGCAATAATATCGGTAATGCTATTTTTGAGGGCATTATCATTTGCAGAAGTCCTTGGTCTTTTTCAACTGCCCTCCTTCGTCGGGCAGTTAATGGAAGACCGTAGGCTCCTGCAAATGATAATGCCCTCAAAAATAGCATAACCCTTATAGTAGTTGCAATCCATTGCTGTGGGAAAGGTTTTGCAAGAAGCCTTAGAGTTGAACCTTTTGCTGAATGTCTGTAGCAACCAATGAAATTAAGTCCGAAAAAGTAGAGATGTATCACAGATCTGATTGTTGATGTTGATAATAAGTCGATATAAGTTATCCAGTATTAACAACATTCAGCTTCTGAAAAAATAGTAGTGATGCATTGTAGGTCTGATTGTCAATATAAACAACATAAAGTATGTAGATAAAGTAGATTTAAGTTATCCAGTATTTAAAATGAAAGGTCTACACCTTGTGATACCCTCTGCTATAGGGATAGAACTGGACTGCATGTCTCTGAAGACAATGAGGTAATACTGGTGTGGCACAACCAGAGACCGAAAAGGAGATCAGCTTACTGTGATAGTTTTGCAACTTGTCATGATCACAGATTACACATCAAACGTGAAGAATGAGACACGACTTCAGGCTTTGCGCCATCATTAGAAGAAACTTTTGTTGGTCCATGCTGGTGAGGCCAGCATTGTCGAGAAGGCCATGCTTTAATCTTGTTAATCCTAATATTATTGCTTTACATATGTTTCCTATAGATAGGTATATTTCCTCTATGGAGAGGTTGCCAGTATCTCTGTCATGTAATACTAGATAATCAATCGATCAATCAATCAATCTTTATTCAGAACTCAACACTACAGGCCCATAGTACAAGTATGTACAATGTTTAACAGCAGAGTCGATTTCTCTTCATAATAGCATGATAGATATAAAAAAGCAATGTTTTCAATTAATATACAGTTAGCAGTTGACAATAGCTGGATAAATAAGTGTTTTGATGATTGTTTCATAAATTACTGGGTATATATTTGCTGCTAATGTTACTATAATGATCACAGAGTAGCTAATACTAGACAATACGATGGTGTGTATTCCGACTGATACTGAGTTGTTGCATGTGCTATTAAATGCAAAAGAAATTAATGTCTGGTCACACAAGATATGCAGATGATGTTAAATAATTATGGTAAGCCAGCCTTTGGACCATTTTTCATGCCTTCTGATCACTTCACACGCTGTACATTATATTGTGGTTGCCATGTATAGTATTTGTATGCAAGATTGCCAGTGTATTTGCAAGCCATGGATTGTTGTGATAAGTCTGTAACTGGATATGTTTAAGAAGGTATCATATACGTTATTGGCAGTTGGCATGGTTAGGTACGAGTTGATTTAGGACAGCAAAATAACTGATTGCAAAATACAGCCAATGCATGATCTATCATTTTTCATTTTTCTTTTCCTTACTTATGATCAGTTAATGTGCAATGTGTAAAACTTGAAGGAAACTTATGTGATAAAGATGTTATAAATTCTCTGTTATTTAATATTGAGCAGTTATAAATGTCTCTTATTTCTGTGATTATTATTCTTTGTTTTGACTCAGTGTCAGTGGTTATTGACCACATGATTCTCCAATCACTGACTCATCTGTATTGGACTAATGCTTGTAGACCATGTGACTCTTGAAACTGATTCAGCTGTTGATGCTTTGTGATGGTGGACCACATGGAGCATGTCTTGTCACCGGTTCAGCTGTTGATGCTTTGTGATGGTGGACCACATGGAGCATGTCTTGTCACCGGTTCAGCTGTTGTTGCTTTGTGATGGTGGACCACATGGAGCATGTCTTGTCACCGGTTCAGCTGTTGTTGCTTTGTGATGGTGGACCACATGGAGCATGTCTTGTCACCGGTCCAGCTGTTGTTGCTTTGTGATGGTGGACCACATGGAGCATGTCTTGTCACCGGTTCAGCTGTTGATGCTTTGTGATGGTGGACCACATGGAGCATGTCTTGTCACCGGTCCAGCTGTTGTTGCTTTGTGATGGTGGACCACATGGAGCATGTCTTGTCACCGGTTCAGCTGTTGTTGCTTTGTGATGGTGGACCACATGGAGCATGTCTTGTCACCATGGTTCAGCTGTTGTTGCTTTGTGATGGTGGACCACATGGAGCATGTCTTGTCACCGGTTCAGCTGTTGTTGCTTTGTGATGGTGGACCACATGGAGCATGTCTTGTCACCGGTTCAGCTGTTGATGCTTTGTGATGGTGGACCACATGGAGCATGTCTTGTCACCGTTCAGCTTCTGTTGTTGCTTTGTGATGGTGGACCACATGGAGCATGTCTTGTCACCGGGTTCAGCTGTTGTTGCTTTGTGATGGTGGACCACATGGAGCATGTCTTGTCACCGGTTCAGCTGTTGATGCTTTGTGATGGTGGACCACATGGAGCATGTCTTGTCACCGGTTCAGCTGTTGTTGCTTTGTGATGGTGGACCACATGGAGCATGTCTTGTCACCGGTTCAGCTGTTGTTGCTTTGTGATGGTGGACCACATGGAGCATGTCTTGTCACCGGTTCAGCTGTTGTTGCTTTGTGATGGTGGACCACATGGAGCATGTCTTGTCACCGGTTCAGCTGTTGTTGCTTTGTGATGGTGGACCACATGGAGCATGTCTTGTCACCGGTTCAGCTGTTGATGCTTTGTGATGGTGGACCACATGGAGCATGTCTTGTCACCGGTTCAGCTGTTGTTGCTTTGTGATGGTGGACCACATGGAGCATGTCTTGTCACCGGTTCAGCTGTTGTTGCTTTGTGATGGTGGACCACATGGAGCATGTCTTGTCACCGGTTCAGCTGTTGATGCTTTGTGATGGTGGACCACATGGAGCATGTCTTGTCACCGGTTCAGCTGTTGTTGCTTTGTGATTGCTGACATGGAGCATGTCTTGTCACCGGTTCAGCTTTTGTTGCTTTGTGATTGCTGACATGGAGCATGTCATGTCACTGGTCCAGCTGTTGTTGCTTTGTGATTGCTGACATGGAGCATGTCATGTCACTGGTCCAGCTGTTGTTGCTATGTGATTGCTGACATGGAGCATGTCATGTCACTGGTCCAGCTGTTGTTGCTTTGTGATTGCTGACATGGAGCATGTCATGTCACTGCTCCAGCTATTGTTGCTTTGTGATTGCTGACATGGAGCATGTCATGTCACTGGTCCAGCTTTTGTTGCTATGTGATGGCTGACATCGAGCCAGGTCATGTCACTATTCCAGCTGTTGTTGCTTTGTGATTGCTGACATTGAGCATGTCATGTCACTGGTCCAACTGTTGTTGCTCTGTGATTGCTGACATGGAACATGTCATGTCACTTATTCAACCGTTGTTGCTATCTGATTGCTGATCACAGGAACTTTATTGCTGATCACATGACTACCATGTAACTGATTCAACATTTGTGTTGTAATAGCTGACCACATGTCATATCACTAATTCATATGTTGTTGTTTATTGGTTGCTGGCAATTTGACTGATGTTGAACAAATGATTCAACTGTTATTGCTTTGTAATTTCTTACCCCATGTCATTGTGGGCGAGCTGGCCATGGTGCCAGGCTAGTGATCCAGTGAGCTTGAGGTGACGGGATCGAGCCCATCTGTGACCGGGTGTAAAAACCTTGGAGTCAACTTTGCATGCGGACTCTCTCAGTGTTGTCACGACCCCTAGTGTACAGTACACAACCCTGTGCACTTAAAAGAACCCACAAATCCATTGGTATATGACCAGATGGTGACCACATGAATACGTGCAAACAACTAGTTGCAGGTACAGCAACGTGCAGTAAACTTGGACAAAGTACTGTTACTATGTGTCCCAGTCCACCCAGCTGTGAATGGGTACCTCGTAAGGATGGGAAAGCCACATTAGCTCGGTGCGCCTAGTGGCTGCAAGAGTTGTATGACATCTAATGATCGAGGGAAAAACAAAGCGTCTTTGAGCAGGTGACCTGGATATTGGCTCTATATAAATATACATAAATAAAAAAAAAAAAAAATGTGATTTCACTTATTCAGCTGTTGTCCTCATTGCTGACATATCATTTCACTTATTCAACTGTTGTCCTCATTGCTGACCTCATCATTTCACTTATTCAGCTGTTGTCCTCATTGCCGACAACATATCATTTCACTTATTCAACTGTTGTCCTCATTGCTGACAACATATCATTTCACTTATTCAGCTGTTGTCCTCATTGCCGACAACATATCATTTCACTTATTCAGCTGTTGTCCTCATTGCTGACCACATCATTTCACTTATTCAGCTGTTGTCCTCATCGCTGACCACATCATTTCACTTATTCAGCTGTTGTCCTCATTGCCGACAACATATCATTTCACTTATTCAACTGTTGTCCTCATTGCTGACCACATCATTTCACTTATTCAGCTGTTGTCCTTATTGCCGACAACATATCATTTCACTTATTCAACTGTTGTCCTCATTGCCAACAACATATCATTTCACTTATTCAACTGTTGTCCTCATTGCTGACCACATCATTTCACTTACTCAGCTGTTGTCCTTATTGCTGACAACATATCATTTCACTTATTCAACTGTTGTCCTCACTGCTGACCACATCATTTCACTTATTCAGCTGTTGTCCTCATTGCCGACAATATGTCATTTCACTTATTCAACTGTTGTCCTCATTGCTGACCACATCATTTCACTTATTCAACTGTTGTCCTCATTGCTGACCACATCATTTCACTTATTCAACTGTTGTCCTTATTGCCAACAACATATCATTTCACTTATTCAACTGTTGTCCTCATTGCTGACCACATCATTTCACTTATTCAACTGTTGTCCTCATTGCTGACCACATCATTTCACTTATTCAACTGTTGTCCTCATTGCTGACCACATCATTTCACTTATTCAACTGTTGTCCTCATTGCTGACCACATCATTTCACTTATTCAGCTGTTGTCCTCATTGCTGACCACATCATATCATTTCACTTGTACAGCTGTTGCCTTGATCGCTGACCACGTCATTTCACTTGTTCAGCTGTTGTCCTCATTGCTGACCACATCATTTCACTTATTCAACTGTTGTCCTCATTGCTGACCACATCATTTCACTTATTCAACTGTTGTCCTCATTGCTGACCACATCATTTCACTTATTCAACTGTTGTCCTCATTGCTGACCACATCATTTCACTTATTCAACTGTTGTCCTCATTGCTGACCACATCATTTCACTTATTCAACTGTTGTCCTCATTGCTGACCACATCATTTCACTTATTCAACTGTTGTCCTCATTGCTGACCACATCATTTCACTTATTCAACTGTTGTCCTCATTGCTGACCACATCATTTCACTTATTCAACTGTTGTCCTCATTGCTGACCACATCATTTCACTTATTCAACTGTTGTCCTCATTGCCAACAACATATCATTTCACTTATTCATCTGTTGTCCTCATTGCTGACCACATCATTTCACTTGTACAGCTGTTGCTTTGATCACTGACCACGTCATTTCACTTGTACAGCTGTTGCCTTGATCGCTGACCATGTCATTTCACTTGTACAGCTGTTGATTATTGGCCACCTGACTCACATCATGTCACTGTTTCAAGCAGATCAGCTGTTTCACCATCATAAATACTTCAAGGATTTACATGATGTACACACCATGATCTTCCATCACCCATGAATGTGAAGCAGGGCATGGAGTCAGCTTGCTGACAGGGTGAACGTCTTTGGTCATGTGGACATGGCATCTGACTTGAATAATAAAGTCCATGGTTCGAATCCCAGAACGGGACTCACAAATTGTATGGCAGCCACAAATGCATATGGTTGATGCAATAGACACACCACTGAATGCTCTGGCCTCACATTTATTCTTGCAATATGTGCCACATTCTTATACTATATAGTTATTGTTTGATCGTCATTATAGAAGTTGGTGAGTCAAAAATGAAGCATACAACTAAATAAATGCAATAAACAAGAAGTTGTCATCCATAAATTTGTATGCTTCATTTTTGTACAATATTTATTGCTTCAATATCGACATGATCAGGAGACAGTAGGGTTGGACCAAAAGTAATAATAATAATAATAATAATAATCGTAATAATGTGTCCATTTATACAGCGCCAAACTCCACACCAGGTATGCTCATAGCGCTAAACCATGTAGTTCAGTTGGACCGATCCTTGAAGATCCGGGTTAGAATTGATCTTCAGTAACCCATTCTTGTCGTAAGAGGCGACTAACAGGATTGGGTGGTCAGGCTTGCTGACTTGGTTGAGACATGTCATCGAATCCCAATTGTGTAGATTGATGCTCATGCTGTTAATCACTGGATTGTCTGGTCGACTTTTTACTGACCATTGCTATAGAGCTGGAATATTGCTGAGTGTGGCGTAAAATTTCACACTCACTCACTCACTCACTCAGTTGGGCCAACTGTATCCTTTGATTTTTACACAGCCTTGGTTCATGAGTTCACATCACCATTACACTGTATATCAAGCCTGTGTAATCACCTAGTGTCTACAGACTTGTATGGTCTTGATGACCCTAATTAGAGTAATAATCACATGTTTATTGTTATAAGTGAAATCGGTAAGAGCTTTTCATAAAGATCATTGTTTCCATTTTCATACATGTTTAGTGATTATTCATAGATGAATGATCAGAAAAGTTTGGTTATCTTTGATCACACCCTTTGGCATGTAGTGCTGACAGCATTCACTCATCAAGAAAGGCTGAAAGGCTTGACTGACCATATGTGCACAGTGGGATATTTACTGCTGTGGGCATGGTGAGAGAGATGGAAAGAGGAATTGTTTTTACAATTCTACAACCTTCAATATTAGAATTAAATATTTCTCTGTTTCCATTATTTTTCAAGGAAGGAAGACTACTGCTGTGTGATGCAAATAAGAAAGGAACTGGTTTAACATACTGTCAGTTTATGTCTGAATAGTCTGTTTCCTGTGTGTGTAGAGAAAATGACTGCTGTTTTGCAGTACAAATTAGAAAGGACCATATTTATATAGATGAAAACGGTTAGTTTAAACATACTTGTTCGTTTTCAGTGTTGTAGTGGTGGAATGACTGCTGCTTTGCAAAACAAAAAAGAAAGAACCTGATTTGAAAATATGACCACTGTTAGCTTAAACGTACTTGTCTATTTTCAGCGTTGTAGAGGTGAAGTGTCTACTGCCATGTGATACAAGTGAGAAAGGAGCTGGTTTGACAATATAACAACCAGCCATGTTGTACATCTTCCACGTGGATACTGGCACCATGATGACCTTTGACATGAACCTGGCCATGGAAAAGTAAGTATTATTATCTTGTCTGATGCTGTTTAGATATTAGTATAACCATTTTAATATTCTCAAATTAAAACTGCAGTTACCATGGACACACCAACTGAGGATACCATGAATACTGCTTTTTGTAAGAAGACGAGAGACTTTTGTTGTCTGGACATTTTTTGTTCAGTAATATTGTGTGTTGTAGCCCTGAACATAGTTCACGTATGTACTGTAAGGGCACTGGTTACAGGATATTGTTCCAGCATGGTATCAAGGCTCCAGATAAGGGCCGTATCGGCGTATGTACGGATATGAAATAAACACGATACAGTAGGAAATAATTTAGGAAACGTAGCAGATACGCACCACAGCAATGGTGTACGGTCTTAAAATCATTTACAGACGTATTTATCTGAAAAGGTATTGCTTTATTGTTTATTGACCTGTTTACACAAGAGTAGCAATGTTGTGGTGCATATATGAAATGAAACATAAGATTACTGATATTCCATTCAGTACTCTAAATGTACTCTTATTGTTTTCCAGTACTCCTATATTGAAAAAATAAGGAGTACGTACTCCTGATCATGAAAAATTATCTGGAGCCCTGTGGTATAATATTCTGATGGAAAGATATTCCTGGAGATCAGTTATGCACAAATGTTGTAATGATTCATCCACCATGTTGATGCCAAGTTTTGAGTCTTTGAACAGCATTTAGAAATAATACACCCAACTTCTTTATTATGAAGGAAATGATGCTTAGGAGTACATAATCTTATCCCTTCATCAGGTGAAGGAGTAAGAATATACTTCAAAACGTCGAGTCCCTCAAAAGAAGGAAGTTGGCGTCCATAAATTCTTGCCTTTTTTACATCAAGTTGGTTTACATCCTGTTCATGTCTATAATATACTGAGGGAAAAAAATAAGGGATCACATGAGAGCACAAGTGTTCCTTTATTTTTATCCAGGTTTCTTCACAAGCATTGTATCGCATAGCTTGTGAAGAAACCTGGAAACAAGCTTTCATGTGATCCCTTATTTATTTCCCTCAGTATATATACAATATAATGACATAAAAAGTGTAGAGTGTATAGACTGTTTAATTTGGTAATGTTAATGTCGATAAGCATCTAACCTAGAATTGTCCAATCAAAACCAACATATCAGGTCTTTGAATGGCAACCAAAGTACATGTGATATGGCATGAAATCATGTTCCAAGCTGCTAATCATGCATGTGATTGATTTACTGGTTAGAAATGTGAAGTTTAATGTTCATAATGATTTTTTGAGTGAGACCAATGTTGTTTAGAACCATGTTGTTTGGAAACATCTTGTCCACGTGATCCAGCAGTTGTTTATTCTGTACGGGAGACTGTTGTGTTACAGTGTGTCGGTTCTGCAGACGGTCATCTCCAGCATGTGCCACATCTCCGAGGACAAGCAGGTGCTTCTGATCAGTGGCGGGGACAGTCTCGACCCCACCCAGAGGGTGGCCAAGTACAGCGCTGGCACGGTAGAACTCATTCACTATCTCTATGATTCATAACTGTTCATTTCATTGGATATTCACTAATTCCACAATGTCTTATTTATAGTCACAACTGGTATTGATGTGGAACTGGAAGAATTTAAACTCATGTTGATGAAATCATGGAAGGCTTTAGAATATGCTCATGCCATTTTTGTTTAATAAAATCACTGTCTTATCCTTTGATTTCTCCTGTGGATTTTTTTCAAATTGTCATCCTCGCTGGCTTTGGTAATTTGGTAGCTGTACCTGTAGCCTTGAGAGGTGAGGTAAGGTGAAATTGAGTTTAACGTCGTGCTTGAGAATATTTCCATATGAGCCATTGTGTATGTGTAAGTGCCTTACTAGCCTGAAGCTGGTTTTATAGTGCTAGCCCATTGAGATACCATGCCGCAGTGAAGCATGAATACCCCACTCAGACACATTATACTGACTCCGAGCCGACCAGTCCTTGTTGTACCCATTAATGCCGAGCGCCAGGCAGGGACCAACAAGTACCATATTTTAACGTCTTTTGGTATGACGCGGTCGGGGAGTAGCCTTGGGAATGTTAACCTGATTCTACTCCAGCGAGGTGCAACCATGATGTTGAACAGTACTCCAGCAATTGTTGAAGCTGCTATCATGTATAGCATTCTTAGTTTTGATTGTTTGCTAATGTTAAAGTTATGGTCATGTTTAAAGGGGTTGTTGCATGGTGGCGTGCATTTGTTCCTTGATCTGTTAATAGAGATTCTGCGCTGACAGAAGGGTGTATGTGGTTCTATCCTTGGCCACCTCAAAATACCTAAAGGAAAAGAAAAGAAAGTTTAAAGATGATACTTGTTAACATGACTGGTTTAATATAGGGGGATGAAAGTGGTTAAATTGGAGTCTGAAAATTATGTTCCAAACTACAGCATATCTTCTCAGTGGGCTACCACTATAAAAGTGGCATTAGGAGTAGTACGAGAAGAAACTGTGTGCTTGCAGATAGCTTTATAGGTGAAATAATCTTGAATGTTACGTTTTATGCTTTTAATCCATTTTTTCTGTTGAAGAAAAATTATTCATTTATGACAGCCATTAACATCTGTGAATTTGAATGGCCGATTTAATCCACACGCTCAAAGTAGATTGATGTACACATGGTAGATCTCAAAGTAGATTGATGTACACAAGGTAGATCAACATTCTCAAGGTAGATCGTTGTACTCTCGGTAGTAGATCCAGACTCTCAAAGTAAATTAATATACTCCAGGTGGATCCACACTCTTAAGGTAGACTGATGTCCTCTAGGCTGAATCAGTAGGAAATTTGCTTTCAGGTGTGTCAGTATCAAGTCAGTATGCCATTCATTCAAACTGGATATCAACCGCCTCCGTGGTGTAGTGGTTAGAGCGTCCGCCCGGAGAGCAGAAGGTCGCGGGTTCAATCCCCGGCCGCGTCATACCAAAAGACGTTAAAATATGGTACTTGTTGGTCCCTGCCTGGCGCTCGGCATTAATGGGTACAACAAGGACTGGTCGGCTCGTAGTCAGTATAATGTGTCTGAGTGGGGTATTCATGCTTCACTGCGGCATGGTATCTCAATGGGCTAGCACTATAAAACCAGCTTAAGTCTGGGCTAGTACAAGCAGCCGCACATACACATACACACGCATGCACGTCGTCATATGAGCGAAATATTCTCAAGCACGACGTTAAACCCAATTTCACCTCACCTCACCCGATCAAACTGGATATCATTTAATCAATTGAAACAGGAGTGTTAAGGGTCATGGTGTTCTTCTGTGTTTGACGTATTTATTAACATGTTCTTCTTCTATCACTCTTGACAGGACACCAACCCAATCTTCCTGTTCAGCAAAACCACCATCGAGGCTGCCACGCCCCCCTCCCCCAGCATACACTACGGATCAGGTGAGTGTAGTCCCCATCCAGCATTGATGTGACTGTCCATGACCTACAAAACTGACTGGTACCCAGGACATGGACAACCCATTGTGAAGGATAGTTTGTGTTATTGATGTATTCCAGATCAAACAAGGTTTCCAATTCCCCATCCTTGACAGAAATTATGCAGTTGGGGATTGCGTGGTTATGACGTGTGATGTTGCTGTTACTCATTCTGTCAATCACTGGTCTGTTTGGTCCATAGGGTGTCATGTAGCATTACTGACTACAGTGAACATAATGTCAACTCGCATAACTCTTTCATTTATGTTTTTTTTTAACATTTTTCTCCTGCTGTTCGAAATTTTAACATTTAACCACTCTGTATAGCCAGACTGTAAAAACATGTGTCCTCTTTGATCAGGTTGTTATTTTTCATTTCTAAGTGTCAAGAAACCTGTTCTTTATGTTTTTTAAATGTCAGGTACCAGTATAGCAATATATGATGTTTCAAGAAAGGGATAAACTATGTATTAATACAGTGAATGACAAGCACTAATCTAGCAACCATGCCCCATAATTGAAAATGTACGAATCACAAAATATCTATTCATATTCTTTGAACATAGCAGTCCATATTGTGAATGATTTATAGTTTCAGTTATATAGTGAGTTGAATCTATGAAAGGTTTAGGTTCCTTTGTGTGGTTATTATTTCCATTCTTTAAGAATCTGATTAACTTCAGTGACGACTGAAGCACACTGTTTGTGGATGTAGATACAGGCAATCTGGATTGCTATGGTTACAATCATTGATGTATATATGGAAATATAAGGCTGGATGCCTTGCTTATCTAGGTCAGATTACTGTTATGTGTAATGTTCCTGGCCAGGTCACGTTACATATATAATCCAATTTTAACATAAGCCAGGATAAATAATGATTAATTAAATACAAGTTACTTAAGGAATTGACTTCGAGACTTTCGGAGTTTCTGGATGTATATACTGTGCATAATGTGCTCACAGTGTTTACATTAAAATCCACTGAAGCATCTGCACCTTAAGTCAGTTTCTGGATTAAGGATTCATTACGAGTGATTATACATCTGGGAGCTATCTATCAAGTCTTAGTAATTGGTATTTGGTTAATCCTGATTGACAGGACAAGGGCGATATTTCTCATATTATCACTTATGATGAATACATACTTTTTTATCTAATTCCCTTTTAAGAAAAGAATGCATCAACATTTACGTCAGAATCTTGTCAAAATCTTGCATGTATAACATGCATAGTGATACGTTATCCTTTGTTATATGAACCAAAATAAACAACTCCTTCTATGCATATTCATTTGCTGAGAAAAAGTAATGCTGGTATAATTTCACTGATATTTAGCTCTGGAATCAATCTATGCTCTCACACTAAAAATGTCCAAATTCCGCTTTTCTAATCTGCACATCTAGTTTGCATAGTTATGTTTTTATGTTTTAAGTTTTTGTCACTAAAAATCATAGTTTGTTAGTGTCCGTGAAGATCCGGGTTAGAATTGGTCTTCAGCAACTCATGCTTGTCGTAAGAGGCGACTAAAGGAACTGGGTGGTCAGGCTCGCTGACTTGGTTGACACATGTCATCGTATCCCAATTGCATAGATTGATGCTCATGCTGTTGATCACTTAATTGTCTGATCCATACTCGATTATTTACAGACCGCCACCATATAGTTGGAATATGAGTGCAGTGTTAAACAACAAACCAGCCAACCAACCTATTTTCTTTGGTTTACAGAAACATTAACACAGTTTTGTTTGGCTAATCAAATGCCATTGTATCACTTGCAATATATTTATATTCATTATTAAATATTTATATTTATAGACTATATCTGTAGTTATACAGTATGTAGGGTGATTTATATGCATAAAGATGTAGGGTGGAAGGGTCTTAAGACCTTCTCTCCTATATGCTTGATTGGCATTTTAGAAGACGATATTTGATGAACATAGAGATTTTTTCTGGGTTACATCTTCTTTTTATTCTCGAGTACAACGTTTCAGAGTTAACAGTTACTGTTCAGTTTTACCTGATGATGGGGCCAGAACAAGCCCTGAAACGTTGTACTCGAGAATAAAAAGAAGATGTAACCCAGAAAAATCTCTATGTTCTCTCCTATAGTATTTGAATCTGGAGGCTCTTAGTTCTTTTAGACTTAACATTAGTGTTGCCTCTTGATGTTCATTATATTCATGCTTACTTTCAATGCCAGAGTGATCTTTACATATGTTAATACTAAATGCTTGGACTCTTACTAGCATGAAACATTTGACATAGAAGTAGCAGAATTAATATACTAATGTCTGTGATATCTACAAATTGTTCTCTTTCAAAGTACCGAAATTTGTTTTCATAAGCAGAATACAAGCTTAGTTTTGGATTTGCAGGTGAAATTCAAAGCTATTGTTGAAATTAGAGTATGGGAACTATGTCAAACATCAACATGGTGATTGAGAAGTTAGGAGACTGAAAACTGATGTTGCAGATGTCTTTCAGTTATTTTTATTTTTTTGCATTTCAGTTTTTTTATTCTTTGCATTCTTAAAACAATTTTAAATTAAGGCCTCAAGACAACAGTCTCAGTCTTTAGATTCAAATAATTTTGCAATGTCATTACCATAGGTATTTTTATAGTCACATCCGATAATCATAATCATAATCATATACTAATTCCTATCAAAACAGGAAGTAGGTTTGCAATTGTAAATCATTTCTAGTAATCTGGCTTTGCTAATTCAATTTTGCATGGACCAAATTGGATATCTTCTGTTCATTTAACAGAAGTGATGCAATCTATTTTTTGACCTTGCATTTTATATAGAAACAGTTTTCCAGAAACATGTACCCAAGAATGACGAGAGTTTGGATTGACTTAAACTCAAGTGTTCATTGTATAAACTAAAACACACTTTATTTAAAGCTGTTCATTTTTCTGTATTAAAAGATGGCTGTCAACATGCACCATGTTGTCAACAGTTTTTTCCGAGTTTCTTATGCTGTGTACGATGGGTCAATCATAAGTAACAACATCACTGTATTAGCAACAGTGCAGCCTTTATTAGAGTAACATGAGTAACAAGGTAACTAGAAGACAGTAACCTAACTGTATATCTATCACCTGTAGGTACTCGCTCTGAGAGACCAGGTAAGTGTGCTATTGTTCTTGTCATGGTGACTCACCGGTGATAAGCTATCCACGTCCTAATCAGAGTGTTTCAAAACCAACTTGTAAACCAAGACCCGAAGATGTTTGAGTCAAATCTTCGTACTACCGACATGTATAATGCTTTGTTTCTGTCATACTTCATTTTCCCCTATTTTTTTAGATTTGTAAGGAGTTGTTTCTTTTGTCTGTTTTCCAAATCTTTATGACCTATGTCATATACTCATACATGTATATATGTCCTGTTCTTTTCTTTTTTTTGTGGCAAAAAATAAGCAGAAAACCCAATTTTAGTCTGAAAATTAGTTAATGGAATCAAAACCGATCATGAATTGTTGTTGTAAATGTGTATAGATAGCCATAAGTAATTTCAATTCTTCCTTTCTCTGTTTCTTGATTTGGAACACTTTGGTTAATGGGATAACCATGGTTGGAACTGTTCTCTGTGTTGCCATGTTTATTTGTAGCATATGTTTAGACCTTCAGAAGTCTGACTCTTTGTCCTTGACCTTGCATAAATGTCTGGAACTCATATTTTCATCTGCGTATGTCACTTGGTATCTGAATGAGGGTTTTTCAGATTTTTATCTTCATTATTATTAATGCTTGGGCATTGCAGAGGCTCTTACCATGCTTTCTCATGGCTCCCACGAAAAAGTAGGGAAAAATATATCCATCACTGAATTTCCGGAAAATTGAAAAATGAAAATAAAACCCATTGTGACCTGACATTGCCTGAAGAACTTCTTCAGTGAATCGCAGGAATGTAAACTTTGTAGATAAATAGCCACAACATGCATCCAAGTTTGGGTGAATCTGGAAGTATCTGGAATTGGTTAAAGTGGTGTTAAGTGGGAACCATGTCACTGCTTGCTGTTTACATGTTTCTCTCTTCATTTCATCAGACTAATCAAACATTGCCAATCTTCTTGTTGAAGTAATATAATCCCCCATCGTCAAATTGGAGAGGTGAGGTCTTCAAAAGGGGACTTTTCATCGTGATAGTGATGAGAGGGGACAGCCTTTTAGGTGAAAGCTGAATAACATTAAACTACTTTCTTTCAGATGATTTTCTTAAGGTACAAATTACATTGTATCAGTTGGTGACTTTAACCACGGTTCTGAAATATGAGCCTATAAAAATTATTTCAATCTGATAAGGTCTGTATTTTCAAATATTATCCTCCGAAAGGTCAAATTTTCCTCATTGATTTGAATTGTTTGGGCACAGATTGATAAAAGACACAGCACAAGTATGTATTGTAGGGAAATATAACAGATGCAATACAAGGTTATATCCCACCCATTCTGCAGATCCAGTAAAATCCAGTTAAATCTATACCGTAATATGTTGACCAGGACATGATATCGGAGCAACATTTTTAAAAATTCTTGTATAATTTTGGAGGAGAGCTGCAGCACATGCTGTCGAAATCCGCTGATTCAGGGTTTTTTTTGGGTGGCCACAATATGTACAATGTCTGGATGAGAGTCAGGATACTCTCGGATATTGATGACTGCAGTGCGGCATCACTGACTCTCAGTTATGAGTTGTGTGGCCTGAAGTTGATAGAAAAGTAATGGGTGCTATGATGCTGACCTGTCGACTTACTAAAAGAAATCCTCTAAGATCAAGCAAATTGACATGCAACAGTTTTGAATAACTACCTACAGATTAGAGTGCTATAAGTTTGTTTTGATATTGCCTAGTAACAAGTTTGCTTACCAGTTTTTGAAAAGAAATTCCTGGAGTTTTAAAATCTTTGCCCGTTTTGCTTGCCATTAGTTTCTTCTGTTTTTTGTCATGGATGATACATGAACTTACAATAAACCTCATCTTCTAGTAATATTTTGCATGGATTATAACTTGAGATGACCCTATTCAAAAAGAAAACTTGACTCTTTCTCTTGTAATGTAAGCATGTCATATCACATCTTTAAAAAACTATGTCTAGCTACTGATTGGTTATGATATACCAGGGACAGTGGGGTAGCCTAGTGGTTAAAGCGTTGGCTCGTCAATGAAGCCCCCGGGTTCGAATCCACACATGGTTACATCGTGTAAAGCCCATTTCTGGTGTCCCCCGCCGTGATGTTGCTGGAATATTGCTAAAAGCGGCGTAAAACCAAACTCAGTCAGTCAGTATGATATACCACAGCAAAGTATCAGCACTCAGCAATGGCATCATGCAATGGTCTTGATGAACACCATCCTGTATATTACATTCTAGCCTCAGCATGCTGAAAACATTCTAATACATTTTCCAAATGAGTTGTTTCTCCTCAACTTCAAATTTGTTTTGGTAGAAAGCATGATTTCCCTCAGAACCAAAAGTTTAAAACTATGCCAACCCACCCAGCCTCATCTCATCCTCAGACTGATTTCACTTGAGTCAGTAACTGTTGTTTGTATGTACACCTCTGAAACCTTGTGTGTTAATTTTCTCAGATTTGGATATCATGTAGATCATAACATACAGGATATATGTGATGTATAACTATCACGATATCACAAAATACAAATATGTGTAATAAATAAAATAGTACCTTCTGTACAGTGTGTATATTCTTATACTAAATTGTTTTAAAATAGTCAGCTTGGGGAAATCTCATCCAGTATTTATGTGTATCTACATTTAGGGCTATAAAATAAGTGGGAATGTTATAAGTGTTATAAGCAACCATGGCAGTCTTTAGTTAAAACCTTCCACATTTTTGGATTAAAAAAAGATATATTAATATCGCTGTAAAGTATTTCAATAAAATGGTCCATTATATATTGTTATAACTTGCAAAATGTGGAAACAATTTGATAACCTTTCACAGCTATTTTAGGCAAAAACTGAAGTGGTGACGTCAGAGTGTGTGATAAAGATGTAGGTCTGCAGTCTCCCTCCCACCAGCACCTGTACTGATGTTGTAGCCCTACTGTAGGTAAAAACTAAGTGGTAAAGGCTGAGTTTGTGATAAAGATGTAGGTCTGTGGTCTCCCTCCCACCAGCACCTGTACTGATGTTGTAGCCCTACTGTAGGTAAAAACTAGGGTGTAGGGCTAAGTGGTAAAGGCTGAGTGTGTGATAGAGATGTAGGTCTGCAGTCTCCCTCCCACCAGCACCTGTACTGATGTTGTAGCCTAATGTAGGTAAAAACTAAGTGGTAAAGGCTGAGTGTGTGATAGAGATGTAGGTCTGCAGTCTCCCTCTCACCAACACCTGTACTGATGTTGTAGCCCTTCTGTTGGTAAAAACTAAGTGGTAAAGGCTGAGTATGTGATAGAGATGTAGGTCTGCAGTCTCCCTCTCACCAACACCTGTACTGATGTTGTAACCCTACTGTAGGTAAAAACTAAGTGGTAAAGGCTGAGTGTGTGATAGAGATGTAGGTCTGCAGTCTCCATCCCACCAGCACCTGTACTGATGTTGTAGCCTAATGTAGGTAAAAATTCAGTGGTAAAGGCTGAGTATTTGATAGAGATGTAGGTCTGCAGCCTCCCTCTCACCAACACCTGTACTGATGTTGTAGCTGTGTGGACACTACCTATCTCTGCTGTTATCAGACTAATCCTGGTGTTTCTGTTGCAGATATTGATCTTCAGGGTCAAGTTGAAGGGTCACTCATCATGCCTCCAGCCTATGAGACAGTAGTGTCTCGGACCCAACTCTCTGTGGTGTGTAACCCTTGATGTGTTGATATGAAAACAATACTAACAACATTAAATGATGCTGGACATCAGACTACAAATGTACTTTAATGTTAATATTACAACAGTGTCATTCTTTTTAATTTGAAATAGTTAGTGTTATTTCAGAAATACTTGCATAATGTTATAGAATACGGTATTATTCAGAACAAGTTTTGGACTGTATCATGGTGACGTTTGTAAATACACTAGGGAAGTTAAGTGTTTCAGTTCCGAGTAGGTTCTGTTAATACTCATACCTACTGAACTATGACAGAGGCCTGTATAAATATGGTTGCACTCAGATATTTGAAGAAACAATTGATGAATGCTAATTTGTATTAATGTGGTTCTTCCATGGCACCAAGAACTCAATTTTAATGGGACTGATTGTCTTGTAGCAATTCCGTGATGTTGATGAGGAAGAGCTGAAGGCCTGTGAGCGTCTCGTCCACGATCAGCATCTACAACAGCAGGGATGGGCCGCCGTTGTTGCAAACCTTGAGGACATCACCAGGTACACAATTGTCTCCCTTATGTCACTGACCGTGTCAGATAGTGGGCCATAAACAAGCAACAGTTTGACTATTTGCAAAGAGCACACAAAGAGTGGGTGTTCTGAGTTGTTATTACTTGTATCCAGTCCTTTCCACTTTCATGGCAGTAATATTGTACAATGGATTGTTCACTGGTTCATATAATTTACACAGTTATGATGGCACCTTGATATTTTAGTGATGCACTTGCAGTTAGTGCAGCCACTGTAAAAACATTTTGCATCGACTTTAAGAGGTTTTAACTCAGAGAAGACAACCAATCTGTTGATTTCAGAAGTGGAATCATCTCCTGGAATCCACACATTTTTTTGATTTCTCCATAATGTTAGAAGTCCTCTCCAGCATCAGACAATATATTTGTAAAGTCCTAAAGTCCTATTACTTCACTTTTTATTTAATTTTCCTTTGTATTGTTTCAACATGGTTAAACATTCAGCTCAGTTCAAAAAGATGTACTTAAATCATGTTTCTGTTATTAATAACCTCTGTTTGCCTGCAGTGCCCTGAGACAGAGATGGGAGTTGTTTCAGGAGGCTTATGACAACTACCTCACAGACCGACAGGGTTATCTCAACACACTCGCCAGGTCAGTACCAGGGGTGAATAGCAGCGTGTGTAGAGCCATAATGGGGGTGTAGAATCATGACAGGACTGTAGTACCATGGTGGTAGTACAGAATTATGACAGGTGTATAGAACCTTGAGGGTAGTGGGCGAATATAGCCATGGAAGACAGAATTATGACAGGTGTTTTGGGCCAACTGACCTCTTGTGTTGTTACAGTATCGGGCAGTCCCTGGAGCTCCTGTCCAAGATCCCCCTGTTGACCTGCCTCAGCAGCCCCCTAGGTATGGCCATGTCCTACCCTCGTGATGCCAGCAACACAGTCACACCTGATGACATGGAGTTGGCACAGTGTAAAACTCTCTTTGAGTGGATCAGCTCTCAGGTGAGTTATTCATAAATATACAGTTGTTCCATCTCTTTCAGCCTTGGGTATAGTTGGTTCACCTCGCTTGCTCCAATTAATCAGTCAATATTTAGGTTATAATATTTGTTGTCTGAAATTAAGGAAAGTGAATGAACAAATATGGGTCCCTACTCTACTCACTATATATTGACAGTTGTATTAAAAAATACATTAATTACTAAGTTATCCAATATCATATATATGATATTGCTTGAATATTGCTAAAAGCAGCATAAAACTAATCTCACTCACTCACTTGTGTTTGACAAGCTGTGTGTATGTTACAGGACCCTCAACACAGTCTGCATGACATGGTGGAGCAGTGCCTCAAGGCTGCAGAACAGGTCAGTTACAGAGTCTGTAAGGCATTGAGTAAGAACAGCATCTATAGGGATAACTTGCTGATGACTTGCAAATATACAGTAACGAGCAGAAAAAATGCGACTTTTCTGAACGTAGTTTCAAAATTTAGTTACATCTACTCTGGATACTGAAGTTTACATTTATGCAAGTCAATAGTCTGTTAGTCCTTTTCTCTCGATGCCCTGCTGAATACGGCGTCCCATGCTGTCAATCAAATTGTCTATGTAGTCCTGGGGTAGGTCCCCCCATATTTGACTGATGAGATTAGACCACTCAACGACACTCTTCGGTTCCAACTTTTCTAATTTGTCCTTCATAATCTGCCACACATTATTAATTGGGTTTAGGTCTGGTGATGCCGCTTGAATTTTCTGTAAGGTCACGTGACTCGTTTCAAACCAGTTACAGGTGTGTCTTGACTTGTGTACAGGTGCATTGTCCTGTAAAAGTTTGAAAGGTATTCCACTCTGTCCTATATGGGATTCCACTATGCCTTCTTGTATAAGTTGACAGTACTTGCGTGAATCCATCCTTCCTGTAATAGTTAGCAGGGGCGTTACCCCGAGTTTGCCTATACCACCCCAAACTATGACACTGGGTGAGAACTTCGGAACCATTTTGCAGCTACGTCCACCTTTTGACCACCTTTCTTGTGATCCTATAAAACTTAAACTTTGATTCGTCCGTAAAAATCACATTTGAAAAGTATGTACCCTGCACCACTCGAGCCTTTTCTCCATATGTGCTGTTGTCATCAATGGAACTTTCTTCGGCTCTCGCTTGACATATCCAGATTGCTTTAAAGATCTTCTGATTGTCCATTCTGATACCTTAGGGGTTCCTTGACATGACACCTTCACAGCAAGCTGTTTTGCAGACCAGTTTGGGTACGCCGCCGCGAGATGCGCGATACGTCGTCTGTCATTTGCCCCAAGAGTAGCATGACGTCCCGACCCAGCCTGTCACTCTGTCCCTAACCCTGCGTCAAATTTCTTCAAATTTCAGTAAACAGAGGCCCGATGCAGTCCCGTTAGTTTCACAAGTCTAGTTACTGATGTAATACCTGCTTCATAATATGCCAAGAGTCGATTTCTGTTGTTTTATAACGTCATGGAAAAGCTTTCGGTATCGTCTGCTAGCAACGAGGTCACGTGATCAATCCATCCCTGAACTCAAGGGAGACAATTCCATACCAACGAGGCAAGCTACTGGCGGCTAGAAACAATGTATTTCGGCCTTTTTTATAGTAGGATCGAGTCTACAGAATAAAGTTTTTTGTTGCATTTTTTCTGCTCGTTACTATACACATGATATAAGACTGCATTAAATGTTGACAATGACACAAAGGTTAAATGTAGATGCCTTTGTATCTGTTTGTTGTGTGTGGCCAGTTTGACGAGAAGATCCTCGACTCTCTGCACGCCGAGGTGCAGCAGACGATGGAGGCTGTGGATAACTGCAGCATGAAGGAGGTCAAGGGGCTTGAGGACCGACTGTACGGACTTGACCAGTTCATGTCCGGGGCCAGGAAGATCGTGCAGGAACAGGCAGACATGGCAAAGGTGCTGGTTCCAGAGCTTCACATTCATGTGAACACTCAACTGTGTAACTGTCGACATTATGGGTCAGAAATGTTAAGAGTCATTTTAGTCAGGTGCAAGTAACAATAACTCCCTTGCAGTCTAAATCATGGTATTGTCTAAATATATTGCAAAGGCATGGCTAAAATAATCTGTGTTATGACCAAATATATGACCAAATAGTGATTGCAACATTGGGATTCTTTTCCCTGCTTAAAGGTCACATGCAACGTAAAACACAACTTTGCAGATTCTGATACCTTTCGGTATGGACTTACCGAAACAAAGCGTCAAAAATTCAAATTCAACTTATAAAGTTGAAAAATAACGCGATGAAAAAAAACGCGCGAAATCGGAGTTCAAACGTTTCACTAATTTTCCCCAGACTTTTCTGGGGAATACGGGTTTCAACAGCTGGGCTGCGCTCATAGCACGTGCGCAGTGAAATAGGTTCGCGGAACTTGGAAGCGGGCTGTCTGGTGAATACTCGGTGAAGGCTTTGGTGTGAGCTATTTTCATAATTGTTTTTGATATCTCACAGGCGCGAGCTTTTTATATGTTATGACAGTAAATAAATTGTTTATATAATTTCATTTGTCTATTTCACCACACGTTCTTCTTACCGAGTCACTTTCTCAGTTCGATACTTAAAAGCAATGTCATTATTTAGCGTTGACACAATTTCTAACTGTGATATAGATATGTCGTTGTCACAGACAAAACTCAATGTCTTGTTTTATTGACACCTATGTGTCTGCCTGCCTGTCTGCTAATGACAATATTCAATACACAACTGCGATCACTGACCACATGCAATTTGAACTTAACACCAATCAGGCTATACACCATAAACAAAACGCATTGATTTATGGCCCGAGTTCGGTCTCTGTCACGTTATGTAATTACACAGACAGGCAGGTGTGATACTTGAACACATGACATGTTATGATGTCTGTTGATTGCAAAATGTTATACACAAAAAATGAGCATGTATTTACAAAACCCAACATCTCTATATATACACACACAATGACCCGTGAAGGCGGCATCTGCTAATGAACCAGCCGTTACACTTGAGTGCACACCCACCCACTCTGACTGGGTTCGGTATCCCGGCTGCTTCGTTTCGAGGGAGGTAAACCCAAGTACAAAATATTGCACTTTTGATTTGCGATTATACGCTTATAATTTTGTTTATTTGTTTTTTCATAATCAGCAATGCATATTATATGTCATGAAGAAGTGATAATTGTGTTTTAATTATGTTTGATTTTTTGGTTGCATGTGACCTTTAATATAATGGTAAGCGTCCAAATCTATGTGTTTTGAGCTCCCTGCTCTCAATAAGCTGATGTGCCATGGTATGCACATCTCCAAGTGGTGTTAAACCCTCCATCACGATAGCTGTGATCTGTTCTGTGCAGGGGTTTGTCCAGAACCAGAACCGAGTGAGCAATCTGCGGGACAACTCCATCCTGCCCGACCTGTGTGCCAGTCACAAGAAGCAGCTGGTGGTGATGCTCAACAACCACAAGAAACTCCGCGACATCAAGAAGAAGTGTCGCATGGCCAAGGAGGAGCTCTCCATCAACCTCCACACCAGACTAAGGTACAGGCAGTGTACATGGGATGACATGGGAACTTGCATTTAGTCTGTAATATTTTCAGCTGTCCTCAAAGTTCGTATCACTATTAGCTTAAAGTGTACCTTTGGAATCCACTAAACTCAACATATCTTTTGGCATTGTTAGCTAGTCATAATCTGAACTATGAGCTACATTTATCAGAAGAAATGCATATTGATAGAACAAGTATATGGATGTTCTATCTGACTTCCAACTTCTAAGACCGCCTCCGTGGTGTAGTGGTTAGAGCGTCCGACCGGGAGAGCGGAAGGTCGCGGGTTCAATCCCCTACCGCTTCATACCAAAAGACGTTAAAATATGGTACTTGTTGGTCCCTGCCTGGCGCTCGGCATTAATGGGTACAACAAAGACTGGTCGGCTCGGAGTCAGTATAATGTGTCTGAGTGGGGTATTCATGCTTCACTGTGGCATGGTATCTCAGTGGGCTAGCACTATAAAACCAGCTTAAGTCTGGGCTAGTACAAGCAGCCGCACATACACATACACACGCATGCACGTCGTCATATGAGCAAAAAATATTCTCAAGTACGACGTAAAACCCAATTTCACCTCACCATCACTACTAATAACAAGCCTTGTGTGTGTCCAGGTGGGTGATGTTTGTGGAGAAGAAGATTTGTGATGTTGATGGGAAACTGATGATATACCGTGAGAATCTGAAACGGCTCCAGAAACGTCTGGACATCCTACACCAGATTCATGACGCACCCCGAGTCTATGCGGAGCTAGTGGTCGAGGTCGTCAGAAGGAGGAAATTCTCCACACAATTCCTGGAGGTCAGTTTGGAGACCTGAAAGGCAATGTCTGGATAGGTGATAGGCAACAAATGAACTTGAGAGAAATCTTTTTATGAAAGGTTGACCATAAGGAGATACAAGAATCTCCTTCCACCTAAAGTATACCAAGTCTGTACTGAGGCTTGTCAATAGGATTTCACTTTTTGGATTTCCGTACCTTGAATTTCTCCATAAGGATTTCAGGGTAGAAATGTTCCCCTACACCTTATTTGAGGTATAATAATAATAATAATAATTCATTTATATAGCATCTAGTATCCATCTGACTAGTTGCTCACAGGATGCTGTCTGGTATGCAAAGAGATCAAAAATAGTTATAAGTGGGCAAAAGATGGCTGCGTGAAAGCTTTGTGTGAATATATAAATAATGATCTCTTAGATTCTTTATCAGAAGAAGTCCTCCTTGGGGTACATATAAGCATTAAAATGTTCATTTTAAAACCTACGACAGTTGTAATTATATTTTAATAAAAAATATTTACAAAACAAAAAACACGTTTTTGTCTTGTGAGACCACCCCTACAGGGCTGCTCAGGGCCCCCTACAAACAAGAGCAGGTAACTCTAGCCGTCAACCTCACACCTCACTTTTCATGCTGTCGTTCATTGCGAAAGACATGTGTGTGTTCATCGAAGTATAGAAACTTCTACCTATAGAAATGAGTGGTAAAGAGTCACCGGCTGTATGTATGGTTCCATTTCTTTCGCATGGGCGCTAGATGGAATTTATAGTTTGAACTTTTCATTCATAAATTGTTGTAACTTTGCCAGTTGGGTTCCCATTTCCAGCCATGTGGCAGGCAAGATGGCAGATTGGATGGCTTACATTTGTTCCTTGTTGTGTGGCGCTTGGCGTTCACAAAACCGGACGGCTGTATATATGTTTACCATATGCTAGGCTTGCCTAATTAATTTCGCTTTCAGTGAATTTGGTAATTTAGCATTTACGTTTGTATTTGCTGTATATTACGCTGTATATATATGTAAACACAGGCAGCTTGCATTTTCTCTACTTGTTCATGTATACATGTTAAGCAGGTTAAAATTGCTTTAGCTTTTGGCAAACTTTTATCGCCCCTGCGTTTCTCTTTGCTATTGCTTGTGTAATTATATATGTGTATATATGTTTACTGTACAACAGCTACCATTACCTGGTTCTGTTTGTTACAGTTTCGGCCTTGCATTTCATGCGGCACTCTAAACTTACTGGCCCAAGATACTCACGAAGTTTGCCTTTGCTGTCTTGCGGAAGAGCATCACGATGATCAGGGGTGTGAGAAATGTCAAGCTTTCTCCCCCAGGGCTATCAAGCGTCGGTCTGCCGGCGACATATTGTCCTCCATATTGCAGCAGCAGATGACTTCGGGTTCGCTCACTTATCTCGGCCCGGAGGCACCCCTACCTCCGGCTTAGGCTCCGGGACGGGTTCTGCCTCCGGGGGTGTGCCTAATCCGAGCTTCGGCTCCGGTGACTGCCTCTCTGCCGGTGTAGTTGTGTCTGACCTGAGCCTTGGCTCTGGTACAGTCGAGCTCACTGGTGCCGGTCCTTCGGGTCTTGTACCGTTGGCAACCGGCACCCAAGCTGTGGGTACTCGAGCGCCGTCACTGCCGGTTACCTCTGTGCCTTCCAGTTTTCCGGGCTATCCTGTTACGGCAGGCACTTCCCTGGGTCCTCAATGGGCACATAGATCAGCAGCGGCACCTCAGCTCTTCTTGATCCATTGTCCTTGTCTGTGGATCCTGCTTCCGTGACTTCGGAGGTGACTCTTGACACCGAGAGCTCATTTCTGGGGGAGCGGGAGGAGGAAGCCATGGATGAGGACGGGGGTCAGGAATAGTCGGGGGAAGGTAGCTTCTCACTTGGCCCGTCCCTGCGGCAGGTACGTGATCATATCGCTACTGTGTTGCCGCAGGTGAGACCCATTTGTGCATTTTGCCTTTGCTCGTTAGCGAGGTAATCAATCCTCTCTTGTTGGGTAGTCAGTCATGGTTTGATCTCCCGGAGCTCAACCGTTGCTACTTGATGGGAGAGGAGGCTCTGTTTGACCCTCAGGTGGTTGACGAGTGCATTTATGCCTCGGTCGCTCTAGGGGGGTCATCTGGCCACAGTCAGGGGTTGGCTCGGCAGGGCCGGCGCTTTTGTAGTTGGTGCTACTACACAAACCTTATTGAGATGGATTGTGTCAGCAATTTGTATGGCTTACATACATAAAGGCCTCTCGACTTCCGGTTTTTCACTTGGTGTCGGGTTTTATTCCTTCTCCCTTTTTATCGATGATGGTATCTGGGGGTGGCTTTTATTCCCGCTCTACTTTGGTATATCGGTGCCTTGCTTATACTCTCCATTTTCCCATGCTTGGCTAGCTGTGTGCTATGGACAGTAGTTTGTGTTGGCGAGTCCCCCGTATTTACACACCTCCAACCCTTGGGTTGGGGGTGGGGTTTGTTACTGTGGGTGTGACACTGATAAGCCAATCGGCATATAGGCTATGACAGTCCGGGTCCTCGCCCTAGCTACGCCCCCCGCCTTGATTGACATCGGCGGTCAGGTGACTAGGTAAGTGTAATTCTCTATGTCTGTGTGATTGTAGATTGTTACTGCGATTGGATCACTATGTCAGACAGAATACCACTCCCGGCTCAATTGTCTTTGGGAGTCTGTTTTATGCTTATATGTATCCCAAAGAGGGCTTCTTCTGAAAAAGAATTCTACAAACCTGTAGAGGTTATGAATTCTTTGAAGAAAGTCCTCCTTGGGGTACGGCCACCCGCCTCCACTCATTTTGTCTGATCCGTTCAGCATGAAAAGTGAGGTGCGAGGTTGACGGCTAGAGTTACCTGCTCTTGTTTGTAGGGGGCCCCTCAGGGGGTGGTCTCACAAGACAAAAACATGTTTTTTGTTTTGTACATACTTGTATTAAAATATAGTTACAACTGTCGTAGGTTTTAAAATGGACATTTTAATGCTTATATGTACCCCAAGGAGGACTTTCTTCAAAGAATTCATAGCCTCTTCAGGTTTGTATAAATTAATTGAGTTAGTTTCAGTCAAATTCAAAGATGTTCTTCAGTGTCTCTCATGTCTAAATCTGCTTATATTATAGGGTACTGCTGTGTATGTGATGTGATGATTGTCTCTGTTCTTAGTGGGCAGGCAACCTGGCTCTGGAATCTAGTCAGCTTCAGACAGATGAAGTCAACAGGAGACAGGCATTCCTCTCAGAGCTGGGTAGGCATCGTCTTCTCGAATTTTCCAAATAGAATTTTCTGTTCTGTATATTCAGAGCTCATCTGGGAAAGAATTTAGGATTCAGGCAATGCCTTTGTATCCACCAGTAAGCATTGCATGTTTAGATATGTTGGTATTGGCGATAACTGTGTAAAAAAATACTCATGTCATACCATTTAGGCCAGACCAAATGTTTTCCTTTTAAGATGAGTTCTCTGCCCAAAATAAGCCAAGAGCAATAAACATATGCCTGTATGTGCCTACAGCAAGAAGTGTTTCGGGGTGGTGGGGTAGACTAGTGGTTAAAGCGTTCGCTTGTCACCCCGAAGACCCGGGTTGATTCCCCACCTGGGTACACTGAGTGTGTGAAGCCCATTTCTGGTGTCCCCGCCGTGATATTGCTGGAATATTGCTAAAAGCGGCGTAAAACTAAACTCACTCACTCAGTCAAGGAAGTGTTTCCATTGATAGATGAGGTAGGTAGGTATGTAAGGTTTTAGGGCGACCTTGGGCCTTAAAAGGCCTATATGCGCCCGATAGATGAGGTAGACTGGTAGAAGAGTTGCTTCCCTTTCATTGAGAAAATTAATCCGTATCTAAGTGTAGTCAGTTAAGTATTTGTATATACCGAAAATGATCCCTTTTCATTTATTCTTTTTAAAAATCTGAGAAAAATATTTGTTCAACTGATTCAGAATTCAGGAAAACACCCATTGACCTTTGCCAAGTAGGTAAATGTACAGTCAACAAGCACAACTGAGATATCATACCAGAGAAAGCCAACTCCAAATATCCTGGACAAATTCTAGTACTTTTTCATTGGGAGTGTGATCTGGAATTTGAACCAACGCCCTCAAAGTTGATAATGTTGTGCACAATGAACATTGATCCTAATGAAATCACTAACAATGTGCTTTCTGTTATAGGCAAACACTTCCTGCAGTCCTTGTTCCAAGGGTTTGAGGATATTCCCCCAGTGTTCGCTGTGAGTATGTCAGTCAGGTGTCTGGGCTGTCAGTTAAATGTTGTCATATGTAACAACTTGGGTGTGTTTTTGTTAACATTGTGTTATGGAAAGAAACTGGTCTGGGTGAGATCAGGCTAATGGGGGACTCTCTTTCATCAATGAAATACACAATGCCATTTTAGAAAGTGGTCAAATGTAACATATGTTGTATTTGGGATTACACTTTCTTATGGTGGAAGCTGCGGTGGCTGAGCGATTTAGGCGTCTGACTTTGTGTGCTGGCGATTACTAGAATTACTGAAAAGTACTAGAATCTGTACTTTATTAAGAAAGTTTATTCCCAAATATAACATATGTTACTCTTTCATCAAGTCTGGTCCCACATTCAGTTTCTGTCTAGAGGTTGGTTTTTGGGTCTAGTGTGATACAGACATTTTCTTAATGTATTTTTTTTATGTGTGAAAAGGCAACGTGGTTAATGGACAGCGTAAAAATCAATTCCTAAGACTGCCAATTAACTTGAACATTATTCCCATTTTAGGTCTGTGATTCCTGTTTGTATGACATAATGGCCTATATATCATTGTTACGACAATAATTATGACAGTAATACTTATGACACTACAGTAGGTGTGTAGCTACGATTTCATCATGCTGATAGGCCTCAGGCATTACTTCTTTAAAGTGGAAACTATATGGATCAGTCACTAACCCCTCCTCTGATCCAGATTATAATAAATATTGTTACAGTGTAAGCTGTTCTACAGTAATTGTTTTGTTCTGACTGCCAATACCAGGCCGAAGCCCCTGAAGAGTTTGACCAGAGGCTTCCTCCCATCACAGACGATGACATTAAGATGCTGCGAGACTCAGTTCCTGAACTTGCAGACAGACTCAGGTAAAACATTTTAAAAATAAGCCAGTCTGAGCCAAAAACATTTGAGTCTACTTGCATGTTTATTACTCTAAGAATTCCATTCAGTAGAATTTAGAGCTCAGAATAGTTGAGCTTATTAGTCTTAACAAAAGTTGGCTAGTCTCGGGCTTTGGATAAGTGACTAAAGTCGTCATCTGTATTGCTTGTGGAATGAGCCCTTCTCTGTACATTAACTATTGAAGAAGTGTGCACAGCCTGTAATGTTGTGTCACGTGTGAGAAATATTGCCGATGTAATCAGACGATTTATTGTTCTGAACCCTCACTTTCTTCTCTCTGGAACCAGGCTTTAGATTGATCCTTTGCTTTGGGTATATGTAGTCATGGTGATGGAGGAACATAGCGTGTACAGACTCATGACATACTGTCAAGGGTCATAGATTGTAACCACATGATGTAGAATTGTCTCATGGGAAAAGTGCTATTCACCACCAGGGTAACTCAAATGGACAAGATAATTCATGGTACCAATGGATCTCTCTTGATAATAATGTATGTCCTACAGTTGAAGATGATTTATATTTCAGCATCCCGTCATCAGTAGCTGTGGGTGAGAGGATGACTCTGCACACGATGATGTCATCGGTCAGTGACTCCACAGTACAGTGTGATGCTATGGTGTGTCGCAGCCTCCCAGGCATTGGGTCATCGACAGCAACATCGGACATTGCCATCATACAGAGTCAGGGAGACCACCAGTTTGTGCATATAGAGAACAGTAACCTGAGTCTCAAGGACCAGGTAGCAGCATGTGAGCCCCATACTGACATTAAGATTAAACCCCAGATTACTGTGATCGCTGACAGACCGACTTTCCCGGTGCCACAGAGTCTTTCAGAAACATTGACCCAGGAGATGAGGGCAGAGGTGAAGGCCAAAGGGGACCTTGCTGGGAAGGCGAATGTTATGAAAAGTGCGAAAGGTTCTCAAAGTGTGGATGGAATTAAATATGTGAAAATGTCAGACAGTGCTGATGGACTTCAGTCTTCTGGAGAACCGACCAAATCTTCAGATAGTGAGGTAGGAAGTGCTGACAGGAGCCGGGAGAGTCTGCCAGGCAAGAAGTATCATGGGAAGGGTCACCTGACAGCTGACACATCACCAGAAGTGGAAACCTCCCAGGAATTCACGACTGCCGATTTCTATATAGATGAATCGATGCCTTCTTCCATGACAGACTCTCCACCCAATAAACACGCAAGTACTGGTGAGAAGGTCACCATCTCTCAACAATTGGTGGAAAAAACGCAGTCAGTAGCCAAATTGGAAATGGAGTTGGTTGAAAATCAGGAAAAGCTCACAAATTCACAGAAACAAATACTTTCCTTCAAGGAAATAATATCTAGAGATATACCAAAGCTACGAGATTTACATTCAGATTTGCGTAAAACTGTGTTGTCAGACAAAGAAAGTATGAGTAAGTATATTGATACATCTGTGAAAAGCACAGTGACTACATTAACATGTTTTCATGACAATGTTAAAAAAAGGCACGATTTGGCTATGAATATGTCAACAGCTGAACACGCAAAGGCCGTGAGTGATTTTGAGAACAAAATTGATGAACTATCTACAAGTAAAAAATGAATTGCAGAAGAAAGTCAGTAACCTTCAAAGCAAGCTTCAGACAGGTGCCACTGATCTGGAGAAGCTGAAATTAGATTATGGTAAAGAGAGTAAAGAGATGAAAGAGAAATTTGAGGAGGAGAAGGATGACTTAATACGGAAGCACACCCTGGAACAAGAAGTAGAACTGGACAAGGTCCAGTCAGAGTACAAGGCCGATTTGGACCAGTATGAAGGACAGGTTCGGGAACTGACCGATAAACTGACTGAAGCTGAACAGAAGATTCACCTGAGTACAGCTCAAATTGAGAAGGAAGTGAACCAGCTTAATGAGAAGTTTGAGAAAGAGAAGGCAGCTTTGAGGAGTTCTCTGGAAGAGCGGTTCAGAAAGCAAGAAAGGGAGAAAGTTGAGGAAGTTCGGAATGAAATTGGAAAGGCCAGCGACGAAAAGATTGAGAAACTCATGTTGGAACATGAAAGAAAGCTCACTCAAGAAATGGGGAAACTATGTCGAGAGAAGGAGCAAGCATTGCTGGACCAGAAGGTTGAGCTGGAGAAGATAAGTAAAGCAAATGTTAGTGATATTAGGGAAAAACTGAACAGTGAAAAGGCTGCAGAAAGACAACAGATTCAAGAGCAAATGGAGAAGGGTTTTAACGAAAGACTTTATGCTCTTGAAAGGGAACATGGTGAGAAGGTGTCAGGACTTAAGCAAGCATTTAACATTGAGCGAACAGAGCTTGAGCAGCAGCTTAAGCAGCTGGAGCGGAGCGCCATGAGCAGCACAGAGAGTCAGACTGAAGGGCAGGAGGTAATGACACTCAGTCAACATGAACTGAAGATGGAAGAAGTGCAGATGCAGTTGAAGGAGGAGATGGATGAGGTGAGGCATTGGAGAATATATCAAATTTTTAACTTACCTTACCATAGGTCTTATGCATATTACCTCAAGCTCCGTTTAAAAGAGATCAGACAGACGTTGATTCGCCATTCGACTAGAATTGCTGCCTCATGTATTGACGAGTGTACAGGAATGGAACTAACGTGATCTCCCCTCCCGGCCAAGCGCAGTCTATCCAAAAATCACTTTTACTTCAAGCGTACTGCGAGTCAGACATTTTTGGTTTCGCTACGTGCATCTTACTGATGCTTTTTCACATTTGTATTTGGTATGTATGTTTTTTTATGTCCTATCTTCTACTATGTGTGGGTGAAGAGGAATTAAAATAAGTTTCACCTACCTTGCTACCTTGTGTCTCTCACTTCGATGTGGGGTGTATTCCCACGTCACGAGTGTCCCTTCGCTTGGCATGTTTGGTGTATTGTATACTCCTATGGCTCTTTCACCATAATATTTCATGTTTGGTTTTGCGTATAGTGCTAGTAATTCCTAATTCTTGCTTTTTTCACACTCTTCTCGGCACAGTGGGGCAGCCATTTTGTTTTGGTTGTTTACTCTCCACTGTCCTGCCTGCTTGGGCGTTGCCGATTTTTTTCTGCAGGGGTGTTTCCACTTTTCTGCAGTTTTTTTTTTCCTGCTGCTTACGTATGTTTAACGTTTCTCCCTTTTGTGTGTTACAGCTTTCGTGTGCATGACCCGTCAGTGCAGAAGGTGCAAGGTGCAGAAGTCAGCTAAGGATCCACACCCTTGGTGCCCAGACTGCGCTACCGTCTCCTGTTCGCTCGCTGAGCGTTGTCATTTCTGCACCCCTTTGTCCGTCGCCGACTTTAAGGCTTATATGTCGCTAAGAAGAAACGTTTTTCGCAAATGCAGAAGGAAGATGTCTTCGCCTGCTTCTTCTGTTGGTTCCCAAATGTCTCTTCCACGGACGCCAGACGGACGCCCTTCTCTGATGACAGAACAGACGTACAATCTGCGCCTTGTACGCTGATGCCGGAGGTTCAACGCCCGTCTGATGCCTTCGTTGATCTGTCTCAGCTGGACGCCTTATCTCACCCGGAGGTGCAGAAACTTCTATGGACGCTTCTCTTGCCTGCAGCAGCCAGTGCCAGCGTTCAGATTGAAGCCCAAGCTAGCGCCGTTCGAGTGCCGACGCCCTCATTGCCCAGCGCCATTCCAGTGCCTTCATCTGCGTTGCCTAGTGCAGTTCCAGCGCCGACGCCCTTGACGTCTAGTACTGACGCTGCTGTTCAATTGCATCAGCCAGCATCGACGCTGACGCCAACGCTGATGCTGTTATCAGATTACTGGAGGATTGATGGAGGAGCTTTCCCGACGCCTGGAAGCCGAGCGATCCCGTCGTTCTAAACGATCTCGCTCCCGGACTCCGAGACAATGCCACCATGCTAGGAGCCCCCGGCGTAGTTCCAATGCCAGTCGTAGCCATCGCCGGTCTTGTTCCAGATCTCGCTCTCCTAGACGTTCCAATGAGAGGCGTTCAAGATCACCGACTCGTACCTCAGGGAGGCGCTAACCTCGTTCTCGTTCGAGGTCACCTATTTTTCGCCGGTCGCCGCGACAACCACGTTCTCGTTCCCGAGAAGTTACCTTCAGTTCTTTCCCTAGGCCGTCGTCTGCCCCTCAGCGTTCGACTCCTACCACTTCTGGCCAATGGTACGATGCACCTACCGTATCCTGGGACAATACGGAAGAACGTTATTTTTCTCCTGATTATAATGAGGAGTTGTTACGAGAGGAAGATCATGGGGGTACAAACCTTCCCCCATCAGCGTTTTTTGATTGGATCGCCGACAGGCTGCCAGATTGTCCTTCCCCTTCTACAGGCACTGACGACCCGAGGGCCATTAGGTTTTCACCTGAGCTACTCCTTCCGCCGCACCCGATGGTGGCCGATGCAGTGGCCTCCTTGGACGCCGATTTTGCTAACACCACTGTTAAGGCCCCAAAGTCGCGCAAAGGGGACTACATGATCGATAGTTTGGACTTTGCTGATGGTGGTGCGACCCATGATGAATCCCTGAAACGTTTGTCGGGCTTTCCTCAGTCTTCTTACAGAGTGCAAGACTCTAAGATGTTGGCTATTGACGCCAGTGGCAGTGTAAGGTGTTGCACAACTTATTGGCTCACCTCCAGGCGGCTTTGGCCATGACTACAGTGGTTCGTCGGACTGGATTTCTTGAACATTGTTCGTGCAGGAAGTGTTCAAGAGGAAGTTGCTAAGAGCTCCGTTCGCGTCTAGTGTCCTGTTCAATGACCGGATTCTGGAGGTTTACAAGGAGCATGCTGAGCTTACTAACACCGAAAAGTGTTTCTGTCTACCTTCGAGGCTCTGAGTTCGGCCTTTCCTGGCAAGACGTCTACGAGATGAAGGGGGAAGCGCTGTTACGTCCCAAGGAGAGATGCCGTCCGTAGCGCCTTCGGTAGAGGAAGTGGCCGTGGCAGGCCCGACCCCGATTTTCAGCACCCGGGAGCTCCCTTCGACGCCCGGCAGGGGTAGGGGGAGGCACCCTTACTCAGGACGCTGAAGCTTTGAACCAACATGACTGGGACCTCCCGCCTCCAGCCGTGCTGGTTCATCCTACTCCAGTAGGAGGGAGACTAGGGATCTTCTGGCCCAATTGGACAGTTCTAGAGGATCCTTTTGTGACCAACATCCTCAAGACCGGTTACAAGCTGCCAATCGCCGTGTTGTCGCCTCTGACTACAATGCCCCAGTCACGAGTGTATACCCTCAGTGATCGAAATAACGGCCTGCCCGACTGCCCGTGGCCGGTAAACGTTGAGTCGGGCTGCCTGGAAATTCTCTCCACCAGCCCGATGGTCTGGCTGGAATTTTTTTATGGTTGACATTTTTCAGTTCGCACTCAGGACGATCATTCCATTTTAACTGTCATGTCATATTTAGATTTAAGAAAGATGAATGGAAGCCACGAGTATACATGGACAACTCTTCTGCCAGTGAAGATAGTAATAGGACACTAAAACTGGCTGGTTTAGTAAGCTACGCTATGATTGGATATCAGTAGGCACATGGTTAAAAAAAGAACCAATCAAAGAGAGCGTTACTTACTCGTTTGTATTGGTTACAAAATGGCGGCGTGAGGGAGACCACGATGTCGCAGTCAAAAATATTCAGTTTTTTGACTAATTGTAAAGATTTTCATACCAAAACACAAGAAGAAAAGGATATTGAGAAGAAAGAAAAGAGTAAGGAGTATGAAACAACCCAACGAACACGTAAATACCAGAGTAAGTGGAGCGGTGAATTTCCCTGGTTGATAACCGACCAACAATCTCTGTTTTGTAAAGTATGCAGATCGTGTTACGGCCCGCTGTCGCAAACAAGGATTCCTTCCTCTTATGATAGATATAAACGTGGACCTTTTGTGCTTGGTTGTCTCAATTTGAAACACGATGCTTTAAAAACCCATCATCTGTCATTTGGTCATACTAGGGCCGTGGAATTTCACAAAGCGAAGGAAATGAGACCCGGGGAATCTCCAGCGGAGCAATCGATGGAAAAAACTGAATGCAAAAGCTTTCAAAACCCTGAATACACTGTTTAGCAACTGTCATGCCCTAGCTAAAAATTCAAGACCATTTATGGATTACGTTTGGCAACGAAAACTTGATGCCAGAAAAGGAATTGAAACTGGTAAAGCATATGCATCAGATAAATCTGCTGCTTCGTTTACACAAGCTATTGCAGAAACTGAGAATTTGAAAATTGAACAACAGATTAAAGATGCCAATTTCTTTTCAATATTGAGTGACGGCTCCACAGATGTTAGCACACAAGAAAATGAAATTGTCTACCTCAGATGTGCTATCAGAGGAAAAATCTTTGTATTTTTCGTCAAGTTAATCCATGTCAAAAGAGCAGATTCTCTTGGCATTTATCAAGCATTGCTCAAAGCAATGAACACTTTCACAGATATTCCAGTCAAGAATAGGCTGATTGCCTTTGGTTGTGATGGTGCATCTGTTAACACTGGGAAAAAGAATGGTGTCATCGTCCATCTTCAGAAAAACATTTCTTCTGCCATTGTCATGATTCACTGCATGGCCCACAGATTGAATTGTGCTTCAAGGCAGCTTTCAAAACATCAAAACAGTATGCAGACGCGTTATGAAAATGCTTCATCTTCTCTACTCTTTCTACAAAGGTTATCTCCAAAGGTAAGTTAACTTTTTAATGTCAATCCTTTCTTTTTTTGTTATTAAAGATAAGATACCGCTTAAGTAATTCAAATTTGTGAAAATGATTATTATAATTAAATGTTTCAATTGCTCTTGTAAATAACTAAAAACATGGTGTTTAATTTTACCCAACAAACTGAAAGGTATTAAAATCTGAAGGACTTGGCAGTTAGCATACACATTTTAAAACTGTAATGACAGTTAAGAATTAAGGCTTCAGTTCTTCACATTCATTGTTGGTTTAATTTACCCTTATTTATTCATAAATTTTAATTTGACTATGTAATTTTTTTAGTTTTGTAAACTTCTGTTTCATGAAGTACATAATTTTATTGTCTTTTGCTTTTTATAATTGTTTTGTAATTTATAATTTGTACACCAATTTTATTTTGTTTAATTTCAGTAAATTGTACAGCCATGAAACTTCATAATTTCATTAGCTTACTTGCAAGTTCAAGGTTGAAGGTTTGTTTATTTTTAGTTTTGCTTCAGTATTGAGTTCAATCAATTTAGTACTGTTTAAAATATCATACAATCAGATTATAATGGCTTCTTTGAGCATAAGTTTGGCAAATGTTCTTTTTTCTAAATTTTCTGCTTGTCAGTGACAGTCAGTGTTTGACAGTTATAAAAGAATTAGATGTTGAGCTTACTGTTGTTTGAATTTGTCAAACTTATTATGTGTTTTATTAATGATAAAAATTTTGATTCAGATCAATGCTAAAGGGATCTTTTGAATCACTTGGTGTTGCACCAGTGATGCCTACGAGGATTGGGGGCACCAGATGGGTTGGGCATACTGTCACAGCTCTGCAGCAGTTGTGGAAAGGCTATAAAGCTTTTGTTCACCATACTGGCCAGGTAATATTTCTGTAACATAAGTAATGATATTTGTGAAACATCAAACTTCTCTGGCATCTTTTAAAGATATTAATAAAATATCAAACTTTTCTTTGCCGGTTCGGCACTGACTAAACGAAAAAAACTAAAATTCAAAACTAAACAAGCAGCTCACCTGTTTAAAACCATCTTGCACAATATTGAGTTACTGCTATAAATTATCAAGTTCCAATGTTACTAATTTCAGTGTTCATGTTACAGACAGCAGGGCCTGGCAGTGGTGCAGACAGTTCTGCTCAGATCAAAGCAAAGTCCCTCTTCAAGCTCCTAACACAGAGATCACTTATAGTGTATGCTCATTTCCTTCATGACGTCCTGAACACATTGAGCAAACTATCAGCAGAACTACAACGAAAGGATGTGACCATCCATGAGTGCCACGAACAGTTAAAGGCTACTATTGCTACTCTGGAACAGATGAAAGAAAAGTAAGTCATTTTGTTGAGAAAGTTTTTGTTTTATTTTTTTAATATTGCAAATTCATCTATGTTTTGATTTTGCATATTACATTATTAACAGTTTGCACTGTGTTTAATTTTAGACCTGGATTTCATCTACGCAGCAGTAGAGAATAAGAACACTTTCCATGGCCAGTCACTGTCTGGAGAGGCTGTTTCATCGTCCACTCTGAAAAAGGTGCTCAATGAAGTCATCATATCCATGTCAAGTCAAGTCTCCGACATAACTGATTCTCTACTTTCTGCATCCTCCCTTGCAGATTTGAAGTCATGGCCAGATACATTTGATTCAGGTGTGTTGTATATTATGCAAAACTCCTAATTTATTGAGTATTTATGTCATGGATGAACTTTTGAGAGGCATTCTAGTATGTGAGGCATTTTTACGCCATTAATATGTTAACAGATGATGATTTCATAATACAATTCATGAAACATGTCAGTTGCAATCATGAAACAACAAATGCTCCATATGGCATTTATTTTTGCAAATGTGATCTTTTTCAAAGAGTTTGGAGCAGACAAACTTACAGCCATCACAGACCACTACAGAGAGTTCCTCACCGAATCGCACTGACATTGAGCTTGATCTGATTGACCAGGAGTGGATGAGTCTAAAAACTAAGATCTACAATAGGTAAAGAAAAACAATTGCAGGCCATGATTTATCTTCTTCTTATTGTATAGACATCAGCAATTACAGTGCACTTGTGTTTTATAGTCTCTATAGACAAATACAAGATGCATGCTGTGGAAAGTATCATTCAGGGTTATCACTCACTCTATGAATGCAAAGGCTTATATACACTTGGTGATGTACATTGCATTTCATATCTACAGTTTAGGTATGTTCAAAAGGGAACTGTCAAGTATGGATGCTTGTAACTAACATGGGAAATAAACATCAGCTATGTTGAATTACTAAAGAAAGTAAAGAAGAAATGTTTATGTTAGTAAGGTTTTGAATATAGTCTGCCTAAAGTAAAATGATAACCTTCATTCAGTTATAAAATGTGATATCGTTATTTTCAGTCACAAGCCTTCAGAACTGTCCTGGAATGTTGTGTGGGAAACCTATGGAGAGACACACAAGAATTGTCTGCACATGATTGACCTTCTGTTGACTTTACCTGGCTCCACAGCAGAATGTGAACGGGATTTTCTCAGCTAAAAATTATCAAAACGGAAATCAGAAACAAACTGAGCAGCTCCACAGTGTCAAATCTCTTGACAGTCCAACTAAATTCTGAAGAGGTGGAAGATTACGATGCAACTCAGGCCATCCATCATTGGTTGCGCGAGTAAAACCTCGCAGAACACGACACCTAGAAAGAAAACTCACCACTCTCACAGCTAAAGATGACAATGATACTGTTTATGTTGAGAATGAAACAGAACTGCAAGATCCAGCTCTCAAGGCAACAGTAGAGGACTCTGACAGTTCTGATGATAGTTGTTATGATTCTGAAGAATCTGTTGTCTCGAGTGACTACTCTGACTGTGACATTGATATCTAGCTCAAAGTTGTATAAGCACACAGTGCACAGGTTGTAAATATTTAATGGTTCATTAAGTTATTGTTCATAATAAGTTGCTTTCCAGGCTCGATTATTTACAGACCGCCTCCATATAGTTGGAATATTGCTGAGTGTGGAATAAAAATGAACTCACTCACTCATAATATGTTGCCTAATCAATACAAATTTGATTTATGAATGATATGTGTTTGTTTTTGTCAGTTATTGCAAAAATGTAAATTAAAAAAGTGGGCAGGCAACTTTCAAGTTGGGCAGGCAACATTTATGGGCCACCAGCCCGGCTGTCAGGTTGAGTTGAAAAATTATTTCAATCACTGTTATACCCTAGATGAGCGGTTACTGTTAGCAGACAACATTCAGACTCTGCTAGACAAACAGGCCATAGAGACAGTGCTAGACACTCACCCACATTCTCAGCACCAACAAGTCTCACATGGAGCCGTCCCAGGAGTTGACCTTCATAGGAGGCTTGTTTCTGACTCACTGCGATCTTGTCAGGATTCCCCAGGATCCGTGGAGGAAAATTGTCAACTTTGCCAACCGAGGTCTGTCCCAGCCGCCCCTCAGCCCAGGTCTTGACGCTCAGAGGTCGCCTGATGCTCCGGCCGTTACAGCGTTTCCTCCTGCCATACATTCAGGCGGACGACCTACAGTCGAGGTTCTACCTCTGCATCTCCACGCTTACTGTAGACTGTAGAGTCGAACGTCTGCGTAGGAGTCTCCTTGCCAGAGTTTGTTCACAATCGCGAACTTTTCATAGACGCGTCTCTTCAGGGTTGGGGGCACACCTCAATGACCAGACCACCTTGGGGCTGTGGTCCGACGCCAAGCTAGGGCTCTCTGGGCTCTTCAGACCTGGTCAGTTAAAGTGATTTTTGGATAGACCGCACTTGTGCGGGAGGGAAGATCACGTCACTTCCGTTCCTGTACACTTGTCGATACATGAGGCAGCCATTCTAGTAGAATGTGATTCAACGACTGTCTGATCTCTTTTAAGCAGAGCTTGAGGTAATATGCATAAGACCTATGGTAAGGTAAGTATTTAAATATCTAAAATGTTTAGATTGTAATAATATTATGATGCAGTTGTGACTAGTTTAGTGTTACGTGATTGGCTGTGATCCTCAAGAATTGAAATCATGTCTTCATGTTATATGATTCTTATGACACTTGCTGCTAACTTTGTCTCCCTGAATTCCGAAACGTCGTGTCCATCACAATAAAGAAGTTGACATTCATTAAATTCTTGCCCGAGTCATGTATCCATGCAGTATTTCATGATATGTGACCTCCTACTTACTTATTGCACTGACAGACTCTGCAGGAAAAGAATATGCCATTACTAAATCCTTTATTGGTACAATTTTTAATGTAATCTGACCTCCTCCTCACTGGGTCTGCCTGCAGGCTCTACAGGAGCAGAAGAAGGTGCATCAGAAGGAGATTCAGGAGCTGGTCCAGAAGCTGGACAAGGAGAAGGACGACTCACTCAGCATGAAGACCAGCATGGCTGGAGAGAGACAGGTAGGACACACAGGCCTATCCCAGGTTTACCCGCTCTGTCCATCAAGGCTTATTTTAATAGGTGACCCTGCAGAGACCAAAGCCACATACAGTTGATGTATGAATGGATACTTTTTGATGTAGTGGTGCAAAATGTGAGTGAGTTTAGTTTTACGCCGCTTTTAGCAATATTCCATCAATATCACGGCAGGGGACATCTGAGATGGGCTTCACACATTGTACCCATGTGGGAAATTGAACCCGGGTCTTCGGCTTTAACCACTAGGCTACATCACCATCCCATAAAATGTACAAGTGATGATGCAATGTATCAGTGTCAAGATCCATACTTATCTTATCTTTAATTTCATTGGTCAATGACGCTTTAACAAGTTTCCGTGTCACCCCTCCAAGGAGGGTGACAACTGGAAGAAATATTACCCGCTGCCGAGAAGCTGTATCGCTAACAATCGTATGACGTCATAATATGACGCATGCAGTGTCCAGAGTTCGAAAACCGTTTGATTATCTGTTTTTGAGTTCACTCTGTACAGATTTATTTTGCCGACTTTCACTGATTTATTTAAACTATTTTATACATTAAGTCATTTGCACACTCAACTTAAACATAAGTTTAACATTTTTATAGTAGTTTTAAGCTTGTCAGAATATGTTTCACTGGTTTAAAAAATCAAGTCGAGAGGCAGACGCCATTTTGTTTACATGTGATATAGTCGGTAGCGATGTTTAAAATAAAATGAAATTATATTTTGTACATTTAACATGGCTGTAAGATAAATACATTGTATGCTTCTCCTTCGGGTAATACGGTCTGATGTACGCATCTTTGTAGCAGTGCCATCCCTCGCTTGCCGGCTCTGGTGACACTGCTACAAAGAGGCATACATCAGACCGTATTACCCTCGAGAGAAGCAGACAACTTATAAAGTATATAGATCTGGAACTTATTACCCATGTGGTGAAACATAACCCGCTCTCTCTCTCGGGCAATACAAAGTCGTATGACACACTTGCTTGTGTAATAATCTCTATGTCTTGCCAGATATTGAGATAAATTCCATGATTGTATCCAAATTCTAAATACCATAGATACACACATTGTATTGTTAGTTCTGTCGTTTAACTGAAGCTTTGTCTGCAGGTCCAGTTCAATGAGGCTGTGAGTCGTGTGGGGCAGGAGAAGGACAAGGTGATCGATGAGGTGAAACAGCAGCTACATGAACAGACAGGTAGGTGTTCACATGACACAGACCCACGAAGATCAGGGTTAGAATTGGTCTTCAGCAACCCATGCTTGTCGTAAGAGGCAACTAACAGGATCGGTTGGTCAGGCTTGCAGACTTGGTTGACTCATGTCAATATTATCCCAATTGTGTAGGTCGATGCTCATGATGTTAATCACTGGATTCTCTGGTAAAGACTTGATTATGTACAGACTGCTGCCATATATCTGGAATATTACTGACTGCGGCATTAAAAAACAAACACATGACACTTGGGATTTATATTTGGTCTGTCAGCACCATCACTCTTTGAACCATAGCAGACACTCAGGTCATATTGGAACCATGATTATCATCTTTTCTCACATTGCTGCAGATGTCTGGAACTGTTGCTAAATGATATGGTCACATTAAATATACTGCTCCCGTGCTACACAGAGCGATGGTTATGTTGTGTGAATTGCAAAGATCTGTAGTTTCTTGAGGAACTCTTTTGAAGAAAATATTCAGGATAACACATCTTCCTGGTTTATGAAAATCATCAATTTTTCCTTATCCTGACTCATGATCTTTTGCTTATCTCCTTTTATGCGAATTTTAGTGGAACACTTGAATCGCTTGTAGTTCCCTAAAGCGGACATAAAAGTTCACTCACCCAAGAGTTACCTCCCTTTTCCCACGCAAACAGTCATGTGACCAGCCATACTTGCCACTCTCTCCTTCATCGCCCAAGCGGATGGTTGTGCGAGCACTGGAGTCCCGTATACGGCATTATATCCTTTACATTTAGATCCTTTTATCAAAATTATGCTGTGTATGGTTTTCGGCTATAACTAGCTTGCATTATATGTAAATAAATTGAAGAAATTATTTGTAATTTGTAACTTATTTCATCGTTATGTAATTGTTTACCTTTGATGAAATCTTGCAGTGTTTGCAGGTTCCGGGCTATCAGTGGCTGATCCTCACCCCAATGCCCGTCGTGCATTAATCCATGTTCTTCCACCTTGCGTTGTAGATATTGCATTGAGTTATCAAATTTGCAATTTAATCAATATTTGTCTTACATCTATAGACGTGCGATGGATCAGGTGAGGAAGTCATCACAAGTCACTGTTGATAAATCTGGAGATCAAGCCGGTGACCGGATGTTGTTTGCTACTGCCGAAATACATAATTCAGGTGTTTTGTCGAGTACGTTGCAGGGGCAGTCGTCTGTTACTGGCTCTAAGAAGAGGTCTGCTACGACCGAGTTGATGACATAAGAAGAAGACGTCTTCATCATCTGCGACGCAGAAGAAGTCATCTGCAACTAGATCGTCGTTGAAATCAACTCGTCCCAGTAAGACAACACATCAGAGGTCGTTTAATGAAGAGATTGTCATGCCTGACGAAGCAGACGTGTTTGCTGACCTCCGATACTTTTACCTGAAGTACCTATTAGACCTGCCAAAACGGCAACGCAATCGACCTCCACGATGACACGATCGTCTCTTGCAACTACGACAGCTGCTCAGCTGTTCGATGACCAACCACCAGCTACGCAGATGGCAGTCATCAGAGACAACATCAGCGAAGTAGACGCACACAACACCTCAGCGTTCGCAAACGCTTCGTCCACTCCGGGGTCGGTGGGGTAGCCTAGTGGTTAAAGCGTTGGCTCGTCACGCCGAAGACCCGGGTTCGAATCCCCACATGGGTACAATGTGTGAATCCCCTTTCTGGTGACCCCCCGCCGTGATGTTGCTGGAATATTGCTAAAAGCGGCGTAAAACCAAACTCAGTCAGTCAGTCAGTCAGTCGTCCACTCCGCATCAGTTCCAGACAACGCAGAACTTCGATCCGGGCGACTTTATGAGACAGTTTACTACGAAGATGATGGCCATGATGAAGCGTCGGTTCGCCGAGGAAACAGAGGCATGGCAGAACCCTACGAGGGCAAGCTACATTCGCAGACCCCTGGACCTTCACGAAACTGATAGACCTACATCTACGCCTAACAGGTCTACAACTGAAGATAACGTTTGCGAACGTTCAAATTTGCGAAGATCCTCACACTCAGACGAACCTTCAACGTTCGAGAACGTCTAGGAAGCCCTCTCCGAGATCCAGCCGTTCCACATCTAGATCCCGCAGCCCTCACATATGTTCGGAGGATTATCTACTCAAACAAGACAGGTTCAAAATGATCCACCTACCTCAACTCAGACAACTCGTCCGTCCAGCAGATTAAATGGCCAGCATAGACCTTCAGGATGCATATCTGCACATCCCAATACATCTGGAATCAAGAACATATCTAAGATTCCTATTCAGAGGTCAGCACTTCCAATGGAACGTCCTACCGTTTGGAATATCGTCGGCTCCGTGGTTATTCACACGAGTGACCAAGCCTATCATCACCTATCATCGAGGTCTACGCAGTGTCTTTTATCTGGAGGACAGGATACAGGTTCATCAAAATGCCATTCAACTCAGACAGCAGCTGAACTTCACAATCAAATTGCTCACACAACTGGGAGGCTAGTGAACCTGATGAAATCAGAGTTGGAACCAAAACAAGATCTTCAATTTCTGGGAATAAGATTTATCACAACACAGAATCGAAATGTGGTCCCAGAAGATCATTGGGTCAAGATACAAGCCATGATTCCAGAAGCAGTCATCTCTCCGTTACCACTACGAACATGGCAGTGCCTACTCGGTCTAAACTAACCTCAGCGCAGGACTTGACTCGCACAGGAAGATTACAACTACGCCCTTTGCAGCATTTCCTGGCAAAACATCTGGACAGCGTCGACCTGATCTCGCTACCAGACAATCTCAAGACGTACCTGCTATGGTGGACTCACAGATCGAATGTCTGCGGAGGGACCTATTTACAAGAGCTTGTGTTTGACACACACCTTTACGTAGATGCATCACTGCAAGGATTGGGTGCACATCTCAACAACCAAGTAGCACCAGGAAAGTGGTCGAAACTAGAACAGCATCTTTACATCAATCTGCTGGAAATGAAAGCTGTGATCAACGCCTTAGAACTTTGGTCAAGCTCACTGATCAACAGAATGCTCAACAGTGGCATTCTCCATAAATCGGCAGGGATCAACGAGATCACCAAGCCTACTTCAGCTCACATTCCAGTTGTTCAACATCACGGAGGAAGCAAACATCTGGTTAAAGGCGTGTCACATACCAGGAGCCAAGAGCGTACTAGCAGACGCTCTATCTCGTCCACTTCATCTGTCACCCACAGAATGTATGCTCCACCCAGAGGCATTTCGGCTCATCATAAGGGAGTGAGTGAGTGAGTTTGGTTTTACGCCGCTTTTAGCAATCTTCCAGCAACATCACAGCGGCATAGGGGAAATAGGATCCCCATGCATAGACCTGTTCGCCACGAGGTTCAACAAACAACTACAGACATTCGTCTCACCAATACCAGATCCTCAAGCCTGGGCAACAGATGCACTGAGCATATCATGGGAAGGACTAAACGCTTACGCGTTTCCGCTTCCGATCTTACTACCGAAAGCACTATTAAAGATCAAACAGACCCAAGAGCTACAACTGACTTTGGTCGCGCCCTTTTGGCCAGCGAGAGTCTGGTTGCTAGATCTAGTACAAGAACTTGGAAGTCCAACCCTCAAACTACCAGAATGGCCGAACCTACTCATACATCTGCACACCAAGCAAGTCCACGGGAACCCACTAATGTTCCAGTTACACGTGTGGACCGTATCAAAACTTGTCTGAAGAAAAGAGGATACTCCGCCAGAGCAGCGAAAGCAGTAACCAACGCGTTAAGCAGATCAACTCGCAATTTGTACGACGACAAATGGCAGAAATTTGAACAATATGCAAAGCGGAAAGGCTTCACAGCTATGAAAGCATCTCATCCTCAAGTGGCGGAATATCTATGTTACCTTAGACATACAAGGCATTTGAAAGGTTCAACATTATCTACATATCTGGCAGCGATTAGTACAGTCATCACTATGAAGACAGGCATCAACTTGACGAAAGTACCTGAATTACTTGCTCTGCTACGCTGTTTTAAACTGGAAGACCAGCAAAAGAAATTCAGAGCACCAGCTTGGAATCTGAACGTAATTCTACGACATCTCATGAGTGATGCCTACGAACCTCTAGAGCATACTACCTTCCAGCTACTTACACAGAAAACTCTGTTCCTCCTTGCCCTAGCCACGGCAGCTCGAATGTCAGAGATACATGCGCTGGATTTTGGACGAACTATATTCGACACGGGGCACCATGCTGCAGTACATCTAGGACTTAGATGGGATTTTATTGCAAAGAATCAACTACCTGGTCAACCAGATAGACAGTTCCATGTGCTAGCGCTATCTACGATCCTCGGTCCCGAGGACACCCAGGACTTATCCTTGTGTCCTGTCAGAGCCTTGAAGATATATCTTCAAAAGACTGAAACAAGGAGAAGAAAATTCAAGCGCCTTTTCATCCCTTTGTTGACGGAGACATCGGTGGAGGTCTCAAGAACAACCATATTGTTTTGGATGAGAGCTGTTATACTAGGAGCCTATAAAGCAGCAGGATTAGAACCTCCAAGAGCTTCCAACCCACATGAAGTCAGAGCACTGGCATCTACACTCGCTCTGCAAGGAAATTGCTCAATATCATCAATAAAGGAGGGCTGCTTTTGGAAGTTGCCAACCACTACCTCAGAGACATAGACACCGAAGACGTCTCAGGCATTCACCAGTTTGGGCCTCTTGTTGTAGCACAACAACTAACGGTTCCACAAAGGCACTGAGTTGGAAATCTCACTCTTTATCACGTTGACTTGTTGATAACTTTTACTACGAAAAAGTATTGGTTTGAAAGTCCATGCGCACAGTCTAGACTAGACTAGCATGAGTGATTAAGACTCTGGACAGGTAACAATCTTACCTGTATGTTAAGGGGTCGCAACTCATTTATGATAACGATCTTATCATAATCTATGGGTTGTTATAGATAACTAGTAAAAAGAAGATACTAGTATATCTAAAATCCACATGAATCTAGAAGATTCACTTGTCTGGGAGAGAAGTAAGACAAGATTGTGGTCCCCCTGAGTTACAACGGAAGTTGGAAGAATAGGATCTAGGAAATGCCGTTATGCAGTTCCCATGGGGGATACAGGACGTATCTAAGGACAGCTGATGAATCCATGAAGTGGCTTGACCCACCACCAATCCGTCGGATTCTATAAGCAAAAGATCATGAGTCAGGATAAGGAAATATATGTAATTTTTTAAGTAAAATTGATATTTTATACTTATCCTGACTCATAAGGTCAAGCCCTCCCGACCTCCCCGCTGAAGACACTTCGGATTTCACAGTAGATCCAAGTGCATGGGCTATATTCAGGAAAGAGTGGCAAGTATGGCTGGTCACATGACTGTTTGCGCGGGAATAGGGAGGTAACTCGTGGGTGAGTGAACTTTTACGTTCGCTTCAGGGACCTACAAGGGATTCAAGTGTTCCACTAACATTCGCATAGAAGAAGGAGATAAGCAAAAGATCATGAGTCAGGATAAGTATAAAATATCAATTTTACTTTAAAAAATTACATTTTTCTACACTGAATGTAGTGATTCTGTCATTTTATTTACCGGTATATGATGAAAATCCAGTGAATGTTCACATGATCTTCACCAATCTGTGCTGTACTTTCTGTTTCAGAAAAGCTGGAGTCAGTTTCCAGTGAGAAGCTGTTGGTGGAGAAGGAACTGGAGCAGATCCGGGACAAGCTTGAGGAAAATGACAACCAGCATAGGTAAGGACTGGGAACACTGGAAGTGTGTGATGGTTGGGAGAAGAGAGATAAGTGTCTGGATCATGATGGTAAGTGAAGCTGCGGGGGAACATCTAGATATAGGGAGAAAGGATTATGAAATGTTTGTTGTTTGTGTTGATATTGTTCAGTAACCGGTCATATTGAGTGATAGAAGTAAGGATGCTGACTATTTGTGTTGATATTGTTCAGAATTTGCCATGTTGGCTGTTCCCTGGTTTGAGGAACTTAGGATGAAATGGTATTTCCCCTGAACAATGCAATGGTATTTGTTTATGATTTTGGTACAGCTACTGTTCTCAGGGGTACAAAGGCTCAGCTCAAGGATGAGATGGTGTTTCTGCTGGACTATTTGTGTTCATATTGTTTCGTAATCTGTCATTTCGACTGTTTTCCCAGGAGTACGGAAGCTCAGCTCCAGGATGAGATGTCGCTCCTCCAACAGAAGCTGACACAGCTACAGCAGCAGATTCTCACCAAGTCCGAGATCGCTGTTACACCACCAGACGTCAAGGAGGGGTATGTCTTATGTTGTCAAAGATTTTTAAATGTGCAATATACCCGAGAATTTATTTTTGTTAGCAGTTTCATTTTAACATTTCTTCATTTAAACACCAGTGTGCTCATTTATATCTGTTGTCATTTGAGCCTTACGATAGTCATTTTCTTTTGGCCTATTTACTTTTTTTTTCAAAGAATCATGAGAAGTGAAGAATATTCCTTCTCTATGTTTTCTTCAGTGTACATTCTAGCATGACATTGTGTGATACTCGATTCTGATTGGCTGAGAGCTCATCAAAACCGTATTTAAATGGCAGTTTAAGACCGCTAATTAAAGTGACAGATTCACCTCATATGAATACAACGAACTTGTTGACCCTATTGTTTGTAAACAAACATGTCGGACATTGGCAATTTCTATCTCGGCAGCATCTTTGGGTTTTTTTTAAAGTAAAAAGCGAATGGTTTGAAGGAGAATTTCTTGAACCTAATCCCAGTGAAGAAACTACGAAGCTGGAAAATCCGTCAGCAGCGCAAAAGCGGCAGTATATTCAAACCGGGTCCAGATCTACGTGTGTTGACGTCGACAACACACGCCGGCCCACACATCCTAACCTGACCGCTTCCATCCCGGACATAATGCCAAGTCCTTCCACTTCCACTGTCCATGTATCCCACATAAAACGTGGCATGTCAGTTTTTTCCAAATTGGGAATAGTGGGGTGGTTATCAACAGTTATTAAAAAATTCTGTGAATAAAGTTAGCGGCGACTAAACTTAGCGACTTCACAGCTTGAATTGGGACGAGTCAATTGTCATACAGTAGGGGAGATCAATAATTTGCTTGAGAAAAATCAAATAATTGTACTTGCTCACAGTATAAACTGTATTTTTTATATTTATGTATGCTACTTGTTACAAATACAAGCATTCTGGTTCCTGAAATAAAGCATTTATGTTGTTGAAAATGTCTCATTTTGTTCATAACACAACCTGTCCCTCAACGGGACAATTCCAAGCGATTTCCAGGAAAAGGCCCCTTTGCGCCTTGTGTTCTTGCGCGCCAAACAGTTCGGTTTTAAAATGCTTATCAGTCATGCTAGAATGAAGATAAAGCTTAAATCAATTATTGATTTAAGACCGCTAAATGTAATTTAGTTCGGTTTTTAAATTACATTTAGCGGTCTTAAATCAATAATAAAGGACCGCAAAATTGAAAGCAAAGTAGCTTTATCTTCTAATTCTGAATAGCTAACTATGTGTTGAGAAAGTCCAGATTTTCGAATATGCTTTTTTTTTTGCAGTGCGTCAGTGGTTTCTATTGAGTCTAAAGCCTCTGAGTTAGAATTTGTAAGTATATATGAGTCTGGATACGTTGATAGTAATATATAGGACTAACTTTAACTTGAACGATTCTGTGTGAACACACACAGTCTTAATGACTTGAAACATTTTCAAATAATGGTGCTGACCATAGCTATGATCTTGTGTGAAAGTATTTTCTACAGGTGTTCAGGGAGACTGCTAGTATGCAAGTAGCAGTAATTACACTTGTAACTCTGTTAATCAAACCATATCCCTTCATGAATTCAGTTTGTTATTCGGAATCACTAGAATTGAATATTCATGAATTTTTTAAAATAAGAGTTTATTTACTGGCATTTTTGGTTTTATTTATTAAAGTAAGGTTTAAAAATACATACATCAAATTTAGGCAGGATAGTAATGAACACTCAGTTTGACAGTAATGTGGTCTTGCTGTGATCAATTAGCTGTCAATGCACTGTTATTGTTTCACTGAATATAATTAATGAAACATCAACTCTTCAACCTTCACTCTGATACATTCTAACATTTTAGGCCCTAAAGAACAAGGAGGAGGAGATCAACAAGCTTCAGGAGAGAGTGGTGAGTTATGTGTTCTCCTCAGACAGAAAGAAATCTACATTACAGTCAATCCCTACATTACAGTCTGTCCCTACATTACAGTCTATTGCAACATTAGAGTCTGTCCATACATTACAGTATATTCCAACATTAGAGTCTGTCCATACATTACAGTATATTCCAACATTAGAGTCTGTCCATACATTACAGTATATTCCAACATTAGAGTCTGTCCATACATTACAGTATATTCCAACATTAGAGTCTGTCCATACATTACAGTATATTCCAACATTAGAATCTGTCCATACATTACAGTCTATTCCAACATTAGAGTCTGTCCATACATTACAGTATATTCCAACATTTGAGTCTGTCCATACATTACAGTCTATTCCAACATTAGAGTCTGTCCATACATTACAGTCTATTCCAACATTAGAGTCTGTCCATACATTACAGTATATTCCAACATTAGAGTCTGTCCATACATTACAGTATATTCCAACATATTCCAACATTAGAGTCTGTCCATACATTACAGTATATTCCAACATTAGAGTCTGTCCATACATTACAGTATATTCCAACATTAGAGTCTGTCCATACATTACAGTCTATTCCAACATTATAGTCTGTCCTTACATTAGTCTTTTCCTATGTTACAGTCCAACCCCAAATTAGTCTTTCCCTAAATTACAGTCTATTCCAACATTAGAGTCTGTCCATACATTAGAGTCAGTTCCTCCATTACAGTATATCCCTCCATTACAGGCTTTTCCCTACATTACAGTATATTCCAACATTAGTCAGTCCCTGCATTACAGTATATTCCAACATTACAGTCAGTCCCTACTTTGCCACTTATCCCTACAATACAGTCAGTTATGATGAGGTGTTCGTGTTCCAGATGGAGCTCTCTATGACAGCCAGCATCAGGACACTCGCACAGGACAAGGTCTCCATCACAAGGTAGCAACATCTGTATATTCAGACATGGAATAATAACAATGCTCAATTCAAGTATGAAATGATCATGTTTTTCATCAATTTAAAAATTGTTTTATAACAGTAAATACAGAGTTATCTCCCTTTTATTGATCATTTGGATCAGTCCGAGTTGAATAAACGCATATCTGTAGCAAAGGAAATTGAAAGGGGATGAAGGGTACCATGTTGTCACGGCAGCTGCCAATGGTTTAATAAGTGATCTTCCACTTAACTCATCTCATGTTTGCATGTTGGAAATAAGCAGTAAGTCCAAGCCAGGATGTGTTTAGTGTCATGTTGCCAACAGCTGCTTCAAATGGATCAAAAGCTGTTTGAACCAGCACAGTTTGGGAATAGGCAGTGACACAAATCTGTCAGCTTGCAACAGGACCACACCTTGTTCAACATAATCAGGTCTAAAGCATAATCCCATTTTTCATCTGTTATTAAAGTATACTTTTTTGTTAATAGATTAAAAAATTCATGAAATTTCCAGCAGTAATGTCCCTGCAAATGTATAGATATACAAGAAAACAATATGGTGAAACAGAGTCCAGATGGATGGGTTTCAATGTAAAGAAGATCTGTGATGGAAGTCTGAAATGAGATAGTTGTTCTTCTTTGCTTTAGCTGCATGGTGGGGGACCTGGTGCTGCTCTGCCTTGACGAGCGACATGACCAGTATGTTGTGTTCACCATCACCTCCACGCTGCACTTCCTCCACACTGAGTGCCTGGAGAGTCTGGGACTCAAGACAGGTAAACATTACAGACTCCTGCCTTTGTTGTAGTGATGAACTGTGAGACAGGAAAAAGGCTAATATCATGTCTTGGTTGAAGTGATATTTAGTTTAGGAGTTTGTATAACCAAGTGTTTTATGGTTTCAGGTCCGAGTGAAGCTAAGAAATCCTGGGTACTTGCTGAGATAGTTGATAAAGAATATTGTCAGGCAAAGAAGGTTAGTGCAGTGGTGGACTATTACACCTTATTATGGAAAGGATCAGACAGTGATCATTTCTTTAGTCAAACATTATTGATATGACACAAGCATGATGAGTCACAAGAGCAAACCATTTTGTTTTGGAGGCACCAGTTCTTTATTGTGACACAGCAAGATCTGTAGGGTTATGTCCTCAGTTCTCAGTATATGATGTTCCCTGGTTATTATCCAAGGGTCTTAATAATAATAATAAGTGCATTTGTTATGCGCTATTTTCCATCCGTTGCAGTTGCTCAAAGCGCAGACAATCTGATTTTTATTACCTCGGATAACCCAAGCTGCCTGTGAGGTGCTAGAAGGTTATAGTCACATGACTTATCCCACTAGGTACTCATTGTCTGCTGGGTGAACAGAGGCAATTTTGTACAAACTCACTTTCCTAAGGTGAGACCACATGTATCACATGTGCTTGCTGAGATTCTGTGAAGAAGAAGGTGCAAACATCTTTGGTCAGTTTTGAGGCCTGATTGGTTAGCATGCCCTGGAACTTATCACCACACATTGATCTGGCCGTGTTACATATTTTGAGGTTAGAATCATCACAAGAGGAAACCAGTATGAATCGTGAGGTCAGGCCTGGTGACCAGCCCTTGTACCACTACAGTGTGGATTGTATAGCAATCACTGAATTGCCTGGTTCACACTCAATAATTTCCAGGCCACTGTATATCTCTAGAATACTAGGATTAACACACATGTAAACACACACATCTGTCCGGTCCAAAGTCAATTCCAAGGGGGGTGTAATATTGATGACTGCACTCTATAAACAACATTCATTCACTAACTCATTTGCTCTAATCTCCGATTTGGCTGTGCACGCAGGTTTCTCCAAAGTGTTAAATGTCTGTGTATGAGACAAATTCGGTGCACATGCCTTGTTGTTTGTAACTCAAAATACTGTTCAAATCAGTATTTAAAAAACTCACCTGCTGACTTTGATGTATGTTATTAACTATATGATGATGATGATGATGATAATGAAAACTAAGTCATGTATTTTCTAAAATACCTAATAATTTCATGTTACACAGCCCCAGAACAGATTCAAGGTCCCGGTGGGAACAAAGTTCTATCGCGTCAAAGCCAAACCATGGGCAAGGGAGACAACTCGGAAAGACTCTGCATCTTCCAGCAAAACCTCCCAGGCTGGTGCAGCAGTATAACCTAGCCTCCTCCATCTCGTGCAATCTAGACGATATATCACACCTCACCTTCAGTCAACAACATGTACATAGGATATTTATGTATTTTCTGCTTGTGATTTTGGTAATTAATTATTAATAAGACAGATGTAATATAATTATGACGTGAATAATACGGGAACTGTGTGTTTATTATTATACCAAGTAAAGAACTTTCATGTTAACCATGGAGAACTGCAGTCATTTCTTGTCGCTGGAGGTGTAGTAGAGTGTCTGTGAAGCTGTGCGGGATTGTAATGGCTTAATGTATGCTCATTTTAATAGAATATATCCGTTGCAAAATGCACATATCAAGCAAGACTTTATGTTGCAATAAGATGTGTCCTTATGTGAGAGGTCTAATATGTCAACATTGATTACCTTTGGTACAGTTGTATGAAGATTAGTCACAATGTGTTCATAATATACTCATTACTGCAACAAGTTGATTCTTGAAATGCGATGTGTCATAATTGTACATTGTATATAAGTATGGTTTATGTGCAGGTGTGGGGAGTACTTGTACATATTTTGTAAGTCCCTCTATAAGCAATGTCGTACCTTGACATACCCTCACCTGTCTTTTAAGAATTCGGCATCAGTAGCTGATGCTGGTACTTGTCTGGCTCATAATGCTCCCTTTATCGGGCAGTGGTTAAGGTGTTCCCTTGTCATTCCAAAGTCCTAGGTTTGTTTCCCAACATAGGTACACAGTTTGGAAATGAACTGTTTTTTACTAGTCCTGAGAAACAGCGTTTGTAGCTAGTCTTGCTTGAACAAAATAAAAAGGTATGCTATGTTTACATTTTCAGTTGAATTTGTACTAAAATTGAAGCATTGTGAACTGGTTCAGAATTATAGCTTTCAGACACATAAAGTAATTTCTTTGAGTGGCATTTTGGAAGCTGGGATTTACAATATAGACAAATTTTGTGGATAACAACTTCTTTATTTTGTGAGTGCGACGTTTCCCTTGACAATGGTACAAGAATCTGTATCAAAATATTGCACTCACGAAATAAAGAAGTTGTTATCCACAAAGTTTGTCTATATTGTACTAAAAGTAATGATGACAGTTATCACGGTCTTTTACTTGTGCACAATTTATTAGTCCTATTTCAGATGTCCCCTGCCATCATATTGCTAAAAGCAATGTTAAACTAAACTCACTCTGTGTGTAATCATTGCTGAGTGTTTACTAATGCAGAGGAAGCTGATTATAGTACACCTGTATATCTGGTTCAGGCTGGTACCGATAACAGGTACAACTTACTTTAGTGAGATACTTAATTCATGTTAATTACCCACCTTACTTAGTACTAAGTATGATGATAGGAACCCTCAATATTATATCAAATCGTTGACATGCCTTGAATTAAATACTATTATATTCTATGAGAGAAAACATTTAATTAAAATGAAAATTTAGCTAAGAAATATCAGTATAGCAAGCAGTTTATTAAGAATTTCAAGATATCACTTTCTTAGTTAGAAGTACTATATGCACAATGTCCTCTTTCTAAAATGTATGTTCTACTCTGAGACAGGAATGATTTAGGATATTTAGACATAATATATGTCCTTGACCATTGCCTGAACCATATGCTCCAGAATGTATGCTAACTGTACTGTGATTTTAGATAGAGAAACCTTATTTTACCTGGAAATTATCAAATGTTTTTCTTCTTTTATGCATCTACTGGTGATATGGTTTAATGTGTGATGTTTTATATGCAGTTAGCATGAGAGAATAATCTACATGTCTACGGTAATGTGTTTGGGAACAATTTTGGTTTTAGTTGAACTTCAGCTAATGTTTCTACCTATTTGTTGTGTTATTTTTCCTCTTGTTATATATGTTTTATTGACTTTCCAGAGGTCACTATGAGATGGTCACACTTAGGGACTGTGGTTCCAGGACTGGACTGATGTATCCAGATCCTTATCTGTGGTATATAGCTGTTAATAGAAACAAATAACATAAATGCCTGTTACTCAAAGTTTTATTTTACCTTTTTTTTCATTTACATCATTTTATTATTTAGTTTAGAGATAACATCAATAAACTCTGACAGTTGATATGGAAGTGACTGAAATAATAACTGTGCTATTTTTGTGCTGTCAGTGTAAAACCTTTATATAATTCTGATCCTCTGGTTGGTGCTGTGATTTCCAGGATGGCTCTGTAAGGTCATTCTGTAAAGTTAGTTCGGAAATTCACTAGTCTCACATCACAATCCATCAGACCATACCTGTTCATGTCACAGCACCAAACTATTTCCATCAGTTATGAAAGACTTTCTATATTACTGTTAATAAACATTGGGACACATGCAACAGATACGAGGAATCGGGTTCTACCTGTTGAGTAATAGAATGTATGCCATAGAATTTGCGGGCGATGGGGTAGCCTAGTGGTTAAAGCGTTCAGTCATCACTCAGAGACCCCGGGTTCAATTCCCCACATTGGTAAAATGTGTGAAGCCCATTTCTGGTGTTCCCCGCTGTGATATTGTTGGAATATCGCTAAAATCTGCGTAAAACTATACTCACTCACTCAATATGTTACTGTTAATAAAACTTTAGGACACAGATACAAGAGGAATGAGGTTCTACCTGTTCAGAAATAGAGAGTATGCCACAGCATTTGCATTCTGTAGTTTCTGAACAGGTTATTCTAAACAGTTCTGGTACTGTAGCACATAATTATTGAATTGTGGTCGATATTCAATATTGGATACATTAAGGGTTTTCAGTTTACATTCAGAGTTAAAATATGTTCAATTTATTTTATTTCCAAAAAAGAAATGTTCACACAGTCATAACACCTGTCAAATAATTGGGTTTGTTTGTTTTGGGGTCCTGTGTTTATAGGTGTTCTTGATATTGTTAATATGTGACAGTATGGTGTTATTTTATTTATAGTGTTCATATTCTGAGGATGAATGTGATCTTTTTTGTACATATTCCTCAATATTCAATATCCTCACTGTAAATCTGGTAAGTATTGCAAGAAAGAACCTCAACAACTGTGCCATATCCTCGTCATCACTTCAGATGTTGTAAAAGAAACACTTCAAATTGTAATCATTACAACCGATATTGCCTTTGTTTTGATTTTAAGCAATGGATCAGAATTACATAGATCCAGTCACCATTGACTCACTTAGTGTAACCTAGCTAGTTTCAACAGAAGCAATGGGACACAACCAGTTGTATGTCTTTGTTTTCAACCAACTGGTCAGAGGGGTCACAAGAGCTTCTTGACACCTCCTGGCAAATCCTCTTGTGTTTGATCTCAATCATCTCAACAACAGTGAGCTGCAGTACTTTATGTAGTTCAGGTTCAACACTATATTTACCTAATACCAGACACTCCAGGTTTACAGTATACTGATTATTCCCATGTATGTGAGCATGTTGAAGAGAATGGCAATATACATAGTGATAAAGCTTCTTGTGGTGGAGTGTACATTAACATATTAACATATGGGATACATTACAAGTGTGGTCATGAATGGCAAAGTAGTTAGTATATATATATATGTATTGTAGAATGTCTTCACCGTGTATTTGTCTACTCTAAATTGAGATTATTTTGAAAGTAAGATGGTGAATAATGATGTACCTCAATTTGATCACTGGTGTTTTGATTGTCAAAAGAAACAATATTCAGTCTATCGATATCTCATATTTTATTCAATAAGCTCTTAATGTGTACCTTAGTGATTTGTGGACACATCATATACCAGTATGCCTTTTCAACTGTTCATCTGTATATCACAAGAGGGAAGCTTTCAAATAGGTGTTTCTTCTCATTCACTAAATTCCCAATAAAGTTTGTGTCTCAGATCCTCATAGTTGTAGAGTGGTAGTCTAGGTGTTAATATGTTCGCTTGTCATGCCAAAGACCAAGGTTGAATTCCAACATTGGTACAGTCATGATGTTGCTGCAACACCGTTAAAAGTCCAAATGCCTGCTGTATTTTATCACCAACCATTTATGGCTTAACACATTAAATCATTTTCATATTTGGGTCTTTGTCACTGAATTGTCAGTGATGCGTAGTCTTCTGATTGTATGGCAAGGAAGTGTATTTTGTTGTAATTTACTGGTGATTCAGTGAACTACACGTACCGTCATGTCAGTAAGTTGTGTCTCACATTGAGGCCAGCCTGGCCATTTACAGTGATATTTATATTTTTATTGATCACTTTGACGTTAGTACGCTGAATACACATGCTTGTTGCAGGGAATAAATATCTGAATATTGTAATGTCTGGCTGAGCTGCCTTCCATGAGCATCAAGCTCGTGAAATTTTAAGATATACTGTGTGGTATGTATAGAGAGATTCTGTGTAACATAATGATTTACAAAATAATCTTTCTGTGTCAACTGACCTGCAGTGCAATAGTTTTTACTAAGAACTAGGATTGGCCGAGATCTCTGCTTCTTCTTTTGGTGTTAGTAATGATCTTTTGTCAAACTGTGTCACTGTAACAAAATATCATGTCATAGTGAAAGGATTGTACTTCTGTTTGTTGTGCCCGAGGGCTCTTGTGGACCTGTGCCAAAGGTTGTAGGGCACAGTTGCCTCTCATTTCTGTGTACAGATATCTGAAGGAAGTTGTGTGTAAGTGCCTCTGGCCTATGTCTTACATGTGCCACTAGTGGGGTGTGTGATTTACGAACAGAATTGGCTTGTACACCAAAGGACGTTACGGGTGTACATGAACGTTCAGCTCGTAATGGCCCATACAACCAGGTGACACATGTAACAAATTTATCACTACCAGTTCAAAACTATTTTCAGTGAAAAGGTTAGCTGAGATGTAACAGACGTAAAGGGACTTCACATCGGACATTATTATACCTTGATATCCAACACTACCTTCACTTCACAGATGTTGGCTTGTACATGTTGGCAACTGTGCAGTTACAAAGCTAGATTATTTAACAAAAAATGATAATGGTGTTTAATGCACCTCTATGCACAAGGATATGTGGACTTGTGTACAAGTGCCTGTGGACTATTGCGTACCATCGTCCATGGACTGTTGTATACCACTCCCTCAGGACCTGTGTACAAGTGCTTGTGGATTATCGTATACCACTGCCTCAGGACTTGTATACAAGTGCCTTTGGACTAATGTATACCATCATCCATGGACTGTTTACAACAGGTATCTGTGGACTGTTGTGTGTCAGTGCCACTACACATCTGTTCACATTTGCCTATGGTCTTTTGAAGCACAAAAACCAGTAAAGACAATATGTATTTTGTAAATTTAAAAGTTTGACTTTTTGTGGGGACCTTCCTCCCAGTGGGCATAGTTTGATTTAAAATCTTTGTAAAATGATCATTCACTGACATCTCAGTGTGACAGACCACTATTTAATACTGTACATACTTATTGGCACATACAATTCTAGATTCTATATTGTTGTTCCTGGATGTAGCTGTGTTGAAGTTTACAGGTCAGTTCTTGGTGGAAAGGTTTAATGCTGTTGACAGTTGGATGGTTGTGGATACGTAGGTCTGTGATGAGCTGAAAGTCAAAAGATTTTGTTTGACCATGATGTGTGAACTTCAACACAGCTGATACTTGTCAAATATACATGTGAATGAACTTTAGGTAGCCCTTAGATGCAAGATATTATCTTTTGTACATAGGTAGGTTAACAAATTTTGGGTGTTTTTTTTATGACTTAGTTTGAGGATATTTCTTTCAGAAAATCAGTCGGCTGTGGGGAAAAAAACACATGATTTTTGCAGTTGTGCTCAATAGGTCTAAATTCAACGAAAGTATGAAATAAAGTGCTGCTTCAGATATTTCTTCAACAAACAGGGGCTAATTATCTTTACATATGAAAGTAAATGTGATTCTTCTTTCACTTCTGAAATTGTGTGATCTCAGTTCTCTGATGTTATATCCCTTCTACAAGAACACACACCACTGTATGTCTGTGCGTGTGCCTGTTGCCATGGTGATATCTAGAGCTTATTGTTAGTACCTTGTGAACGCCAGTCAGGTAGCAGTGTTGTGATAATTTGTCTTATATTGAGTGATAGCTGTCTGCATGGTTCTGGATGAAAGAAGGAAAGATTCTTTTCAGTGTATATAAACTTCTATGATCCAAGTTCAAAATAAATTTATTAATTTATCTGCTTTTGTGTTTTGTAAATTGAAATATACCACATGGCTTTACAGTCAGATGTTACAAAGAATTCAGATGAAACAACGATGCATTATCCCATTAATGACCTATAGGACAGTGGAACCTGGGAAACCTCAGGAATGCAACTGCTCACAGAAAGCTCTGGCTCTTTATGATGCTGTACTGATGCAGGACACAGGATGACAAAGTATACATCATGCAACTTTAAAACACGAAATAACAATACTATTAAACACATGCAGTCAAACAGTGTTGTGTCAATGTTGAAAGGACCTTCATGTATTCTTTCAGTTATCTGAGGTTTGACACAAATGCAAAATGAATGAAGAAGAAATATGCTGGGACCAAGCTTAAACTATGAGTCAGCTGTAAATTCGACACATTGTTTCACAGTAGTTGACCAATGCACAAGCACAGGAGAGATGCATAGTGTCAACTGTATTGTTGTCCGTGGTATTTCAAATGTACACTATGGCAGATTAGTTATCCACTTGGCCTTGGTGCTTTTACATGGCGAGTCAAATTAAAGATGGAGACTGACACCACTTATCTTACAACTCTTTGCTCTTTGGGTGAGATGTTATCAAAGACTTGACTTGATTAATTTTGCAACGTTGTCACATGTCCTTGCACACAACACCTGCAACAATTAATTCGGATTGACCTCTGATGTCAATCACCACATATCCTAGAAAAGGTTACAGAATTACATTTCCATGTAAATAACAAAAGCTGTATGTAACAATACACAGTTCAGCTTCGTTGCAAGCCTTCAAGTGGCGCATTGCATGGACAGTTAAACTCTGTCCTTGACCGACGTTCCAGTATTGTGATCCATACATTTGGGTAACCCCTTTTTTAGTGGTTCAGGTAATATTGCCAAAATATGGCTAAAATGGCCTATAAAACCTAGTTAAGAATTCCAAATCGAAAATTGCGCATAACTTGTACAGTCAATGACTGTGTTGACTTGTCCAGATGGGCCTGTGGATCAAAATGAGAATCAATGTAAACTGGTCATTTGGAATTGGCCTGTCCTTTGGTAATTAATGAGATGGAGTGTGATTTTTATCTTGATGTTGACACCAACAACACAAGCCATAGACTCAGAGAGCCAGCTGGCTGCAGATTCTTACAGTACATTTAGTAAAATGAGGTGTAACAGCAAGAGGGTGTTCTCCACCAGCTCCAAACGCTCCTTGATCCTACTTACTGTTACAATGATGCTCTTTGCAGTCAAGCTGTATCTCTCATCAGATGGGAAATGTAAGTAACATAAGAGTTACATGTTTTGGGTTTACAACTTGACTAAAACTGAAATTGAATTTTGTGTGATAAAAAAAGCAAGAAGGTATGAAAGGTACAAGGAGATGAAAAAAGTGAAATCTGTGTAAATTTCAAAACTGCCTTTCCTTTTAACACGACGACTGTTCTCACAAAAATAAGTGCACAATTGTCAATATTTCTGTACTTTGTCCATGTGTAAAATAATTAACAAACCTCAATAAATGTATGAGTTTTTCTATCTCTATAATAATTGTGAAAACTGTAACATTGTTGAACCGGCTATTGATGGTGCTGAGATTTTCTGAACAAACTTCCATTTCTTAGGCATGTTAGGTGTCACAGGAACCAGTGGTTTCTTATGCCATATTTTACTGTACTTAAAAGAAATCGATCATCATCCAAAATCCTGTTCTGATAAACAAAACCTAACAAATAATATATTCACTGATGCCTATCTGTATTATCTGTTGAGTTCTTACAATGGTTAAGAAGTGAAAGAAATGATTCTGAGGCTATGAAATATTGCTTATTTGTACCAACATAACATCTGTCAATAAATGTATCTCCTAATCAGCACTGACTCTGATTCTTGGATTGTGACTTAGTAGAAAACATTGCAGACACACATCACTTGAGTGGTGCTATGCTGACACACTGTGCTGTTATTGAAATGCTCTTCAAAATGGCGCAAAACCAAAACAAATCGCTCCAAACAAAATGATAAATTATTTATTTGGATGCTATGTTATAGTAGGTCCTCTGTATATCCCAAGTGTGGTATTAACTGATCAAGTGAGCAGTTACATAATTCCAAGACTAAAGGAATTGTGCCATAATCCCTTTTATCATACCATCATAATATGCTTTAATATTGCTCAGTGAGGAGTAAAACAATATTTACTGACTTGTTCTCTTTTTTCAGCAAACTCTGTTGACACAGTATTAGCCATTGATTCTGTGAGTATTCAAGCCAAGAACTGTACAGTATATTGGAATATTGTGTTGAAAATGTGTTTAGGATGTTGAACTTTACATTTTTTACTTTCTACCCAAAATGAATTAATGCTTAAAATGTAAATGTCTGTCATACATGTAGTCCTTTGTGAGGTGAACAAGAAAAGGGACATTTAGTTGTATAACGTTTCTCATATACTTGTTTTTTTTAATTACAGACTGACACATGCAAGGGTCAAAGGCATAATACAAGACTTGATTTCAAAGCTGAGCAAGAGGTGCGTTTGAAGCGGTATCATGATGTTTGCTTGAGAACTCAACACAATGTGGACTTTAAAACGCGACTGATAAATGACAAGGAACATAAGCTTACATTTTGTCTTACGCACAAAGCTGGCAGCACTTTCATTCTGAGATTTTTTCGTTTTATTACGGATCAGAGAAATAAGTATATAAAAAAAATGAAAAGTCCATTTCAAATAACTCGTACTGATGCTCATTATATGCACATGCCTCAATCATGTATATTAGATCCTGGCCAGGACTACTGGAGCATCATGGCAAATTCAACAAGGATCACGTTTACCAGAGACCCTTACACAAGATTATATGCAACCTATGTTGACAAATTCCTTATTCCTGAATTTACTAATCGTTTTAAGGAAGACATTTTGGAATTGAAAAGTTCCCAAGCAGCCAATTATTGTGAAAAAGTAATGGATTTAACTTTCCCTGAGTTTGTGGAGATGATATTATCTGGTGTGGATGACTCTCACTGGAATCCAGTCCATCAGAAATGTAACCCTTGTAAATATCTGCCTGATGTCATTGGTAAAATGGAGACTTTCACAGAAGACATTACCCATATCCTGTCATTGTTTAAAGCACAGCATATGCTTAAAAACTATGACCACTTCGAAGATGAGGTTGAAATCCTAGTGGGTTATCACTTTGATTTTCACAAAAAGACACCCTTTCTTCAGAAGTGCATAAGCTACATTGATCTTGCTGATAGACTATGGACATCTTTCCAATGGAATGGATATATTCGGCCAGAAGAAGCTTTCCCCAGAGAAAACATGCTTCGCATTCTTGATCAGTCATTGGACCAGGCCAAAGAGTTTTTGGTCTCTGAAGTGATCAGCAGGAAAAAGATGATGAAGACTGAAATTGCCCCCAGAAAACATACAATGATGGTACAGGCTTACAAAAGTTTATCCAGGACAAACCTTAATAAGCTAGCTGAATATTATTCTCTTGACTTTGAACTGTATGGCTATGAACAATATCCAAGTGAAATATTCATGAATGACTAAGGTTTACCTTTTATTCCCCATTTTAAGGTTTAACCCTGCCCACTGGGGAATTTATAATAAAATAAATGTGTTTATTAAACATCAGTTTTTAAACAATGTGGTTGTTTTACTTATGTGGATTTAGCTTTACATCTTGAAACATAGATGAGCAAAACACTGTTTGATAGTTTCAGCAAGAGTATGGACCACTGGGATTTGTGATTAGCCAGGCCACGGCTGAGTGTTCAGTTCAGACATCCTGATTTTATGCTTCCAAGCAAGAGATGATGGGTGATATAGTATTCATAGATCAAAGACGGAGCGTGAAAAGATCAACAAAACTTATGCAGCAGATAATTTTAAACATTTGCATGTTAACAGATATAAGGTCACAACAAATTATTACCACTGCCTACTTGCTCAGAGTGGTGTTGAAACACAAATATTTATACACATGAGGAGATTGAGGTGATGAAATCAAAACAACAAAAGCACTGTTAAATAAAGAATGAAATGTAGATGAGATTGCATTTTTATGGAGATAAGAGAGTAATAAATCAGACACTTGGAAGAGTCAACATATGTATTTATTGGCAACAAAATAATTTCTTTGAATTCATGACTAAATGTCATGAGCCATGAAAGTGTAAATATATGATCAAAACAAAATGACAAAACAACAACAAATTAGGAAACATGTAATTTGCATGAATCACTTGGCTACAGACATTTGTCTTTGATTATTAGTTTTGAACATGAAATCAAGGCTAATTCAATAATGAGCTAGAACTAGGTCTGGGCTTTGAAGTATAACAAATAATGTAGTACACTGAAACAATTATTGAACAACAGGGAATATGTAATGCAAAATCTGAGAAGTGTAGATTAAAACTAAGAAACATATACCCTGAAATTCAAATAAATACAAATAGCATATAAGAATAGATAAGTGATCAAAGTAACTGTTGGAATCCTGCTCAGCAGCTCCATCTTCTATTAAATAGGGGTGTACCGGTACATAAAAGACTTCAATGTATTCTTAATTTTCATGCACAAGAGAATATTAGATGAAAGTGTTTTGTTCAGAGCTGCAAGATTATTCTTGCTCAGTTACATATGTTTTGCTTGCCAGCTCTTTTTGCATTGCCTGAAAACCAAATTGGTGTTAAAGTTCAGTCAACAATTTAAATTGTAAATTACACATTTATTTTGGAAACAGTGCTTATCATAACAATCAATGGTAATTCAAAATTCAGGATATATATTATATAGGACATAAGGAATTTCCTCAACATAACCTACATCAGAAAGTTTAAATACATTGGAAGTCTTGGAAAATAGTTCACTCTTTCATGCAAAAGTACAGTACAGGTACATTTTGCTCATGTTTATTATGGTAAGCACAAATATACATACATACAAATACAATGAAATTGTCTTATAATGTAATTGATAGTAAGTTTATAAGTTCTATCAGACTGGTTCTGTTTTCATTTGTATGTAAAAACATTAAACAGAAAATACATTGTCTTACAGGTTTGATAATATCAGTGGAACATGAGTTATATACATGAAACTTTCATTATAGAACTTCTTAGCGCAGCAAGACAGAATGAGGTTTTATCAACCAAAGTTAATCCAATAAAAACAGTTTGCTCCACTGAAGTATCTTTTCGTTTATTCTGATGATTTTCTTCCCATTTGGAGATATTTCTAAAACAGCATACTTTTGAGGCATCTCTTGACATTTGATATTTGGTGTTGATTCTGCAACAACAAACATTATCACTTAGAAAATAACTTTCACAACTTATATTTTAACTGTTTCTGGCTATTCCTAAATAAGGAAAATAGTAATGTGACTTGTACTGTTCCATTCTCTTCCCACAGAGGTTACTCCTGTCATATCTTCCTACGTAACCTCTGTTCTAATACGGCCATATTTCCTGGTTCTCGTAAAATCCCCTAGCGGCAAAAGATCGCAACACGAATTATCTCCCTTCTTTCTATCCAATCAGAACACCTGTTACATCGACTTAGATTCAACTTGACTAACACAAGCAAATGTGAGGCCACAAATATCCCCCATCTGCCGGGGACTTGTGTTGATGTTACACACAAGACGTTTAATGGCTAGCTTGTCCGTTGTCGACGAGGGCGATGGAGACGCCACTGACCCGCCATAACATAACTGAGTTCTGTCTAGAATAAACGTTCGCGCATCGCGCAGGGGAAAAAGTTTAGTTTTCTCGAAGCATACGGAAATTACCGAGGCCTTTGCGAATGATCACTTTTGAAACAACGTCGCTGATTGCACAACTAAATCTGATTGTCTCCAATCACGAGTCTTGAACGCTCACACCATGAAAGGGCCGTATTAGAACAGAGGTTACGTAGGAAGATATGACAGGAGTAACCTCTGTGGGAAGAGAATGGTACTGTTCACGAAGGCTGCAAATTAAACTTCTAGGAGGCAAATATGATCAATATCATGAATATTTGGTAATAACATAACTTATTGATTGTCTATTGTTACCAGTTACCTACAAATAATTAAATTTTCATTGTGTTTGTAGAAATTCCTACATTCTGATTTGCTGAAATGGTCACATGTTATTGATCATGTGCATTAACTAAACAATCTCCTTATACATGAACCGCCTCCGTGGTGTAGTGGTTAGACCGTCCGCCCGAAGAGCGGAAGGTCGCGGGTTCAATCCCCGGCCGCGTCATACCAAAAGACGTTAAAATATGGTACTTGTTGGTCCCTGCCTGGCGCTCGGCATTAATGGGTACAACAAGGACTGGTCGGCTCGGGAGTCAGTATAATGTGTCTGAGTGGGGTATTCATGATTCACTGCGGCATGGTATCTCAGTGGGCTAGCACTATAAAACCAGCTTCAGTCTGGGCTAGTACAAGCAGCCACACATACACATACACACTCATGCACGTCGTCAATTGAGCAAAATAATCTCCAGCAAACGTTAAACCCAATTTCACCTCACCTCACCTTATACATGACATGCCACAGTATATATTACTTCGCCTGGAATGCTTATCAATCTTGTAATTTCGGTGTGCTTTTATTTATGTAATTGTGTTTGATTAAACTATTGTAGATATAATTCATTGATTGTCCAATTTAACTATATGGATTGACTGTATTTTTTCCGGTTCATTGAGTTATTCAATTTTCCCAACAACCTGCTCCATGGTAAACACACACAAATTTCATTTTTCAAAGAGAGAGGGGAGATCTTAGAGACAAAAATGCTTTAGAAGCAGCATATATACTTACAGATTCCAATAAGAGTTTCTTCTGCAGGGCTGCCATGTCTTTCTTCATAATCTGCTTTAGGTTAAGCTGAAAGAATACAAATATGTTCTTATTGTATCATCCTGCATTCTTTCTATCAGAGAGAAAAAATGACATGAAACGGCCTAAACATCCAGTGACATGTAACACAAAGAATTACATATGACACACATAACATAACATAAGTATCTGGTCATGTCACACCTTTACATGCATAAAACGATAATTAGTTGGTCTGAATGGCAGCCATTAGATTCATATTCTGATACAGTAACAACACTGACATTTAAATCATCCATGCACAGTTTCAACTGTTGGGTAGATGTGCAAACTGTGACAGTTTAGTAAGTCTTAGATACAGACAAAAGATCTATTTTTCCTTATCCTGACTCATGATCTTTTTGCTTAGCTCCCTTTCCCTTGCGAATGGTTGTGGAACACTTGAATCCCTTGTAGTTCCCGAAGCAGACGTAAAAATACACTCACCAACGAGTTACCTCCCTTCTTTCCCGTGCAAACAGTCATGTGACCAGCCTTACTTGTCACTCTCTTCCTTTTCGCCCAAGCAGATGGTTGGGCGAGCACTTGAGTCCCGTATACTGCAGATATACTTTATATTTAGATCCTATTTATCAACATTACGCTGTGTATGGTATTTGGCTATAACTATAATGCTCAGGTCACAAATCGGTGAAGTTAAGCAGCGTCGAGCTCGGAGAGTCCTTGGATGGGTGACCGTGTTTGGCAGCTTGACTCATGAGAGTTTCTAGGACTTGAGTCCTGCCCCACAACGAAGCACATGTGACACATGTGGTCTCACCTTAGGCAAGTGAGTTTGTTCAAAATTGTCTCTGTTCACCCAGCAGGAAAATGGGTACCCGGTGGAAAAAAGTCAAATGACTATAATCTTCTAGCGCCTAACAGGCAGCTTGGGTTATCCGGGGTAATAATGGCCTTGATTGTTAGCGCTATGAGCATACCTAGTGTGGAGTTTGGCGCTATATAAATGGACACATTATTATTATTATTATTAGTTGTATAAACTTTGAAGAAATTTTTGTAATTTGTTACACTTTTTCATCACAATGTAACGTGTTTACATTTAATGAAATCTTGCATTGTTTGCAGGCACCGGCTATCTGTGGCTGATCCTCACCCCCAATGCCCATCGTGCATTAAACCATGTTCTTACAGCTCACGTTGAACATATTGCAGTGATTTATCAAATTTGCTGTTTAATCAATATTTGTCTTATATCTATAGACGTGCCATGGATAGGATGAGGAAGTCATCACAAGTCACGGTTGATAAACCTGGAGATCAAGCCGGTAACCGTAGGTTGTTTGCTACTGCAGAAATAAATAATTCTGGTGCTATGTTGAGTACGTTGCAGGGGCAGTCGTCTGGTACAGGGTCGAAAAAGAAGTCTGCTACGACGGAGTTGACGCAAGAAAAAGACTACTGCTTCATCCACAACGCAGAAAAGGGCATCCTTAACTAGGTCTACATCGAAATCTACACGACCTAGCAAGTCAACTCATCAGAGGTCGTTTAATGAGGACATTATCCTACAGCTTGAGGCAGACGTGTTTGATAAACCACCGTTACTTCTGCCTAAAGTACCTATTAGAACGGCGACACAATTGACCTCCACAACTACTAGATCGTCTCCTGCAACTACAACAGCGGCCCAGCTGTTTGACGACTAACCACCAACTTCTCAACGCAGTGAAGTTGAAGCACACAACACATCAGCGTTCGCGAATGCTTCATCAACGCCGAATCAGTTCCAGTCTACGCAGAACTTCGATCCAGGCGACTTTATGAGGCAATCTACTACTGAAATGATGGCCATGATGGAACGACGTTTTGATGCGGAAGCGAGGGCACAACAGGAACGTTCATCAACTGACAACGTTCGCAAACCCTCAGACCTACGCGAACCCAATACGCCTCTCAGATCTACATCTGCAGACGACGTTGGCAAACGTGAACGTTCGAGAAGGTCATCACAATCAGACGACTCTGTCATCATACAACAGGATGGAAGGTCCGCAAGGACTACTAACTCTACGACAACTTCGTCTGCGAACGTCTAGGAATCCATCCCCAAGAGCCAGCCGTTCCAAGGCGACACCACTGTTAACCCTCAGACTGATGGTCTTCAACTATTTTGCAGACGAGCAAGCAGACAAACTACAAGGAGCCATCAACTCACTCCTAACCAAGAATGCGGTAGAAAGAATAGATCAAGATCATCTCACGCCAGGCTTCTACTCCCCAATTTTCCTAGTACCCAAGAAGAATTCCAAAGAGAAATTCAGGTTGATTTACAACATGCGGAAATTCAACCAAGACTATCTACTCAAACCGGAAAGGTTCAGAATGATCCACCTACCTCAACTCAGACTAATTCGTCCAGCACACTTTATGGCCAGCATAGACCTACAGGATGCATATCTACACATCCCCATACATCCGGAATCAAGGAAATATCTACGATTCCTATTCAGAGGTCAGCACTTCCAATGGAACGTCCAACCGTTTGGAATATCGTCGGCACTGTGGTTATTCACACGAATAACCAAGCCCATAGTCGCCTACCTACATCATCGAGGTCTACGCAATGCCGTTTATCTGGACGACGGCATACAGGTTCATCAAAGTGCCAATCAACTCAGACAGCAGCTGAACTTCACAATCAAGTTGCTCACGTAACTAGGATGGCTAGTGAACCTGATGAAGTCGGAGTTGGAACCAAAACAAGATCTGCAATTCCTGGGGATAAGATTCATCACAACACAGAATTGAATTGTGACCCCAGAAGATCATTGGGTCAAGATACAAGCCATGATTCCTCAAGCAGTCATCTCTCTGTTAACACTACGAACATGGCAATGTTTACTCGGTCTACTAACCTCAGCACAAGACTTGACTGGCACAGGAAGGTTACAACTACGGCCATTGCAACGATTCCTGGCAAAACATCTGGACAGCAGCGACCCTATCTCGCTACCAGATCATCTCAAAGTGTACCTATTTTGGTGGACTCACAGATCGAATGTCTGCGCAGGGACCTATTTACAAGAGCCACACATGCAGATGCATCGCTACAGGGATGGGGTGCACATCTCAACAACCAAGTTGCATCAGGGAAGTGGTCAAATGCACAACAGCATCTATACATCAATCTGCTAGAAATGAAAGCTGTGATCAATGCCGTACAACTATGGTCGAGTGCGCTGAGCAACAGAATGCTGTTGATCCACACAGACAACTCTACAGTGGCATTCTCCATAAAATCGGCAAGGATCAACAAGATCGCCAAGCCTATTGAAGCTCACATTCCAGTTGTTCAACAGCACAAAGAAGGCAAACATCTGGATAAAGGCGTGTCACATACCGGGAGCCAAGAACGTACTAGCAGACGATCTTTCCCGACCACTGCACCCATCACCCACGGAATGGATGCTCCATCCAGAAGCGTTCCGGCTCATCATAAGGGAAATAGGATCCCCATGCATAGACCTGTTCGCCACGAGTTTCAACAAACAACTACAGACGTTTGTTTCACCAGTACCAGACCCCCAAGCCTGGGCAACAGATGCACTCAGCATATCATGGGAAGGACTAAACGCTTACGCGTTTCCACCTCCGATCTTACTACCGAAAGTACTGTTGAAGATCAAACAGACCCAAGCTCTACAACTGACTTTGGTCGTGCCCTATTGGCCAGAGAGAGTCTGGTTCCTTGACCTAATAGAAGATCTCGGAAGTCCAACCCTCAAACTACCAGAATGGCCAAACCTACTCAGACATCAGCACACCAAGCAAGTCCACAGGAACCCAACATTGTTCCAGCTACACGTGTGGACCATATCAAAACCTGTCTGAAGAAAAGTGGATATTCCGTCAGAGCAGCGAAAGCAGTAACCCTAGCGTTACGCAGATCTACTCGCAATTTGTATGACGACAAATGGCAGAAATTTGAGCAATATGCAAGGCGGAAAGGCTTCACAGCTATGAAAGCGTCTCATCCTCAAGTGGCAGAATATATATGTCACCTTAGATATGCAAGACTTCTGAAAGGTTCAACATTATCTACATAGCTGGCAGCCATTAGTACAGCCATCACTATGAAGTCAGGCATCAAATTGACGAAAGTAGCAGAATTACTAGCTCTGTTGTGATCTTTTAAACTGGAGGACCAGCAAAATATATTCAGAGCACCAGCCTGGGATCTGAATGTAATTCTACGTCATCTCATGAGCGAAGCCTACGAACCTCTAGAGCAGACTACCTTCGAGCTAATCACGCAGAAAACACTGTTCCTGCTTGCCCTAGCCACTGAAGCTCGTATGTCTGAGATACATACGCTGGACTTTGGACGAACTAGAATTGACACGGGGCACCGTGCTGCAGTACATCTAATAATAATAATAATAATAATAATAATAATAATAATAATAATAATGTGGGTATTTATATAGCGCTACATCCAGGTACTAATACCTGCTCATGGCGCGCTACAATACTATAGGAGAAAAGAAAATAGGTAAAATAATTTACAGAGAGACAATTGAACATAGAAAGTCTAGTAATAGGCAAGACGAAAAAAGTGGGTTTTTAGAGACGATTTAAATGTGTCCAAAGATTCAGCATTCTTGATGTGAGTGGGCAAGTTGTTCCAGAGACTGGTGGCTGCGTGTTGGAATGATCTTTTCCCATAGGATGAGAGTCGAACTTTAGGAATGACAAGTAGCTGGTGATTCTGGGATCGTAATGGTCGGGTTGGAATGTACTGACACAGAAGACTGGAGAGGTATTCAGGTGTTTGTCCATGTAGAGCTTTGAAAGTGATACATAGAATCTTGAAGTTAATCCGGAATTTGACAGGCAACCAGTGTAGAGACATCAGTGAGGGTGTGATATGATCTTTCTTGGACTTGAGGCAGACGATGCGAGCTGCTGAGTTCTGTAATTTTTGAAGTTTCTGAAGTTGAGTTGCACTTATGCCAAAGTGCAGACTGTTGCAATAGTCAAGTCGAGAGAGTATAATGGATCGAACCAAAGAATGAGCACATTCTGTTGTGATGAGATTTCTAATGGAGCTGATGGTTTGTAGATAATAGTGACAGTTCTTATAAACATGGTTGACTTGCGGTTCCAAAGACAAACTTGCATCAAGATATACTCCAAGATCCTTAGTGACAGGGGGAGGTTGAATGTGAGATGTTGAAATCTTCACATTGCAGATGGAGGTTTTCTGTAGCTGTTTGGAATTTCCAAGGACGAGCAACTCCGTTTTGTCATCATTCAGTTGGAGTTTCCTTGTGTTCATCCAGGTCTTTATATCGGAAACGCAACTGTCTATGATCTGTAGATCAGTGACTGGAGATTGCAGATTAAGAATCCTGGTAACCTGATTGCCCACAGTCATGAGAGTCAATAACCGCGGGAAGAGAGTTTACATAAGAGAATGGGACCAAGGACCGAGCCCTGGGGCACGCCACATGTTAACTCTACTTTGTCAGATGTATGATTCTGAACTTTTACAACCTGTGTTCGCTGATCTAGGGATTTTATTGCAAAAAATCAACTACCTGGTCAACCAGATAGACAGTTCCATGTGCCAGCGCTATCTACTATCCTCTGACCAGAGGACACCCAAGACTTATCCTTGTGTACTGTCAGAGCCTTGAAGATATATCTTCAAAAGGCTAAAACAAGGAGAAGAAAATTCAAGCGCCTATTCATCCCCTTGTCGAAGGAGACAGCAGTGGAAGTCTCAAGAACGACAATATCGTTATGGATGAGAACCGTTATACTAAGTGCCTACAAAGCAGCAGGATTAGAGCCTACAATAGCCTCCAACCCACACGAAGTCAGAGCACTGGCGTCAACACCGGCTCTGCATGGAAATTGCTCTATATCATCGATCATGGAGGGCTGCTTCTGGAAGTCAGATACGGTGTTTGCCAACCAGTACCCCTGAGACATAGCCACCGAAGACGTCTCCGGCATTCACCGGCATTGTTGTAGCGCAACAACTAACAACTAACTGTTCCTCAAGTACTGTCGACTTGTTAGGAAATGCTAGAAAAATGCTATTAAAGTACTGTCGGAAATGCTAGACTTTTTGACTTATATTTAAAATTCAGAGGTATTACAGTTACTTAAATAACAAATATCACTTAAAAAAACATCTACCTAATGTAGACAGAGGGAATAAATTTTGAGACATGCTCTAAAATGTGTTTTTACTGATGAAAATACCAAAAACTTAGAAAAATAAGGGGTAGTTGGACGTTATTTGAAACAAACATCAACTGCCTGTGTTACGCCTTCAGCATGCACGGTATCGACAGGTGAAATTGACACCTGAGCACACGCCAAGCGAGGGTCATCTCAATAGATGTTTTCTGCAAAATGTTGAATATGTGTACGATAGTATAATGATCAGTTATGTAAGGGATCATTTGTGTATGTGTGTTTGTTTTGAAATAAACATACGAATTACTGTACATTGGAAAGAATCCTATCACTTGTGTTATCTTATCGACTGATTGTAGAAATGTGCAACGCTTCAATAAATGTTTTGCATGTCAACAGTATATTTCATTGAAAAAAAATATGGATGTAATTCGGTCAGTTTAATCTAGTTGTGAACATTGGCCAAAGATTTAACGAAGTCACTGGTGTAGCTTCTTTTGAATATATATATTTTTCTTCTCATAAAGTTTGTAGACCGCCCGTCTAAGCACTCTCTTGTCAAAGTTGTCAAGGATGGTTTTACGTCCCGGTTTTGCATTTGAGACGGTCCCTGTCTTGTCTCTTTTGTTTACAATATTGTAAACTTGTTGGTAAGACATGCCAACAGCTCTACAAGTTCTGTAATAAACCCTTTCTAAACTAATGAACGGTTTACCTCTGTCTTTTTTAAGCAGAAAAAAACTATAAACCTTTGCAACAATCGACTGCAAATCGTTGGCCATAGTGGACGCTGTGATAAAGATGTGCATGCATGACGGAAACTTTATTTATCAAGACTTAACATTTATATTAATATTTCTTCAATAAAGAAAACGATACTTTAGTAAAGTAACACAAACATTCAACATTTATTTGTTTAGGATAAACGTTAATTCATATTTTTACACCACCTGTATTATTAGCATTAATGTAAAGACTATTTCAGATTTCTGTTGTTGAACTCTGAAAAAATCTTAAGTTGCTGTTTTGGTACCAAATTATCTCCTGTAAACTGCCCTTTAAATGCATGGGAATGTTAAATCGATTGAAATAAAAATTAGGTAGACCATAGGCGAGTTGATATATTGACAACATAGTACATTTATCACCTTTATAAAGATATTAAGGCTAAAAAGCATTTTTCTAGCATTTCCGACAGTACTTTAGTTTGAAAGTCCATGCGCACAGTCTAGACTAGGCTAGCATGAGTGATTAAGACTCTGTACGGGTAAAGATCTTACCTGTACGTAAAGGGGTCGCAACTCATTTATGATAACGATCTTATCATAATCTATGGTTTGTTATAGATAACTAGTAAAAAGATACTAGTATATCTTAAACCACATGAATCTACAAGATTCACTTGTCTGAGAGAGAAGTAAGACAAGATGGTGGTTCCCCCGAGTTACAACGGAAGTTGGAAGAATAGGATCTAGGAAATGCCGTTACGCAGTTCCCATGGGGGGGATACAGGACGTATCTATGGACAGCAGTTGAAACCAGGAAGTGGCTTGACGCACCACCAATCCGTAGGATTCTATAAGCAAAAGATCATGAGTCAGGATGAGGAAAAATATGTAATTTTTAAAGTAAAATTGATATTTTATACTTATCCTGACTCATGAGGAGAAGCCCTCCCAACCTCCCCGCTGGAAACACTTGGATTTCACAGTAGATCCAGGTGCATGGGCAGAAAAATCAGGAGAGAGATACAAGTAAGGCTGGTCACATGACTTTGAGCGGGAAGGGAGGGAGGTAACTTGTGGGTGAGTGTATTTTTACGTCCGCTTCGGGAACTACAAGGGATTCAAGTGTTCCACTACCATTTGCAAGGGAAAGGGAGCTAAGCAAAAGATCATGAGTCAGGATAAGTATAAAATATCAATTTTACTTATAAAATTACATTTTTGAAGCCAATGAGACTTCTGTCAATGTGAGTGAGTGAGTTTAGTTTTACTCCACACTCAGCAATACTCAAGCTATATGGCGCCGGTCTGTAAATAATAGAGTCTGGACCACACAATCCAGTGATCAACAACATGAGCATCGATCTGCGCAATTGGGATATGTTGACATGTGTCAACCAAAGCAGCGAGCCTGACCACCCAATCCTGATAGTCGCCTCTTAGGACAAGCATGGCGATCAATTCTAACCCAGATCTTCATGGGTCTCTGTCAGTGTGACTTAAACCTGTATGAACACAAACATAAATCCACTAAATGTAGCTCAATACCTGTTTGCTCTGAGCATTAACCTCAGATTCTTTGAGGTTATCATCAAGTGTTGAATGGAGCAGTTTCAGGTTTCTCAATCTGCAAATTGCAACAGTACAAAGGTGTAATGCATCTGTTTAAATAGATATATCGTTATATTGTTTAAATATGTGTTTGGATCATACACGAGTGGTGAGCATTACAAAGGTGTAATGCATCTGTTTAAATAGATATATCGTTATATTGTTTAAATATGTGTTTGGATCATACACGAGTGGTGAGCATGCCTGTTCACAAAACAGTCACAAAATGATCTTCTAGTACCTTATTTCCTGTGAAACTTTGTGCTTCTTCATTGCCTCCAACTGTTCTTGACAGAAAATCTAAAATGTCAAATAAATGGGGTTTTACCAGACACTAAATACTGCATCCCAATATGCATACAATTTTAGCATCGAAACATATCATTTACATTAGGTCCCAATAGACCTAAAAGCTATTGTGTTTGAATGATTACATGATCAAAATAGTAGATTGCATTTACAACAGACATTCAAAAATGTAGTCAAAGTTTAAGGTGTCAGTGGATGATTTTATTGAATTTAACACTGATATCCACATCTATAACAGGCTAAGGATTCAGCATATATATGCAATGATACTATTGGAATTTAAGTGAAGCGTGACATATGTAGCCAGCTTGTGACCCGCCATGTTCTGATCTTGCTATTTGTTCACACACACAAATCAATACATAAAGATTTTGATCACTGTACTTACAAATAGATACACCCAAATACTACCATGAGATAAATCACCAGTACTTGAACAATCAATCAATTAATCGGTTATAACTAATAACACTATCATAGAGAATAAGATGTCTAGGCCTTTGGAAATATAGGATATACAGTGATGAGAATGAAGTTTTGAGAAAAACTCTGAAAACTAGCCAGGGGTTTAGCATCTATCGGATTTAGATTCACAAAACGACCCTTGGCCTTATGAAATTCCCGGGGAATTCCGCGGAAAATTCTCATCCCTGGATATATAACCATAAGATGATTGCAAAAGGTTGTAATACATTTGCTTCTACTACAAAGTGGACACCTAAAATATTATGGAGGTGGCACATGGTCTTGTACATAGAGGTCAGGTCACAAATCAGTTGAAGGTAAGCAACGTTGAGCTCGGAAAGTCCTTGGATAGGTGACCGTGTTTGGCAGCTTGACTCCTGAGAGTTTCTCGGACTTCAGTCCTGCCCCACAACGAAACATATGTGATACATGTGGTCTCACCTTAGGCAAGTGAGTTTGTTCAAAATTGTGTATGTTCACCCAGCAGAAAATGGGTACCCGGTGGGATAGGTCATATGACTATAACCTTCTAGCGCAGCTTGGGTTATCCGGGGTAATAATGTTATTTGTGTGCGCGCTTTGAGCATGCCCCTTTGTGGTGTGGAGTATTGTGCACTCGCAGTATAAGTACACTCATTATTATTATTATTATTTTGAAATTAAACTTGAGTCACCTCAAGAAGTCTTGTCCGAATGTAAGAACCAAATACTTATTATACAAGAGCAAAGCTCAAGGACACCAGAACCCTCCTTAATTTCAAGCACTGTTATACCCTTTTAGTAAATTTGACTTCAACTCTTTGTATCAGTTTAAAGCAGAAAAGGTTTGAGCAGATGTCAAACTCTACTTACTTTAGTAATATTTTATGAGAATGAGCTAGAATGATTATAGCTGTACAATCATTGATACAAAATCTCTGATCTTTAAAAGACTAATGAATATGGGCAATGGATTAAACTAATTTAAGGTGGTTCAAACTGATGTTTTAGTTGTTGAAGAAAACAGATGTTTATACCAATTAAAGAACTATAACTACACAATGGCAATTTATGATTTTCTAAAAACCTATGGTAACACCTATAATTTGCGTGTATGTTTTCATAGTCTTCTTTATTGCTTTCTATTTCTTATCAACCGTGTGTTTCACTCAGTGCTTATCTAATGAAGGATGAAAGAATGTGTTATGCAGAAAGCAACTGTTTTTGACAACATATGAACCTAGCAATGCACTAAAACTTCATGGATGATGGAAACACTGAAGGAATGACCTAGAATCAAAATGATAACAATCATACAGCTGCCTTCAGTTTTCCATGTTATTACAACTTACTAAAGATTTTTCTTCTGTATTCTTCAAAGCAGTTACATCTGCTTCAAGGGAGAGTAGTTCTTCAAGCATCTTGTCTTTGAAATGTTCAAGTGCTCTACCTCTACAGAAAGCAAACACATTAATATGAAATCAAATGAAATGCATCATATTATTCCAACACCACTATAATGTACTATAGCTTGTTGGGATTGATTAATTGCCAAAATAATAGGCCACAGTCATGTTTAAAAATACATCCTAAATTCAAATAAAATTTAAAAATTGAGCCTCCCTTAAGATTACCCTTCAAACATCTCTATATCTACAGGCCTCACATTTCAATAACCCTGGATCCATTCCCTTAGCTCTTGTTATCCTAAATTACCTGCCCTTGATTTTCATTAATACTTAACTGACCAATTAAAAGTGGACATAAAGAGGTGGTGAGGTGAGGTGAAATTGGGTTTAACGTCGTGCTTGAGAATATTTCGCTCATATGACGACATGCATGAGTGTGTATGTGTATGTGCGGCTGCTTGTACTAGCCCAGACTGAAGCTGGTTTTATAGTGCTAGCCCACTGAGATACCATGCCGCAGTGAATCATGAATACCCCACTCAGACACATTATACTGACTCCCGAGCCGACCAGTCCTTGTTGTACCCATTAATGCCAAGCGCCAGGCAGGGACCAACAAGTACCATATTTTAACGTCTTTTGGTATGACGCGGCCGGGGATCGAACCCGCGACCTTCCGCTCTCCGGGCGGACGCTCTAACCACTACACCGGAGGCGGTGGACATAAAGAAAAGGGAAATGGGTACGGGTAAGGTGCACAAGAAGACATCAATTGTAATCAACAGAATGTGATGCAATGTTGATGATATTGCCAAGCAAACATTAAGGGTGGTATTTAAGTCACATGTTCTACTTGGTAGCACAACAAGTCAAATTGGCTAATGAAATTCTGAGGGCAGGCAATTCAGTAGGAACACGGTTATTGATCCAGGGGTTAGTGCAGGTTTACCACAATCTAGACCTGGAGGTAAACAGAAACATTAAGTTGTTTGCAAAAAACAGCATCTAAAGGGGAGACTATTTTGAAAGGTAAAACACCCCAAACAAAACAAGCAAAATCAACACACATTCAAAAGCAAAACAATCTGTATTTTTGTGTGCAGAGAATTGGTTATTTGATGTCTTTCTTTATACATAAATAATGCTATAAAGAGGTCGGAATTTTTATTTAATGTCTACATAACAATAATGCTTTCTTGTGGGACTAATACTCACCTGTCTTGGCTTTCAGATGTCCAGATCTTATAGATGTGTTTCTGAGTGTTTCTTAGTGCCCCTCTGGTGAGCTCAGTCAGCTGTTGATGTTTAACCTGTATTCAGAACCATTCATCAATAATGTTAGTGCATTGAGATGAACTGTGAAGTAACACACCAAAAACTTGAACCATATTTTTCCATTCAAGGTCAGCATGTACTATTCCATGAAAGGCTAAATAAATATAGACTTGCTGCAATTGCCGGTACATAAGTAATACAACTGACCATCAAAGATATTGATTTTGGCTTCAGCTGATCATAAATCATATGCTAATAAGACTAATAAGCTAACATACCTTCAGTTGCTTCTGCATGTCCATTCCAAATGACTGGATGTAAGTTGAAATGCCTGTATTTATTCCACTGTCACAGCCAAGATCCATCACCAAATCTAGTTCACCATTTTGTGTAGAAGATCCATCTTCAGTATGCTGATCTGGCAGGTAAAAAAGGAAGAACTGGCATAGGACAGGACTTAACAAGGGGTTGTCCTATTTTAGAAGGTAGTCTGTTTGAAATATTTTCTTTTGTCTTGTAGTATCGGTGAATTCCCAATAGAAGCAGGTTCTTTTAAAAACAGAAAAATAATGATTCACACATGAACATGAAATGTTCAAGTGTTCTATATCAACAGAAAGCAAACATGATAGTATGAAAACGAAAATGAGATGTTTAACTACTTTTAAGAGAGAAACTTTTTTCCAGATATTATAAACCACAACTTTTATGTATGATGATTTCAAGGGTACCTGTGTATGGGTGCTTACCCTTTTATTCTACATGGACATCTTTTGCCATCTTTTGGTTTTTAAGTGCTTAAATTTAAGTTTATTGCTGCATCACTGGTGTGTTTTAACTTGTATTACGGAGTACGTTATTTCAATAAATAGGATTTTCTTGCTTAATTGTCAGTGTAGAGTAAATTTCAAATTCTAGAATAGATTTTATCAATAAAAGTACCAGGTAAATCTTTCCTGAACAATTTCCTTGGACAGAAACTTCTCTCATCATCACTGTGTGGATCCGATTCAGAAGACAACATGTCATCACTTTCACTCTCATCCAATATCTTCAGATGCTGCACATACCGGTTAAGGCAAAAATTAATACATTAGTGGTTTGCTGCACATTGTTTGGGACAACGATACACAATCTGCCAGGTCACAAATTGAAACCATTTATTGGTTAACTCTTAAAAGCATGGGGTACTGAGGACCTTTTCTGAATCCGTTTTGTTGTTTTACAAATAGTGGTCTTAGAAACACATTAAACTAGAAACAACTTTTTTTTCTCTTTTTCTCAAAAGTCTATTAAAATATTCAGTTTTCACCATTCAGTTAAAGCAGACACAATCAAATCTTTGTCAGAATGGAACATGTACAATTTTTCAAGACCATTTCATATCAACAGCTCGTTTTATTCCATTTTTCAAAGGATACCTCATACTTCCGTTTGAGAGCAGAACGACGTGGACGCACAGTAGATGATGGACCTCAAACAAAGAATAAAACTAAGAGTCATAATACAATTACTTACATGCATAACAAACAAAGACGAAACAATTGGACAAAGCATTACATAGGTTCAGAAACCCTTGCTACAATAGTTAAATAGTTTTGATTTCTTTGCAATTCCTTCCCTGATATGAAGTACTGTCCATGAACATGTGTGTTCCTTCATCATATAGTTAATCCCTTTTACAAGTTAATGGATGGCTAACATGCTACACTTTTAGTAAGTAAAAGTAAAAATTTTGGTTACTTACTTCTTACATTCAAATCAGGATATTCAATACTTTCCTGTACATAACAATAGTTTTTTGGTTAAAATGACTTATGAGGAATATTTTGAATGTTTGAAAAGAAACAAGAAGCATTAGTAAGGTAGTATTAAGGGGGAGTACTGTACATCTATGAATAATTAACTCTCTTTCAGAAAATGAAGATTCTTAGAACAATACCTGATCTGATCACTTCGTCTGCACACCGGCTAAGAAGTTTAGGAACGCTTTCATGGTCTTTAAGTGGTAGAGAGTATTCTTTCTGAAAAAGCAATTATTTGTCTGAAGTGTGTCGAATCAGATTTCTGAATTAGAATTATAGATCACAAATGTGTTAGTGACTTCCTCATTACCTGCATGGATTCTTGATGTAACACATTATCAATATTCAAGTTATATGAAACTCACACAGATTTCAAACTGTTGAGTGATGGCAACATCAGCTGTTTCAGATTCAGCTTGATCCTCTGCAAAATAAATATATTTGTTTAGATGATCAAGAAACATGATTACATCAAATACTTCATAAACTGGCCTGGAATTCAGAGAGCAATTTAACTGATAACACTGCTGGACCTACAGCAAATCAACTTGATCAGGGTGTCAAGACATAAAGCCTGCATGATAGTTACAAGAAGGTAGCCTGTGATTAATTGAGTCTGTGCCAGACAAACGTGTCACTGAAATGATCCTCATTCCACTTTGTTGGGTTACAATGACATGCAGTCAACCAAATTCACTGAGCCTGACCACCGGATCAATCCTACAACACACACAAGTGGATGTAATCTAACTCAAAATCCCCAAGTGGGATAATATGAAAGTGGTGTTGGCATTTACAGATATACAAATTTGTAGATTTACAGTATGCTTTGTTGTTTTGTTTGTTTGTTTGTTGTTTAATGCCAGATTCAGCAATATTCCAGGCAGTTGCCCCTTATGACAAGCATGGACTGCTGAAGACCAATTCTAACCCGATCTTCTTTGGTGTGACTGTATGCAGATACTACCCATAATATTTTAGTGCAAATAACACACATCAAATTTCCCATTAATGCAATTTTGTGATGAAACAGTGAAGAGTTTTTTAAGTTCTGCTCCGGAAAAGAGCCCTACCACCAATTTCAGTCAAAGTGAAACTTGTTGCCATGAAAACGCCAAAATATTTTATTCGGAAATCCAAAACTACCAAAAGGCACCAGTTCACCACCAGATCTATCTATGTGCCAAGTCTGGTGAAGAAACATTGAACGGTTTTAGAGTTCTGCTCCGGAAAAGAGTACTAGCACCAATTTCAGTCTAAGTCAAACTTGTTGCCATGGAAACGCAAAAATATTTTATTCAGAAATCCAAAACTACCAAAAGGCACCAGTAGACCACCAGATCTATCTATGTGCCAAGTTTGGTGAAGAAATATTGAATGGTTTTAGAGTTATGCTCCGGAAAAGACATATGTCGGACGGACAGAGTCCATTTTAATACCCCCACAAAACGCGTTGCGGGTAATAACAATAGTTCATCAGCTGTAAGCTAGTTTCTCAACAAGTTCATTCCAATTCGTGCCACCCAAACAATTGGTTACACCTTCAACTTAACAGATAAACTTCCAATCCATACACCAAAATCTAAGGGCAAGATGGGAATGAAAGAGAAACCTACTGATCTATATGAAGTACCAACCTTCATCAGACCCAAGGAAATTGCCAGGTGTTTGGATGGTCTTCGGTGTAGAAAGGAACTTAACATCAAGTGGACTGTACCGTCTCTTTGAGTTGGGTACCTTAGGTGTTCCTCTCTGTAAAATGTTTGGAGTTCTTTCTGAATGAATGACAGAGGACACATTTGCGGGTTCGCCTTTTGCAGATCTTACTGGAGCATCAGAATCCTGTTGAAAAGAAATATTCAAGCAACACTCAAACAAAACAGGTATAATTGAAGTCACTGGCATTATTGTTACTCAAAATGTAGGTAGTGCAATGACCTATGAAAACATCTCAGTTCAAGAATTGTCAGGACCTATTTACCAGACCCGTGAAGGTCCGGGTTAGAATATTGATCTTCAGTAACCCATGCTTGCCGTAAGAGGCAACTGACGGGGTCGGGTGGTCAGGCTCGCTGACTTGGTTGACATGTCATCGGTTCCCAATTGCGCAGATCGATGCTCATGTTGTTGATCACTTGATTGTCTGGTCCAGACTCGATTATTTACAGACTGCTGCCATATAGCTGGAATATTGCTGAGTGCGGCATAAAACTAAACTCACTCACCTATTAACCAACATACATGGTTCCATACCTGGGTTAAAATTATATTCTCCGCTTCTCTCCTTATGAGTAGAATGTCATCATCATCACTGACCCCACCATCATTATCTTCCTCACTATCCTCTTTGTTATCATCGTCCTCACTATCCTCGTTCTTCACCATTTTCATCCTTTCTATCCATATGCTGACTATCTGTGTCAGTAGGTCTATGCTGTCTCTCTCTCATGACAGGTTTTCTCTTGTAAGTTTTCTGATTTTTCTTTTTCTTGGCAGTTGATCGCCTAGCTATCCAACTTAGTTCGCTTCTAGAAATGAGGTAATAAATTTGAGGCTTGGACTTCTCGAGAACAGAACTATAGTGTCTGGACTAAATCACTGCACAGGAAAACATGTCTGTACGAACTGAGGAATACATGATAACCATGATACCAATGCACCATTTTTAAGTTGATCCCTTACATTGATTTATTAGAATACACAAACACCTAGAAATGTCAATCCCAATCCTAAGGCACACTGTATTGTCAATATGTTGTAAAATATATATCCCTTCCTAATTTGTGATTGTTGTCTTATGACTACTATGGGGGCTTTTTTTTAAACATCCATAAAATGCATTAAAGGAAGTAGTCAAAATTGTTATATGGAATTGTACAACTTACTTCAAATCATTTACTATTGAACAATTGTCCTGCCGATATTCTTCATCTGAGCTTTTGGTCACCTGGTACTGAAAAGACATATATTTTAAAACATTTATGAAAGTTCATCGCTTGTATATTAAATGATCATTTGTCTGATGAGTAAAACTTGAATACAGACATTCAAGCATTAAGTTTACAGCAAATATAATATCAGGCTCTGAGGGTCAATTTCCAATGTTTCTGGTTATGTTTTTTTTTATCATTACCTTTTTCTGTAAGCTTGTCTTGTGTTCCTCATCTCTGTAAATACAAAAGTACTCAATCCATATTGTGATGTTAAGAGTTCAAACTAGAAAAATTACAAACACTTCACATAATTGTATATACTTTCTGAAGTTTCAAACTTTCAGTGTAACTGTACATATAGACTACTCACAACTTGGAACTTGGAGTATGGCTTTACGCCACTTTCAAACTATTAGAGGGGAAGTGGGGTAACCTAGAGGTTAAAGTGTTCGTTCATCAAGCTGAAGACCCAGTTCGATTCCCCACATGGGTACAATGTGCGAAACCTGTGCGAAACCCATTTCTGGTGATCCCAGACGTGATATTGCTGGAATATTGGATCATGTGTGGCAGTTTTTTAAATGTACATTAAATGTAGTCGTAATAGATAGCGATGACTTTATGGATGGGGTCTGCCTTAAACTCCTCGAAGTAGGCTAAGGAGTAGGTTGAGTACGGGGCAGTGCGTTCTCTGGTCTCAAGGCTATAATCGACTAAAGTATCCATGAGACCTTCAACACCTTGTAACTTTGGTACCCCCCAGACCTAAACTATCATACAGGGTCGGGAATTGCCCTCGACGAATCACTCGATGTAGGGTCCATCCCGATGCGCCTGAACAACCGTTTCTCGATCAATCTCCACATGATGATAAATATAAATATACGAATCTTTAATAAGGGGGTAATACCATATCGTGGGGTACGACGAGCAATTCCTCTTGCACGAATCCCCTACCCGGTCCATCTCTCAAGTAATACAAATGGGGTTTATCTTCTTTGATATCCACCTGATCGATGTGGTACGTTGTCACAGACCATATGGGGTCCGTGGCACGACGTCTATCCCCTCCATCGAGTTCACCAGGCTGATACAAATACCTCACGTTGATCCGATCCGATAGTATTTTCTCGGGGTTTTTACCCTTGGATGGTGGTGCGGCTGATTCAGCCGTCACAGATTTCATTTTAATGGCCTCAACGGGTTTTTTGTTGATGAGTTACTTCGTCGTTGATCGCTGACACCACTCGAGGTAAACGCGTCACCCATTCTGTCGATCGTTTTTCAGGCGTCCCCATTTCTTGGGCCTACTGGTGTTCGAATAAACGCTCGTTTTAGGTGCGGTTAAACCTCTCGATGATGGCTTGACTGCGATGGGCTCCCACCATCCCGCGCCTGACCTCGACCTTGTGTTTACATAACAGCTGTGACACGGAGCCCATGAACTCGCGTCTGGGATCGACTTGTAATTCGGTAGGCCACGTCAAAGGGCTTCGTTTGTAGATACGTTCCAGTGTCTTGGCCACTTGACTTGAATCTTTCGCAGTGAGTGGCTCAGCCTCTTTGTATCGACTGGCAACGTCTACCACGGTCAGAGCATACTTGTACATTTTGCGTCTCACCCTGTCGTGTGGGAGAAACAGGAGGTCGGCTTGATGGACTCGATTGGGGGTCGAGACATCAAACTTTCTTCTTGGGATGTATCGGGGAGCTGGCAAGTAGATTTGCCAGGGGGCATGTTTCTCCAACCAAGCCTTAGCAGTATCCTCGCAGACCTTGGCGGCTTCGGCGAGCTTAGGCATAGCACTCGCACCTTTCCAATATCCTCGTGGGCTGTAGTACATCTTACTATCTACATTTTACTTTGGTTAAAGGCTGGACTCGTTGAGTTTTCTTAGTGTTTCTTCTTCATTGGATCTAACTAGTTTTACATTCACCCGTTTCCTTAAATTCTCCATGGTTTTGCCAAACACCGAGTTGTTCATGAGCTTGTACAAGTTTTTCTCAAAATTGCTGGTGGCTAGCTTTTGTAAATCCGTGTTCATTCTGATCAGTGTTCACGAATAGCGTCTGACCCTCTGACAAATCCGATAGATTCGCCAACGGTCAGACAGAAGTTTACAACCCGCCGGCCACAGTGTCTGACTGTATATTTCACAATGACTTTGACTGTAGTTGTTTTATGTGACATGTGACACTTGTTTGCTATTTATAAATCTTATGTTTGTTAATAATTTCAATGTCAATTATAAGAAATATTGAATCTGAAATGTGTGTTTAATTTTATTCCATGGGTCCTGAGCATTTTCAATGGGTCAGACAGACATCTGAAACTTAAAGGACCCAATGTCCTGTGACTTTGAAACACCATTCGTGAACACTGTTCTGATGTAGGGCTCCATCCAAGGACTTTGATCGAATTCATTCATTCCCAGCGATAAATACAGTTGCAGGTTGCGATAGTGCACGATGTATTTTTTCTTGTTCATCAAGTTGGGTACGAGTTTTTCTACGTTAGACAGTGTGTTATCCCCCAACAACTGTCGTTGATATTCGGACATCCAGTCCGGTTCACCGTCAATCGTTCGGGAGCGAGCGGATAGCTGTTGTGCGATTCGTGTAATTCCGCGGGATAGTCTAAGTCAACTTCGAGGATGTAGACTTTGTTCGAATCCGGCGCGATGCTATTGACATCGATCATCTCGGGCGAGGAGACCCATTCCAACCCCCCGGTGGGTAGATACTGACTCATGGCCCAGCCGTACAGAATGTTGGTGTCGAAATAAAGAATGTGTTTGGTTGGTTTGCTCGAGTCATAGCCTTCCACGTACTTGTTGTTGGCCTTCGCGTACCTGTTTGGAGGTCATGGAAATCCAACCTCGCAGCCCTTTCTCGATAAACAGATGCATGTTGTAGTCAGTGAACAGTGCCAACTCTACATCAGTCTTTTTTAACAAGGCATCCCACAACAGACCGGGGAGGGAGAACTACCATGCAGGGTCTACATCGTACTGTTTCAGACACATTTTTCTGAATATTTCAAACACGTCGGCTAGCAGCAGCATGTCGGTTTTCAAGTACAGGTAATGTTTGTAGCCTAAATTCTTACAGCTTAGTTTGTCCCACACATTAAGGGCGTGGGTGTTATCATCCTCGGTGATACTGGATTCGGTCAAGTTGCTGTAAAAGCAGTCAATGGGAGGTAATCGCGTCGCGTCGAATCGAGACCAATCGTCCATGTATTCGTAAGGGTACACGCCCTTCCTCAGCAGCAGAGGTCGAGTCTCGACGTTGGTGTATCGATTCATGATAGCGAAGACATTCGGGTTGTTCGTGTTGACTAAACTATCGAGCAATGACAGGAGAAACTGAACACTGTCAATGAATCTCAGACCATCTAAGGAGAACGAGATGTATTTTTCCATGTTATTGGGGATGTACGTTAACTTGCCATCGATCTTCGAGATGGCCTGCATGATGAGGTGGGTATCGTACCCGCGAAGATTATGAAACACCACAGGGATTTGTATCGTTTTGGGATTGATTCTAAGCTTCAAGTTACACGCATTGTGAGCAGCACCTCGGTATTGACCCGTGACATGACAATGATCTCTCACGACATCACCCCTAAGGGATTGGTCACACATGTGGCAGTGAGTGCTGTTGTTGTGAGCTCGCCAGTCGTCTTGAGTCATGGGCATGGGGACGACACTGCACAACTTTTGTCTAATGATTTTCTCTTCCTTTTGTAAGTATGTGAGAAATGTTTCGACCGTGTCAGGACCTCGATAGATCACGGGAACGTTTGTTTGTCCATCGCATGTTCCAGGGATTACCATTGATTGTTTTCAATCATATTTTTTGCAACGAGGTGTCGATGAACGAGTTGATGGACTCGGGTTGGGTCGCAACTTCTTGTTTGCCTCTGAAGTAAGACTCGATGTACTCGGTGGTGCCGTCGGTCTGCTGTTTGTCCAGAGACATTTTCGCTGTGATTTGAAATTTGAAGCTTCTGAGGTCGTTCAGTTCCTCGTCGACTTTGTCGGCGATCAGCGGTTTGATGTCGTCGACATCCATGGGTTTGCCGACGGTCATTCGCCAGCCCCTGAGATAGTTACCTACATGCTTCGTCCACATGAATCTTAATTCGATCAGTTTGGTGTCTTCCAGCAAGGTTAACAGTTGTGCTTTTACCATACGAGAATAATTTTTCAGTCCGCGACTTTTTGTGAGAGCTTTGAGTTCTTTTATGGTGGGGTCTTTAACAATGGGGTGTTGGCATGGTCAGCAATTCGGCTTTCCTCATGCGAGAATAACCAACCAATCCACCCTCTCTTGCAATAGCTTTGAGTTCGCTGACGGTAGTGATGGTTGTTATATCCAATTGCAAAGTCAAATGTCTAATTGATTTGCTATATCCACATGCGAAGTCAAATGTCTAATTGATTTGCTATATCCACATGCAAAGTCAAATGTCTAATTTTTTACTCTAAATACACATTGATATCTACAAAACAGTTCAGCGTTAATTTTTTATGAGGTCTTTGTTCTTGGTAAGGAAGGTTTGAATGATTTGTTGCCTGCCTTGTTCTATGAACTTATTTTTCTCGTCTTCGCTGATGTCAGAGGTTTTCCGAGTCTTGGTTCGAATCTCCTGTTTCATTCTGTGGTACTTTGCGAGTTCTGCTAACACCAGACGGAACTATTCCTCGGAGATTTTACTGTCTGTGAGCGCTTTTGATACGTGATCGTTGATTGTGTTTAACTTGGCTTCGGCTAGTTAATCCTGATCTCGTCGTGCTTCAGCACTTTACGTTGCAGCCGACGTGAAATGAATTTAAGAACTATTACCGCCAGCCCCCGATACCCCTGCTGCTATTTCTAACCCGAGGACGACGGGTGTGGCCACAATGGTCGATAATAAGCTGACGCCGGCAGCACGGAGTCCCATGCTGGTTGCTACGAGTGTGGTGTCTATGCCGTCCAGAGCATTCGTTGCTCTATGGTACTTTTTATGCAATCCTAGTCGCACGTCGCATTCTTGTTCCAGTTGCCGTTTAATCTCGCTGATTTGTTCCAAACGAAAACCATCCACGGTTTCGAGTGTTTGAGCCACTTCGTCCATGACCGGATACAATCCCATCTCGAGTATATAACATAAGTTAGGAAATAAGCTTCAATTGGTCCTCCGACAATCTTTGATGAATATACTTTAAGCTGATGAGGTACATGTG